GTTACTGGGCATAGATAAGATGTCAAAAAAGTGATACTTTTCTTTGATATTTTAGCGTACTAGTTTGGGGACCCAATTTAGTGGGTTAGGTCTGACGACTATCCGTCTTAGAAACTGCCAAAAAACTTTAGCTAACAGACGGGAACGAACTGTTTTGTTTTGAAGGATCTAAAAATCTAACAAGACACGCTAGACTATTTAAAACAAAACTATAAAAAGAACAGGTACACCAAAGAGTAAAAAGAAAATTCATGAGAACAGGCAATTTCAAAATCTCCTGGCACTGCAATCAAAGCACCATAAGTCCTACTTTCCGATGTTATGACTTCACCGGTTCCCACCTAATAGACTCTGATAGCCATGTGCATTACGCCCAAGGCCAGGCAACACATGTGACACACATACTCTGTGCAACTGAACATGGTAATGGCAAGTAAACAACATTTTGTGGTACATGTTGTACATTTAAGTGTGGGAGAGCTAAGCTTCGGCTCGACCGGAGTGATACCACGGCCTCATAGAAAACCGGCGTGAAACAACTACACATTTGTGTTTCGCTGTGTGATTAAAGTTACTGGAGGCACAATCCCCCCTCTCCCCCATCCCTTCCCAATCCTTAAATATCTGAAACCCTTATCCCTAAAAGGCTGGCAACGCATTCGTAACTCGTTTTGTGTTGCAGGTGTACATGGACGGCGGCGCTGACTGCTTAAAACAAGCCAAATGCCACCAATCTGTCATTTAAGATAGCCACGAATTGTGCTGACAGATCAGCGACTAAGATTGTGTAAGAACTACAGGATTCATGTGATGAGTAACTGCATTACGTCATAAGAAAGCCTAATTTGCTCAAGCGCATATCTTACCAAAATGGCAGCTAAGTTTGTTTTGAGTTTACGTACAAGATTTAGATATTAACATGTATTTTTTAGAACAGTTTACTCTGAGCGAATGCACTTATTGGCTTTTAGCGAAGAATATCAAACTAAATTCATCATATTGCAAGACATCATATGGGAATGATAACAATAACATATTATTCTCACAAGCTGTTAGACTTGACCCGGGTCTTATAAAGAAAATGGGTTAGGTATTATGACTCGAATACATTACGAATTACGAATAGAGCAATAAAATTACAATTTTACATAAGAGCTGGCTTAATTGCAATGCTTAATTGTCATTTGCAAGGTAAGTAGTAATTTATGTTAATACGAAGCAATCAATTATCAAGTATCTATTTGTAATATGCGACAAATAGTCACCTTCGTCATCATCTTCACCTTCCATTTCTATTAAAACCGAATGCAAGAATGGCAAAGTTGCAACTGTATAACCTCTGAAGAACCTTCCACGTCTCGCATAATTACTAAACCGTAACAATTAGCATAATTATGTAATTTATTACTCAATAGGAAAATGAGAGAAAAAGTGCATTTCGGTCACATTCAGGGTTTTCATAGTGGAAAACAAGTTGATAAGACTCAAGTCGTTGGCAAGTTCAAGAGAAATCTACGATTGCTGATAATTAGGTAGTTTACTTAGTTTCTTTATTTTAATTAATTCGTGACGTCATAACCTTTTCCGTGTACTCGAATTCGTCATACCACGTACTTTAACTGATACCTCTGCAGGTATATAGACATGAAATGATACAAACGCAATAAACGAACGCAACAGAAGCGTAATCAAACAGTGGTCCATACTAGGACATTCAACTATCTCCGAAAAGTGAATCACAGGTGAACGGGTGACGTCACCACAATCCACATATCATGGAGGACAACGGTATCAGCATCGATAGCACTTATTTGTTAACCGCTTAGTCACCGTTACGAGAAACATGCTCAGTTGCTCAGGTAGCCGCCACTTTCATTTAGGAATGAGGAAATTTTGGGAAGGTCATTCGTCTGACCCTACCTTTTGAGTACAAAATAATACCAAATCTCATTTCGATTTGTTTTGGTTTGAAAAATAACGGTAGCATGAAATAAAATAAACTTTAAGGTTCAGGTCCTCTGTTCCCAAAAATATCTTATTGGAAAAAAATAAACTTCTGCTGGTAAACCAAAATGGCAGTTTTACGAAGTCTCTGTCGTAAGGTTATGGTCGGATTCCATGTCAATCCATTCATCTTTTCAAGCAATTGTTTGAGATTGAACATAAAAGTTAAATGATTTTTGGACACGTGACGTTTTTGAAAAGTTAAGTAGAGAATGGAAGTGCAATTTACGATTCTAAATTGTTTCGCAATAAGTATTGGCCAGTACTACATACTACGTTATGAAGGAGCAGCATAAATTAACATACAATATTTCAGGTATTCCACCCTTATGTTGCACCAGGAGCCTGTCATCTTACCAGTAACCAGTCTGCGATGCAATATACAACTCATTTCTACTTCACTTGCGTAACCTAGTAAATATGTACAATTATTTTACTACAAATACCTAATTACTTATATATTTATTCACATTAATATTTCATAGACATTTAATATGATTACTTAAAAGAAGTTTTAATATGCCGCCATAAACCACATTGGCTATCCCCTTAATATTCTGAAAAAATACACATAAACTGGCAGGAAAACATCCTATACTTTTTTGTAAACAATAAGGTAGGTACCACAACATTGATATCTTTAATTAATTTACCAATTTACCTTCAAAGCCCATAGATATAAATAGATTAAAAGAGATAAACAAGCACAGTTCAATGACCTCAATGACAAAATATAGTATTGGTATAAAGTTGTTTACTTATTTATAAATTGTGTTTAATCAGATATTTATTGGTCTTTAGGTCAAAATAAACTGACTAGTAAGGATTTAAGTGCAACTTTAATTTTAATATTTGTGACTATTATACTAGAAGGTAGCTTTGACTAGCAAAAATAGTTATATACACATACCTACATGTACCTACTCTTAATTAATTTTAAAATAAAAACAACATGGTATGTATGGTAACTGCAGTGACAGCAAAAAATAATTATTTATGATTACGTCAATTTCAATGCAATTATTTTATTTTTGTGTCTTCATATTATACTTTTACCTATTCACAAGTTTCTCAAAATATTCAAAATAACGCCTTGATTTTCCAATACGGACATTTTTGAATAGTTTATTTATGTGTTCAATAACTTATTTCATTTTAAAACTACTGCAATATATGTAGAAGACAAACAAAACGGAAAGCACAACAAATAGCTTATTGCTGCAATACCAATCAGCTTGCCTTGTTTCCTATTACAAATTAAATAAGAAATAATAATATGTATAATAACACAGTAACTAATTGCTAAATAACAAAACTGATGCATTTAATCTTCTAGTTATGTGTTACTTTGTCATGTTTTCCTTCCTCAAAGAACGCTAACATTTGGAAACCCGGTTTTTGGATATTTACCTACTTATACTAAATTAGTTCATATGGAACTAAATCAATATAGTTAACATTAAGCCACTGGAGTCCTGCATTAGCGAAGTATTTGCCTTCAACAGATTCCAGAAAGCAGTTAAGGTGTTAATATATTTTTATGAATACTAGCTGCAAATAAATAATGTTAGACAACAAAATTAATTGGAAAAGTTATGATGCATTTATATGTGCTAAAGTTTAGGTAACCAGTTAGTTATTTTTAAATAGTTGTTATTCAATCTCAACCAAATACAAAGAAAATGTATAACTTAATTTTTAAATGTATAAATATTAAATAACTTAATTTTAATATTGGCAAACAATCAATGTTGGTATTAAAAAGAAAAAAAAACAATACTAGTATTAACATAAGGTGGTATTAACATTAGTATTAACAATTTGCATTAGCCACATTCATAATTATGTCAATTTGTTTGAGTTATTTTATATATATATACATCCTGTTTTGCCCTGCAATTACTACTCTGTTAAACAGGTAAAGAACCTTACTTATGTAATAATTAAATAGAATGCTTGGTATAATATACAGACAAATTGTTTTAGCAAAATAAAATTCCCTAAAAATATTGGTCAATTATTTTAAGACTCAATAGATACTTGTATTTTAAATGAGATCTGAAGCTTAGATAAAATTAATAATGCATACTTTATTTATAGAAGTAAAAACAAAGACGGCCTTGCTTGTCTATGATTCGGGGGATTCTGGCATGTTCGCTTTATAATCAAAGTAGCAGCATTTTAAAATTATTACCATGTGTAGTTGTGTTATGAATAAGGTAGCGCCAATGATGCAATTCATCAGATTAAAAAACTATTTTATGATGAAATAGAGAATTGATATGACAAGTCGGCTTATTTTTCTGTAAAACTGAGTCTTATAAGAATAATGTTCAAGTAAGAATGACTTGCAAAATATCACCAAATCAACAATCACATTTCTATGTATTGCATCATACAATCAGAGTACAACCATATTGGATGTATCTTATCTGCTATATGCTTAAAATAACTAGTAACCAGTGATAATCATTATCAAACTATTCATTAAGCTTGGACATTGATCGTAAAATGGCAAGATTCTGTTTTTGTTTACCACTTTTTGATAAGACACAGTGAGTGTTTGCAAAAATATTGTTTGTGGTATTTTCCTACAAACAAGCTCTGGTGACTAATTATGATTCTGTACATTTAGTGAGAAAAGAAATGGTATATTGTGTTGCAGAAACGGATCTAACAAGCAACTGGCATGCATGACTGACTGTAAAAATAGATTTGTATTTTCATGATATTATATTATTAGCAATGCTATTCATGTACAAGTGGCCAGGTGTAACTCAGTCTTTCATCATTTCAAGTCTGGGGACATGATTTACATAAGCCACATGTGTCAACAAAGATTTTGAACACTACAATTTTTTTAACAAAAATACAACAGGTGGGTTGAACATAAACAATATGATTTGTTTACAAACAAAAGCTAGTGAGTGCACATAAGTAGATGAGCAGGGCGCCGGCGTGGGGCTGCGGGCAGCGAGAGTGCCGCGTGCACTTACCTCTTGGGCAGCAGCATGGCGGCGGAGCCCTTCCGTTGGAAAACGCCGTCCACCAACACTCCATTCTTGCTATTACACGTCAGGTAGAACTCAGGGTGATCGTAAAATAGTTCGAGGTGTCTACGAGATATGAAACTCGAGTGTCCCATGTTAACGTCCACTTGGCCTCTACTAGAGTTCCGGCCTATCACGACACGCTTCTGGCGAATGAGGTACTCGAAGTCGCGGCCGTCGAGCCTCGCGATCGCGATGGGGGCCGGCTCCTGGGCCCACTGCACCTTGGAGGGTGACGGGGGCGCTGACTTCAGAGAGAGCAGCGCCCACGCGTCGCTCTCCGAGCTTCGCGTAAACTGAGTCTGGGCCATGGCAGGCGCGCGCGTACAGATATCACCAACGCTGTCCACACGCGGGGCGCGAACGCCTTGCACGAGGGCACATCACAATACCGCCGCGAGAACCGCCGCCGCCGCGTCGCGACCCGGATATCCGGAACCTGCCGAACCCGTGCCTTTACAATTTGAGGTTACTGACGGGACGCACATGCGCAAAGTTTCTACTTGTGCGGTAAACAAGAATTATATAAACCACCACACCACCACGTGATAATAATGTATACATATACCTAGTCCGGAAGAGCGGATCGATACTATAAAGTACGGATATGTCTTATATGAACGAAATATTAACCTTTTGGTTGTTGCACAACTGAATTTTCGCAATTGGACCGAAATTAGACACTAAAGTAAACACGAGGCGAGAACAAAAATAACCAAAAACGTCAGTTCGGCATACGCAGTTTACAAGTTCGCCGCGCCATCTATGCAACATAGCAACAAATTGTAAATATTTAGTTCCGTTTCACGCATTTGTTACCGGCGTTCTAGATTGTACAAATTAAGCACTAATCTTTTGTTTCATTGTTTTAAACATTGACATCTTTAAAATGGTTTCGTATATTTGAGTTTATTGGAATGCCTATAAATTTGTTTTATTGGCGGATTACCTGTTGTTCTGTTTTTAGTACTAAACATTTTATAAGAATTTTATGTTGAGTGAAACGAAATTATATCAATAGTGATAGGCATTTTTATAATCCAATATAATACGTTAAACTTACTTGGAAGACATTTATTTATTTACAATCTTGATATTGTATTGTAAATAAAATATAACTTTATAGATAACGCAATTAATGATTATATTTTACCCGCATAAATATATTTTAAAAACAATTAATTCATATAAAGTTCGCTTATTATTATTGAAGACCCAGATTATTTTTAATTTCTTCAAATTATTATGACACAAGTATACGACCAATCACATTTTGGGAGCTGTAATTATGAATAAGGATGAATAAATAAAAGTGAACAAAAGATAAAAGTGTTCCGTTTACGCTTATACTTGTCTATGACTTATAGCCCATCACTACGGAAAAATACGCTGACGTCATCGACATAGTTAGTCTATGGACTTTGTTGACATTATTTTTATTTGAGTTTGAGTAGCAAATTGTGCAGTGTTTATAAAAGTGCAATGTAAATGATAACACACAAATACAATAAATAAATTGAAGTGTACGTTAATCGCTTACTTCGATTTCCTCGTCAGTTGTGTAAAAAAGGTGAGTTAATACAACATTAGCGCGAAATTTAAAATGCTGTTTTTGGAAAATATTTTGTGCACCCCAAAAATATTATTTTTGTGCTCATTGAAATTATGAAATATATGTACGTCTTTGGTTTTTTCTTATGTGAAAGTAAACACTATTTCTATATTTCCATTGTACAATCAAATATTTATACATAATCTACTTAATACTTAGCCATAAATATGGAAGACTTAATAAATATTCTTATAAGAATTTTCGACGTCGCAGTAAAATTTTTGGCAATAGATTGGTTATAAATTGCTATATAGATACTATAGCCATTAATTAATTTTACCAACCTTCACTCGCATATAATATGTCTGGATTAAAGCCAAACTAATAATGAAAAATAATTCTCTAGACATTATATTATTATGTTACTAAGCAAAACTCACCATCTAATATACCATAAGTTGATCAGATTCACAAAAAATCAACAAGTGGAAAGCCTTTTAGGGTATCTCTCTATCAATTAAATTCCAATTTATTATAATATAGTTGTCTCTGCCCCTGTTTCAGTGTCTGGATTGCCACTATGTATCAGAAAATAAAAATTCATATAGAGTGTCATTTTTTAGTGCAATGGGCAACATAAATTTTTCGGCTATGTCCTTAAAATAACTATTGTCATATGAAATTAGAAAACTTTTAACAGTTGCTCAGTAAATGCACAATTAATACATATAGGTATTTGTGTCTGAAAATCACAAATTTACGGGTCATTACATATTGTTCTACTGTCACAAAACATGGGCTATTTTTATGAAGGATGATTGTGTCTTCTCATCATTTTGACAATACTATTTCTATTGTGATCACTGATCAAGATACATTGCTTATTTTTACCATTGGAATGGATCACTATACTATAATAATAATATTATGTTTATTAGCTCTGGTGAATCCATCAGACATATTATTTCCGGCTGTGGTCGTTTGGCTAATGGGGAATACTTGCACAGACATAATCAGGTGGCCAAGATTATTCATCAGCAACTTGCTTTGAAATACCGGCTTGTTGAGTCTGAGGTCCCGTACTACAAGTATGTGCCCGACCCAGTTCTCGAAAAAGACCATATCACATTGTACTGGGATCGGTCTATCATCACAGACAGGACTATTGTAGCCAATAAGCCTGACATAGTGGTGGTAGACCGACTACCGCGTCGCACGACGATAATCGATGTTGCCATTCCTCATGACGAGAACCTCGTGAAAGCTGAGAAAGATAAACAATTGAAATATCTCGACTTAGCTCACGAGGTTGTTGACATGTGGAATGTGGACTCGGCCATCGTTGTGCCGACAGTTGTGTCGGCAAACGGGTTAGTCCCCAAAAGCCTCGACAACCACCTTAAGAGGCTGACGTTAGGCGGATGGATCAAGGGCCTCATACAGAAGGCAGTCCTCCTTGAAACGGCACGTATTGTGAGGAGGTTCTTGTCTCTGGAGCCCTAACCGCCGGCAGCTTGGACCTTGCTCCCGCTGCCAGCTGGCTCCTACTTTTATATTTTTAAATATTATTTTATTTTATAGTAATATTTAAAAATGTAATTTTAGAGCGATGTTAATAAATATATGAAAATAATATTATGTATTAACTATACATTTATGCACATTTTTCATAAACAATTATTTTTATCATTTGAGTGCTTCTGGTCTATAGGTGCCCACTGCTGAGCAAATCCTCTTTCTCACTTGAAGAAGGCTTCAGCATTAATCATCACACTTGCTCAAGGCAGGCAGGCGATTTCAAACTTAGAAGTCTGAGCTTGTAGTATAACTTCCTCACAATGTTTTGTACTTTATCTGTTATGGCTACATAAAATTATAAAAGCATATTTTATCAGAAAAAGGTCACATTGGGACTTGCTAGGTTTCAAACCAGCACCCTCATACAGGACAAGCTTTCCCACAGCAAAAAGGTACTGATCTCATTGAACAAATTTTAACATGATACAAAGGATGTAAATGCTTGGTGTCAAGCTGGACCTGCTCCCTAGGATAATATACATGAGATAAATAATTCATGTTTAAGTGGAATATTGATTTAACGGAATGAAAAGTTAATAATTATTTTAAATGTGAGGGTCCCATAATCAGATCAAATGTAATAATTATGTATACTTAAAGTAGACTAGCAGAATGTTCTCGCCTCAGTTTGTAAGTTGTCATGATCACTTTAAGGTCTTAGTGGCAGTGGCATGAGCATTGGATCACTTATTCTCTATGATCGGGATGATGTGAATTTGAAACACAAGTTCGTGTACTGGCATTGCTGGGACTTGCAATTGTGAAAATGATTGAAAAAAGATACCATTAAGTTTCAGTTCCCCTAAAAAAACCCTAACAACCCTTTTTTGAAAGGCCGGTAACTCACTTGTTATTACAATGTTTTCCTCTCTTCGTTGTTTGCTAAAATCATAACAAATCACATCAGTCACTCATCATAACTGGCCACGGCTGCGAAATGGCCTCTTCTAAAGCGTATACAGTTTGAGCATTAATCACCAAGCTTGCTCAAGGCGAATTGGAGATATCAGATTTATATTATTAGATATTTTTTCATTCAGATTTATTTAGGAATTGCAAGTACCTACTGGTTTTCACACGTTATTTTCTTTCATCAGAGTTCCGAGTTGTAGTGTCTGAATAAACTACAACTCGGAAAAAATCACATTGGTGCTTGCTAGGGACATACTTAGGGATGATGATTTTTTTATCTAGATCTAGGTAGGTAACCTACCTAATAAAAACATAACCTCAAAATCATAAACAATTTCGGAACATGCCAATAAATTGTTTCATTAAAACTCTAAACATCGAGAATATTATCTATAAAGGTAGTTGGGGGGGACACACGTGTGTCAGGATAGGGTTTCGAGGGACGGAACAGCGACGAAGCGATGACGTCACAGAAACAGGACTCGATGTCCGCCGTTTTGCGAGGGTAAATTGATTTAAAATATATTCTGACGTCATGATTTATTGAGACATATTGACCGGTGACGTAGCCACTTCCCTCTCAAACTTAATTTCGTTTTAACTAATATTGCTTTCTTGTTTCTAACTAGATATTTTTATATTTTATATCTAACCCTTTTATCATCCCATCATGTCATCCCTTTAATGTACTTAACTGTAGGAATTAAAATAAGAGTGGGTACCTACTTAATAGTAATTGAAACAATCGTAGCTATGAAATATCTTTATTTGGCAAATACTTGAATATGACTAGGCACATTATCACAGTGATTACATTTAGTTATTATAAATTAATAAGAAATCCATCTGTCCAATCATTGATGCATTCATTCATGCAGGCAATGAACCAGTACCTACTCCCCAACATTCAAAATTGTATGTCTTTATATTCATACTGATACCTGTTCACCTCACCAGCTTGTGCATATGGACTAGTTTCTGAAATATAATATTAATGTTTATTAAAACAAAGACGGTATAGTAAATGACTGATGCGTTGTACAACGTTATATTCTACCTACCGAGACTAATCGTCGAGTTGCGTCAGACTCGCTACTCCTCTATTGATCCAATGCTGTTCTTTCTTGTCAGTCTCCAGGGTGATGTACATGACGAAGTTGCTGGAGTGTCCCGTGGTCGCCAATACTCCCTTTCTCTCGCTCGTCTTGTAAATAGGACAGAAGTAGCAAGGAGGAGGCTTGAAATCAGCTATCAAAGCTGGTTTGAACCAGATTATGGGGATCGTGTCAAACAGGATTTTGGGATAGGACTCGTCCATTTTCATCGTTTCACGGTTCCATCTTGCGCCTTCGAGGTATAGGCCCTGTACCAGAGGAGTCATATTAATATTTGTTATTCGGTGGCTATCCTAAGTTTGTTATACTCTTAAGTCTTAAGAATACATGAGGAATCGTTAGTTTTGTAAGCTTTATATCTATCTTCGGTGCTGTACTCTATCGTGCGATTATACGCGCTTTCAATTTTGATTGATGCAAAAATATTAAACCGTGCAAATCCGTGTAAATCTGTGCGTGTTATCCATGCAATGATAGGTGTGTGCCAGCAGCTTAGCACGATACATTCCCATGCATAATGCGAGCGACTCACCCATATGAATACACTGTGTTCCTGATCTCCTTTATCCATTTGGAAAGATTGCTGCATGCGATTTAAAGACACCACATATACATTTAAACAATAGTATCCAAATACATTAATAAGTAATTTTATTTTTAGGTACTAACACATTGTGTGAGGTCCTAACGTACTATTGATTTATCATTAACATTCAGGGTATAGCTGTAAAAGACAGTTATAGACTTCTAGTCTATTGGTGGTTGTACCTTGCAATACACTCCATAGTCGGGTTCCTCGTGAGTGTCCGACTCCATGCTGGTGATTGTGAACTCAAAGTGGACTTGGTCGATGGGAATCTTATTGTGTCGCGAGTAGTTCTGCAACACGCCCGTCAGGAAAGACTGCGTGAAGTAAAAGCCGGAGATCCAGAACACCACTGGAGGACCCCCGTCTATCCAGTCTTGTAGAAAGCTTAGCCTAAGAACGTTAAAAAGAACAATTAACTAGGAAATAATAGGATTTGTAGTTAAAACTTTTTACGTGTAGAATATTTATCTAGTTATATTATAGTGGTTAGTATCTAATAGTTTAAATGCATGTCTTTCCAGACTCCCAAGATGGCGGATAAGGTATTGGACGAGAAGACCTGGCCGCAAGAGGCCGAGGCAGCCATCAATGATATCCGCAAGCACGTGATGGTTGCTTTCGTATCTTCGGAGCTGCACAACACCAACCAGCGCATCTACATCAACCTCACCACGCTGGAGAGCTCAGAGTTCTGTATTGAAATGTCAGCCAACGGCTTTCGGGTCGTGGGCAGAAAGTATGATGACACCAGTCTGTCCAGCATAGAGAACATGAACTATGAGACTCCGTACGCCTTGCTGAATAACATCAGCCAGAAGTACAGGGAGTCCTTCGGCGGGGAGCTCATGAACAAGCTGCTGGACCTGGCTGCCCGCAACTCTGAAGGCTGAACCCGTGGCGGTACGCTGTAGTCCTGTGTCGAACGTAGGCCTATCCACGCCCCCATGACAAAGTTGTTTGCTTGAGCAAATGCATTTGGTTACTACTTGATCTATAAATGTTTATACGCATAAATATTGTGTGTAATGTTGTATTTAAAAAATAGGTTTATTCAAATATTAAATGTTCACATAAATATCAAAAGTATTATAAGTAAGGGAACTTGAACAAACCAGGGTGTAACAAGTCGATTGGGTACATATATATTGTAAACTTTATCGATTTTTGATTGTTGAATTTTACTGTGGAAATGTGTCAAAATATCAACTATCAGTATTCACGTGTGCTATAATAAATGTTTATATAACTGTTAGAACTTTAGTATTACAAAGTGTTTAGTGTTGGATGCAATCTCTGTTAGCATTACACTAATATAGTAAATATGTCTTTCTCCATATAAATTTGTGTGTTGCATATATGTTGTGGGTTACTTTGTGTGTACAAGTAGCTAATATTGGATTATTTTGTAAACAAATAATACAAACTTCCCCTCGATTATTAATTTAAATAATGTGCCGACTAGATCGCATTCTTGCGCCGGATTAGTGTTAGAACATGGTCTCACACTCATTGTGGTACTGTCGAGCGCACACTTGAATGCATGCCGCGGGCCGAGTGGCAAAGCACGGTAGCTTACAAATTACGCGCTTCCTGGCGAGACTGACAGTCGGCGGACTTCTTAAGTACTACAACAAGATTCGATTCAAGCATTACGCAACTGTAAGGCGCCATTATAATATGAAAGCCAGCCTAAACAATAACACTAGTCGATGTTTCTCAAACAATAGATATATCAACGAGGCCAGTATAGTTATAAAACGTGAACAATATGGATATACTTGTCACAGTTTGTGACTAATGTGAGAATCGAGTCACTAGAGTACGTGTGGTACAAGGCAGCTATTGTTGAAGTATTTGAAGTACCAAGTGCCATGGCGTCGCGGGTCGCTTGCAGTCTTGTGTGCTTCACACAGCATTTTATTAGTACAATCGTCGACGGACTGAGTACAAACATATTGTGTATCTCTTAGTTTGGGTGCGTGGTACCAGTAGCGGACTATTTTATTGTCATTTGTTATAGGGGCTTATCATGGTAATAAACCATTTCGTCTGTTTCTGTACTTACAGTATTTGCATATTGTATAATCTTTGGATAGATTTATCGGGTTATTGTTTGTTAGCGCGGCCTAAATTTTGTAGTTTTCTTACATAAATATTATAAATGTTTAATGTTCTCGTGGCAGCTACAGCCGCATGCACCCAAACTAGCAACTCTTTAGACGTAATATACACAATTAGCGTAGTGAACTTGTTTGTGATAGTAAAATAAATTCATATATGGATATTGTTCGTTTTATTCCAACACGTCCATCCAATGAATTGAAGCATTATACCTACCTACACACATTTAGGGGAAATAAGAGTATGACGTCATCTGATTGGGGAAAATTGTAGACAATAAACATTCAGTTCGTTCGTGTCGTCCCCTTACAACGTAGGATTAGAGAATGTAGACGAAAATATAGCTACAACTTAAATTGATTGTTTAATGAACAAATCCACGACTGAATCTGCACCGCTATAATCTCCAACCAGTTTAAAGTGAGAACGAGTTAGCTGATAGTTAAGGGGACAAGGGGCCCAATAAGTCTTTTCATGATAGGTACTTATCAACGGGATTGAATGGATGTTTCTCTTTCACGCATTGTGTTGTAAACGGAATTTAAGTTTCGGAATCACACCACTAGGTGGCGCAAAATCATCGTTCTCTTTCACACTCTTGAAGCGATCGGGCGCAGCCCGGCGACTCGCCCAACTACAAGGACGCAGACTATGTTACTTCCCATTTTATAACTAGATGGCGGTGTACAGACAGACCGGTTTTCTGAATCGCGGTGTTAAGATTCTCCGGCGTTGAATGACCCTCGCGGCGCGCTCGACAGAAATCATACTTACCTGGCGTAGGGGATACCGTGATCACGAAGGCGGTTCCCCCAGGGCGAGGTCCTATCATTGCACTGCGATAGGGTTGACCCCTGCGATTATCCCTAATGTGGATAACTCGGACGCGTAATTTTTGGTAGTGAGGGACTGCGTACGCGCTGTCCCTCTAAGAAATCCTAAAAAATACGTTCAATTCCAAATAATGGAATATACCATGTAATGTAAGAGCAAGAAAATGGTAAACTGTGAAAAGGCCTTATTAAACTTACAGTATGGGTTTTTAAGGATCTATCTCATTCGTCGTTCGGCATTGAGTAGGACGCCACTGTGCAAATTCGCTCCGTAATTATTTCATAAATAAAGTAGTTTAAAGTTATCAACCAGTTCATATCTTATCACATTTAATAAGTTTAATTTGTTAATAAAACAGTGTTAAAAACCATATCTTAATAAATAAAGTATTGCCGAAGATATAGCAAAATCAATCTATCAAAATCATAATTTATCGCCGTTGAAACAACAACCCGTGACTCATTCGCCGCTGCCCGCTGCCCATCGGTCGTGCTCGCCACTCCGCCTCCCGCGCCTCACCCGTGTCACCTGTGTCGCCTGCGCTGTCGTCGATTGTTTACTTTCTGGTCGCACGGACTTTTAGATTTCAAGATGACTGCGAACTGTGATGCGTGCGGTAAGAAAGTCTCAAATAAATATTTTATGAGTTGCGTCAAATGTAAAGGAGCATATGACTTGGAGTGTGTTAATATGACAAAATTATCCTGGGAAAAATTCTCCATTAAGTTTAAACAATCTTGGCTCTGCCCTAACTGCGTGTGCTCTCAGCCCAAGATAGATAACACTAGAACTCCTGCACGGAACCCTACTTTAAATATTGATGAATCTTCTTGTGAAAATGTAAATATGACGAGAGGAACGCAGGGGACATCTATGCTAGATTCTGAAACATCAGTTGCTGAGTTGCTTAGCGAAATTAGGGAGCTGAGACAAGAAATAAGGGATTTGAAGCAAAACAGTAATGACGTATATTTGCTGAGGCAAGATGTGCAGGACCTTAAAACTGAGCTTGCTAATCTCTCCCCGGATTTCTCACAATATTTTGCTAAGTTCAATAGCACACTTGAAGCCAAGGATCAGGAAATAAAAAGTCTGAAGCTAAAACTTTCTCAATTCCAAACCACCCTCAGCGTCTTGGAACAATCTTCGTTGAGAAATGAGATTGAAGTATGTGGTGTTCCTGAGCAAAGCTTCGAAAACCTGACACACATCCTACTAACGCTGTCTCAGAAACTGAATGTAGACTTACAAGACACCGATATCGACGTTATTTCGAGAGCTGGACCAAGACCTAAAATCGGAAATGACTTGACTGGGTCCCGTCCTATTGTGGTAAAATTAATTAGGAAGGCAAAGCGAGACGAGTTACTGAAAGCTGCAAGATCCAGGAAAAACCTAACTACGGAAAACATCGTGAACACTACTCCTTCGAACATCTATCTGAATGAAAGAGTTACTAAAGAAAAAAGGCTGTTATTTCGAGAAGCCAGAGCAAGAACTCGTACGTATGGATTTCGTTTCTGTTGGTTGCGTGATGGAAATATATATATCAGGAAGAATGAGAGCGGACCCAGTGGTCAATTTCCTGCGATACGTATTCAATCTATTGAGGATCTGGATAAACTCATTGGTTCCAGTACGTCGATGGTTAATTCAGATAACTCTGGCTAATTTTGCTACTGTTAATATTATTATTAAGTTCTCGGACTTTTTCTGTATTGCTCTTGATTACCAATATTTTGCAAATGGTTCACTACTTTTTGTATTATTACACAATACCATATACACTGTTAATAATTCTTCACTACATACACACAATATAAAACTCACACAAAAGTACATATATAGCATTTACCTAATTTTATCTAACCTACACACTCTCTCGCTAATTCTTGTACGCTATAGAATGACATACAATAGCCATTGCCCTACCTTCCAAACAACTATGACTGTTAAAAAACCACCATGACTACTCAAGAACTCATGCAATGTATAGATAATACGCTACATATAAAATGTCATTCTATAAATTTAGCAGAAGAGTGCCACGTCATCATACAAAACCATACATTTAAAACTTTAACACTAAACATTCGTAGTTTAAATCGCAATTTTGACTCCTTCTTACTAGTTTTAAACAGACTTAATGTAGATTTTGACGCAATAATACTAACCGAGTGCTGGCTAGAATGTTCTCCAACACTCCCACAAATCAAGGGCTATAATTCTTTCCACACAACTAATCATGTAAACAAAGCCGGCGGGGTTGTGGTCTATGTTTCGAATATTTGGTCACCTATCGTACATGAACCTTTGATTGACGATGCTGACTGCATTGTACTGAGCATTCCAGAGATCATTACTATCATCGGTGTTTACAGATCTCCATCTTTTAAGAACACTGTCAATTTTATAAACTCTTTACATAGAATCATACCCGAACTCAAACTAAAACCTTGTTCCATTTTCACTGGCGATATAAATATTAACATTAATAATGTGACCTCTGATGATGTTTCAACTTATCTCTGTACTCTTGCTGAACTTGGTCTAAAACCGGCTGTAAACATCCCAACGAGAGAGGGTTCTTGCATCGATCACGTCTTCTATACGGGTAAAGTAGACGTGGAAACTATAATTTGTGCTTCAACCATAACTGATCATAATTTAATTATAACTGGCATAACTGGATCAATCGTAAAACCTGTCCCTCGACCTAGGTATAGACTACGTGTTGATTACAACTCTATTTCAGATGAACTAAATAATATTGATTGGTCATCATTAAATAGTATTTCCAGTGTTAATGAACAAGTTGAAATATTTATTCGTATTGTGAAGGATATACTAGATAAAAACTCCCAACGTGTGCGTATGTCTAGATCAAGGATCATATTAAAGCCCTGGATGACACTAGGCTTACTAAAATGTTCCCGCGTAAAAGATAAGCTCCACCAGGAAGCAAAAAAATATCCCTTAAATGATATAAAAGCTATAATTTATGCTAGATATCGGAATTTTTATACTACGTTAATACGGAAAGTAAGGAGTCAATATGAATCTAACCTACTAGAAAAACACAAAGACAGTCCTCGTGGACTTTGGAATGCCATCAATGACATTACACACCGGAAAGCCACCACAAAGTCCCAAAACCTTGAACTTTTAAACATCAGGAGCTCTCCCAAGGAGTCAGTTAACTTATGTAATGACTTTTTTGCCTCGGTAGGTGAATCGTTTGCTAATCAAATATTATTAAAATTAGATACCACACAATCTGAACTCGCTCATAAAATAGATACTTGTAATTCTCCATCCTCTTCTTTCTTTTTTGAACCTACTGACAGTGACGAGATTAAAAGTATCATTATCTGTTTAAAATCTAATACTGCACCGGGTCTCGATGGCTTATCAGTACAGTACATTAAAGCTATTAAGGATCATATTACTAATCCACTTGCTGCTATTATTAATAATAGTTTAGCTACTGGAACAATCCCAGATGCTTGGAAATCTGCGGCAGTTGTCCCGATACATAAAGGTGGAGTAACTGATAGTCCCAATAACTTTAGACCAATTTCATTATTGCCAGTTTTCTCAAAAATATTGGAAAGAGTAGTCAATAAACGTCTAGTGAAATATATTGAATCCAATAATATTTTATCACCTAATCAATTTGGATTCAGGTCAAAACGCTCAACCGAGGACGCAGTTAAGTTACTCACCAATAATATAGTGCACAATTTAGACAATGGCAGGGCTTGCATCGGTGTTTTCCTGGATCTAGCAAAGGCCTTTGACACCGTGTCAATTCCAATCCTACTTAGACGACTGGAAAGCATCGGTGTCAGAGGTATTGCTCTTGATTGGTTCCAAAGCTATCTCACTGGAAGACAACAATGTTTAAAAATAGATACATGTGTTAGTTCCTCCAGAGGACTGTCATTTGGTGTTCCACAGGGCAGTGTTCTTGGTCCTACATTGTTTTTAGTTTATTTGAATCATCTTGCCTCGTTATCATTGAAAAATGCTGAAATTATATGCTATGCCGACGATACCGCAATAATTTTCCATGAAGCAAATTGGAGTGAATGTTTTAGGAGTGCGGAACATGGAATGACTAAAGTATTTGGGTGGCTTTCTGATAACTTACTAACGTTAAACACTGCGAAAACGAAATACGTATGTTTTCATAAAACCGCAATATCATCCCCGTTGGTCACATCTGATATCAAGATTCATGAGCGTACTTGCAATAAACCACCTGATGTTAGTTCCTGTAATTGTAACGTTATACAGCGAACTCATACCATAAAATATTTAGGTGTCAACATTGACGAAAAGCTCACATTCAGTGATCACACAGCAGCTTTATCAGCTAGGGCCAGAAAGTTGATATATGTTATGAAACAAATAAGAGACGTAGCAAACCCAGATTTAGCTAAATATATTTACATCTCACTTTGCCAATCAATTCTAACATATTGTATCAATACCTGGGGGGGTGTAGCTGCGTCACATCTGATTTCATTGGAAAGAGCTCAGCGGTCTGTGCTAAAGGTTATGCTCAAAAAGCCCATAAGGTATCCTACAGCAAATATTTACAAAGAGACGAACTTGCTAAGTATTCGCAACCTTTACATAAAAGCTGCTGTCTGTCGTACACATAAACAAATATTAAAATCTGAATCTTACAATAAACTGGTGACAAATAGAATATTTAGAATCCTGGTACCCATAGTCAATACTTCCTTTGCACAAAGATTTTCCAATTTTTTATTTCCTTATTTATACAACAAAATCTGTAATATTTGTAAATCTAAAAAAGAAACGGTGAGCGAAATGCAAACAAAAGTAACAAAGTATTTAAATGATTTATCATACAGTGAAGTAGAACAGCTATTAAAACCCATTCAGTGAGAGGCTAAATATTGCTCAAGACACACTCACACACACTCACTCACACACACACACACACACACACACACACACACACACACACACACACACACACACACTCACACACACACACACACACACACACACATTAATTGTTTTTATGCTATAATTACTTAATTCTTAAGTTGTAATTTGATATTATTAGTCCTAAGGAAACCGTATTGTTGATAGCCGCGATACAGGCTTTGCCTAGTGCGGTTGTCTCTGTAAATTACTACTGTAAACACTGGAATGCCTAATAAAGTATTATTATTATTATTGTATGTCTTTACCAATCACGGGACCACAGGGTCCCGGTCATTTGGAAGGCGTACGAGGGGCCGGAGCCAACTGCGCAGAGGCCCTTTAGACAACTTTAATCTAAATGAAATGGGACACAAACCGGCGACTTTCCCTGTATGCACTATGGAAATGCACCCAAGAACAGTCCCCGGTTAGTGTAGGACTATTGTGGATAATGGAAACAAAGTACAAGGTTATGGGTGTGGGTTGCTATGGGCTGGTATGATGGGAACTATGGAAGGACTATGGCACCTGCCGAAACAATGTAATAATTACACGTAAAAATGGCAGGTGGAGACTCGCCAACTCACCGACCGGGCCCCCGGGAATGGTCGCTAGTAATAGCAACAGAGGGACAACGGAAATGTGAGTGGCTGAAGGGTGAAGAAACTGCCACCAGCTTTCTACTCAGATCATCTGCATCTGCCTAAGCATCCTGCATCACTGGCCCACTCGCCGCTTACGAACAGCTTCCACCCTCCGAGCAGGATCACTACTCTCGCGACTCCACTCTGGACGGCCAATGAAGGCAAGCCAGAGGTGGGAGACCTGTTCCTCGTCATCGTTCACTCCGACCAGCCAATGAAGGCAAGCCGGAGATAAGGAACGGTGACTCCTCCCTGGAGCAATCGGGATGATGGTAGCCCGCGGGATCGCTAATTCCCGTCACCTCGCCTCAAGGTGCCCTGCGGGTTATTATTATTATTATTATTAAACTATGTATTTAATTATTAGATAACCTACAAGTCGTGCTAAAAATGAATTAAATTCGAATTCGACTTTTGACAAACTAGATTACATAAAAGTAAACAATACATTGTCAGTTTATTTTTAAATCAAAAACAAAGATTATTGTATTTTTTGAGTATTTAAGCCCGACGAACTTGACGTCACAATACGCAAATTGGCCTCAGAACTAGTCACATGCCACCTCAATGTTATGTAGTGTCTTATAAATTATTATAATATATTGAAAAAATAAAATAAATAAAAAATCTAGGATAACCCCTAATTGGTATGGACTTAGACTAACTAAAGTTGAACAAAAAATATGAAATTTTTTTTAGAGCCGGATTAGAAGGTACCCTAATAAAAACATACCATATGTAGGACAAGAATCAACCCTTACACAATGGCATTACTGTCTACATTTCATCTACATCTATATGTATAAAAGAAAGTCGTGTTACTCCACTTATAACTCAAGAACGGCTGCACCGATTTAACTGAAAATTCGTAGGTAGGTAACTAAGAACTGGGAGAAGGACATAGGATAGGATAGGACAGAGTAGTTATTGTAGGTTAGATAGAGTAGGGTAGGGTAAGTAGGATAAGGTAACAGGGTAGGGTAGGTAGTCAAATGACGGGAGCGACGCCGCAGGAAAGAGCTAGTTTTGGATTAAAAAAGGAACATGCTACTCATTGTAGGATGTCTACACATTTCTTAACTTACCTGGACAGTAAATCAGCCACGTACGATCCCAGGGGTTTCATAGAGGGATAGGACTTGGACATCCAGACTCCAGGGACGGTGCCCTGGATGAAGGCGTTGTTGCACTCCTCCAGCTCAGAGCTCATGATGGCCAGACCTTGGGATGCCAGGTTGACTCCGTGCAGAGTACGCTTCACTACCGCTAAGAGACGGTTGTAGCGGATCAATTCCTGGTTGGAGTAAAAGTATTTGTGAAGTAAGTGAACTAGGTATGTCTAGTGTAAAAGTTTTGTTCAAAAGTGCCTGTGAGGGTTTAATTAAAAGAAGGAGCGGGGACCGCGTGAGGGAGCTATCCTCCTCCTCACGCCCCAGCCGCCGCAGTAGGCGACACTCCGGGCGTCGGGGATCGAGATACTAACTCCGGCCACCGTAAGCGTTGGTCTGTGGACGGCGAGTAAGGATAGCTCGCCGTCCGACCAGACCCGAGCATACGACGCGCAGCGTTCACCTCAAAGAGCCAATAGACCACCACAGACGGAACCCTACAGGGCTGATGTTCAGCCGGGGTTGTAGGGTACAGCAGGAGAAGGAACGGGGGGTTTAGTCAGTACGAGTCTGACAGTCACTCTCGCCTCACTCTGGGCGGGAAAAGATTTGATGATTTTCCTCTAACAAAAAAGGGTCTAACTAAAATAAATTTGTCTTGTGACTTTTCGAAGTACCTGTTTGAGCACAGTGTTCATGCTGTTGTAATAAAGCACGGGGTACTTCTCTGAGACGGCGAGCACGTCGTACAAGGCGGGCAGACGCTCCATCATGTCGTGCGTGAGCTCCACGATGCCGCCCCCCTCCCCGCCCTCCGCGCCGCCCCCCATCACTATCTGCGTCTGAGTCTGCAGGGTACCGAACAGCAACTGTGGACAAATATTATCCTATAGTTATATTCCTGCTACTTTATACCTAATGTTAGGTAATGAAAGTCCTAGGTTAAGTTATCAAAGAGTCACATTACCAGTTTACTCTTGTCTTTGATTAAAATATTTTAAAATATTAGAAAACATATTTTTAGGAAGTATTTTGGTCACAATTAAAGAAACGTGGGAGAATCCCGATTTGGATCGGATAGCTGGCTCAACTGGAGTTAAACCTAGGTCTCACAGAAAACCGGCGTGATATAACGCTTGAATTGTATTTCTTTCCAAATTCCCTCCCCCAATCCTTAAACCCCTAAAAGGATGGCAACACGCAACTATTGCACGCATGCGTGGGCGAAGCCGATTGCTTATCATATATCAGTTGATACATCGGCACGTTTGGCGACCAACCCTATAAAAAAAAACGTATGGCAAAAACCTTTAAGTCTGTATGTGTACCTAAGCATTTATTTTATACGTAAAATTAATTGAAGATTAAAGTAAGATATTTATACCGCGGCGGTCTCCTTGTTATCCTTGGTGATATCAGCGTTCTCGTGTAGTCCGAAGACCTCAGGTTTGGCGATCATGGGCAGCGCGCGGATGTGCTCCAGCACCGAGTTGTAGTCCATGCTCGGCGGCATGCGGTAATCCCCGCTCGGGGAGAACGAGTAGCTGCAGGAAATTAATATGACATAAGGGAAAGATGGACAGAGTGAAAAAAAACCGGCGTGAAACAACCACAGCATTGTGTTTCTCCCAGTGAGTGAGGTTATCAGAGACCCAGTCCTTTTCCCCCTCCCCCAATCCCCTAATCTCCGAAACCCGAATCCCCAAAAGGCCAGCAACGCATTCCTAACTCCTCAGGTGTTGTGAATGTCCAATTAATCAACCCAATGGGCGGCGCCGATTGCTTACACGACATAAGAGAAAGATAGACTAACACCCGGTTTCCGAAAGGACGATCAATGTTAAAATCAATTTAATCTCTTGTCAAGCCATCTGATTGGTTGACTGAATTATCAACAACCAATCAGATGACTTGACAAGAGATTTAACAGGAGGAGGAGGTTAGTTAATTTTAGCGTTGACAAGCCTTTTAGAAACTGGGTGTAAGACCTGACATACAAATAATAATAAAACCATAAAAAACTGTAATGGTAAACTTCATTAAATGATATTTAATGAAGTGGTGACTTTCAGTGTGGCAGAGCCATGCTTCGGCAGCGAAAAGGCGGCTCGACTAGAGTGAAAACACTGGCACTCACAGAAAGCCCGCGTGAAACAATGCTTATATTGTATTTCATCATGTGAATGAGTTTTAGGCCTTACAATCCTCCCAAATCCCCAAAACTCAATACTTAAATCTCTAACAACCTGTATCTAGAGGCGGTGGGCGATTGCTATTCATAAGTTGACCAGTCTTCAAATGAATGTATAAAACTACTTGAAGTTAATACATAAATGGAAACTTAAATTAAAAAACCATCTCACTCAGGCACGGTAGTGACTTGATCGTTGTAAAAGATGGAGAGCAGTGACATGATGAGACGCCGGTCCTTGTCGTCGGTGACGCGGCCGCCGTAGTTGCACTCCCCGGCCAGGTAGTTCAGCGCGTCAAACGGGGTCTCCGGGTAGTCCGTCAGGAACATCTGATTGGGAACACAAATCATATTGAGATAGACTCATTGAAATGAAATGAAATATGGTTATTCGGCAAAAGGCATAAATTCCAAGAACAAGAATAAAACATATTATAACAGAATAACAATAAAAACGTCTAAAAAGCGTGTGAGAGAGAGGAAAAATTGGAAAAAATGGTAAAAAGGTAAATTATAATACAACAGGCTAATGAATACAGTTATATAGTATATAACAAACTACGCAGTGTTGGCGACGAAGGGGTCGCCAGCTCAGCAAAAAGCTCACAATAAGCACCCAACACAGATTTTATTCATTGTAATAATTAATAATTGAAAACGTGGAAGAGCCATGCTTCTGCACGAATAGGTCGGCTCGACCAGATTGATACGACAGACTCGCAGAAAATCGGCGTGAAATAACACTTACGTTGTGTTTTGCGCTGTAAGTGAGGTTGCCGGAGGCCCAATCCTTCCCCCACCCCCTCCATCTTCTCCTATGTGTGTTTCTCTTTCTTGAAAATACGACTGAACCACGGAGCTGAACAACATTAAAATTCTTGTAACACTACCTACCTGCAACTGCATAACACAGATCCTGAGATCACTCTCGTTAAACTCGTACTGTATGTTCCAGCCGAGAGGTCCAAAGGCCCTCCTCTCCTGCACTACGGCGTGGAAGAAACACAGCGCGTACAGCAGGCGGCGCCAGTCCTCCGTGCGAGGGCACGAGATGTAGAACTCAGGGTCGCAGATAGGGTCCGACACGTAGGAACGGTAGATGTTGTTTTTTAAACCTTTTGGGGCTTCATTTGTCATTTTTACACCTAGGACATAAAGACCGAAGTAGCAGTATCATCCTCACCGTGAAGGACATGTTTACATACATCAAAATCTTAGCGCAAAATGTGGGTAGTGTTTGTAAAGTAATTATAATCGATACAAGGTCCAGCAATAAAGATAGCAGATAACTTTAAGAATCCTAAAGTCTATAATCTACTGATTCAAAATGATATAATTTTTGTAATTTAGCAAACCAACAGTGGGAGATAAAATATTAATTATTTGAATCAAATATTACTATTAATATACAACCGTATTTAAGAAAATAAATTAAAATTGATTTTTATTAAGAACTACACACAATTTCATAACTCGAAGGTGACACGAAAAAAATATTTTTTACTATGTGACGTTAAGTTCATTATTTTATTTCATATTAAATTTTTGCACAATAATATAAGATCCAAGTTTCCACAAAACCGGTTTATTGGTTTGTCTGCGGGCGAGGAGTTGGGAGACGTTCACAAAATACGTGAGATGTTCAAGGGGGGAGGAGTTTGAGTCAAATCTCATCTAATCTTACGTTGGAGGGAGGTCTTGGCAAATATCACTTAACTTTTTTCTGAATGAAGCAGCAATTTAGATATTCTTTTTATAAACTATAGAACTTATGATTTGAAAATTCTATTTTAAACTCTTTTAAAATGCGACCGAGTTACAGTACCTACCGTATTATTACCGTGCTACTGTTATCCTTACCATTCTGCAACACAGTAACAGGGAACGAAGTACTGGGGTAAGAAGTAAGCCAGCATCGGAAGTTGCTGTTTGTGTTCTGCGGCACGATGACCTCCGCACAGATGCGCTCGAGCTCGCCCATCCATGACGTCATCACGTGGCAGTTCTGCAGCACCACCCAGCCTCCTGACACGATCGCTTTCGATATCATGCTCGATGCTATCGGACCCTGGCGGAGGATAAATATTTCCATCATCATCGTAATTGGGCCGTATCCTTCTTATGTTAAACATATTAAGTCTTTCCTAAAGCATTCAGATGAACTCGATTTTTAACTCGTTACATATAATAGGTATTTACCATCGATCACTAATAAAGAACTAGATACACAATCAGTGACAAAAAAATGTCCTAACTGAAAGTCCACCAAACTCAACATCGCGGTGTAGTTTTAGTTTAGTACCACTCGAATGCTCCGACGGTAAACACGCCTCAGTGCTCGTTTAAAAACTGCAAAAAACACACATCTAAGACGCAAAAAAGGATGGAATTTCATATTTTCGTTAAGTAATAATATTATCATTATATAATTGTCAACATTATATTTTAAATATTGATATTTTATTAAGAAATTAACTTTAAAACTTTTTCCAAATGAAATCGTATTCAAAAACCGGGGTGCACATGCACACAGTTTATAAAGACACTTATACTAAACGTAAAATCATTCTCTAGCATGACCACTTAAGTTGTTCGGTTTACGTGGATTGATTCTGTTCCGTTTAGCGGAGACGCTATTGTTTCTAATTTTATTTATTGTTTTTTTTATTAAAAAATAGTTTTTATTTAATATTATACTTTACTGTGTTTATTAAAATATGGAATAGGCAGATATAATGGATTTAATTTTAACTGCAGTAAAGACATTTTTTTTTTAGCTTTCTTCAAAAAACCCGTGCGATATGAAAAATTGACAACAATAACGCCAACATTTTCAGTACTTACTTTAGATATATATTCTTTTTATTATTTTACATCTTTTTTATTTGACTTCGAATTTGGAATATTTTTCAAAGTATACATATATACTTTGAAAAATATTCCAAATTTAGGAAGGATTAAGGAGGACAAAAATAATAAAAAAAAATTATAACTATATGCATTAGTTTCATTGGTAAATAAATGAACAAACCTATAGAAAAGAATACTATAAGTAATGCGTTTTAATTTTCGTATTTTTTTTTATAAATTTTCAAAAAAGAATTGAAAGATATATATTTATTACGAGACATTTCGACTCCAATCATTCTTTGTCCTAGCGGTGAGCCGAAGTCGTTAAATTTTATTGCTCATTTTTGACACATTGTAAATTCGACTTAAAAACATGCGAATATGGTTCAATTTCTTATGATTTATGCAAAAATGTTTAGATTTTGTTTATCACTTTGTGAAAACAACTCTATGAGTTGCATTTAAGGTTTAATTTACATTAATGCATGTTTATTTCAAGTATAAGTACCTAAATACAGTTGACGACAGTTTTGAAGCGAACTTTTGTATGGGATTGTGTATCTAGTTCTTTATTAGTGATCGATGGTATTTACCTATGAAATTGCCGTTTTACATGAAAAATTTAAACGAATTTTTTGATTTGAAATGCGATGAAAATGTTACCCTTATCAATAAACAAATGACTACTTTTGGAAAAAAATACCATGTTTTTAAAACAAAATTAATTAGCCTTAGCCTAACAAAAACTATTTTGATTTGAAATGGCCAGTACTGCAGAACGGCAATTTCATAGGTAAAGACCTATTATCTAAGTACTGCTAGCCAGCTTTTTTTAAGGCGGTAAATCATCAAATGATTTCTCTCAGGGTAAGACGAGAGGGAGTGTCAGACTCTTACTGACAAAAAACCACCCTATTTCTTTTTTTGGTCCAGGCCGAAGCCGCGGTATTATTGCTATCGCTCCACAGCGCTGGCTGAGCTGCTAGTCATTTATTGATTTCCCTACCATTACCCAAGCTCATTGTTATTTAGACATCCATAAAGTGAACTGTACTTGAAGACCTTTGCTATTTTTTAATGGAGGTTGTTATTGAGAGCTCCATCTATACTAAAATAGTTTGGATAGAATCGAGAACCGATTTGAAATATTTGACTGTTGTCAGGGGCGACAAGTGGACAGTGTCCCCTTAAATTACGCCGGTGAAACCGCGGGACACAGCTAGTTTTAGTTGATGACAAAACAAAGTGAGAATATGTATATCTCTTACTACATATACGTCGCATAAGACCAACAGACGGACGGATTAACAATTAGTCGGCTGTCCACATAAAAAATTAACCTACCTTGTATTCAAAAGTGAACCTTAAGACAATCAAGATGAAGTTTATGTATAAGCAAAAACCATCTTACCTGTCCTTGTCCAAGAGAAATGGTCTCGAAGCTAATGACTTTCTTCTCCATAGAGAACTTGACGAGCCCAGACATGGGGTCAGACCCTGGGGAAAGGATGAAGATCAAGGGTGAACAGCAGTTGCTGTCGTTGTAGGACTTGTCCAGGTCGAAGGGGGGCGGCTCGATGTACGGTTGACCCATCTCTTTGACCACGTACTGTTGGACGAGGGGGATCAGCTTGTCTGGACGGATACACCTAAGTTGAAGGGGGAAAATGTTTTTTGAAAACAACATATAGATATCTGACGATGCTTTCTGTCTCAACATTGTTGTCAATTAGGTTCCAATCAACTTTACTTATACTTAAGAACTTAAGCAAAACAATTCGATAGTTTCCGACTAGCCAAATTCACTACTTTTATTGAAATGTCAAAAGGATACTTTTCTATGAAATTTGTGTGTGATCGCAACATATACCGTCATAATTCTTTTACGTCTTCATAAAGGTAACTAGAAGAGTATAATACTAAACCATTAAGCGACTTGCGTAAACGTCGCCGTTGAAGCAATATGCAGCGTTACTTAGAATATATTTAAACATAATGTGAAGTATGTATATCTCAATCAAGTTAAACCAAGTTAAGTTAGTACAACTAAACCGATAAAAATGCCAAACTCCTCACTAGCGCCATCTGATGAGTATAACATACTGAAAGTGATATTATCTTAGTTTTGATCCTACCTGAACACGATGAGCTTGGGTATGCCCTCGAGCTGGTCGAAGGGCTCCGGCATGGGGTGCTCGTGGGGCGCCGACAGGTCGTAGAAACTCTTCCACTTGCTTATGTTGTTCTCGAAGTGGTTGCGGAAGGTTTTTAGCCTATAAGATGAAGATTGAATATCAAAATAATCCCATTATTAACAATTGATAACAAAAGTAATGTTTATATTACAGATATATTCATTCCGATAATGCAAGAAATAAATGATTAATTGAATCACATTTCCATTTTATAGACGGTACCTTTTATTTATCTTCAACATTTGGATTGGGACTTTCTCCTGTGTCGTGTGTGCGTTTACAAACATTCGACATATAAATTAATTGAAAATATCGAATTACTCAGGTGAATTGAAGAAACTTGAGAACTACCTCAGTTAATTCACGTGACTATTTCACACACAAAGTGTGGGAGAGTCAAGCTTCGGCACGAATGGGCTGGCTCGACCGGAAAGATACCTAGGCGTCACAGCAAAACCGGCGTGAAACAACCACAGCTTTGCGTGATTGAGGTAACCCTGGGTCCAATTCTTCGCCTCCCCCAATCATTCCCCAATCCCTAAATCTCCAAAACCTTAATCCCCAAAATCTCCCGTAACTTCTCTGTTGTTCATGCGTCGATTGCTTACCATTAGATAATCATGTACTTTAAACTGTCGCGTTGCATATTAATGCTTTACTGTGTTACGGGATTTAACGCGGACGTATCCTTTATTTGTTATTTGCTTGACGTTTTGGCAGGGTTACACCTGCCGTAGTCATAAGCATACTAGTAGTATGCTTGCTCGTTAAATGAGGTAATCTGCCTGCTCATTTGCAAACTATCACTTAAAAAAAGATTTCATCAATGTCGAATTATTATAAAATATAATACTAACGCATCCATATTACTGCATCTGATAATCTCGGACCACGCCTTCTCAGAGAGCCAGCCTGGCGCCGGGTTCTCGAACGGATTGTCCAGCGCCACGCCACCAGTCAGCAGGAACGCCACCAGCTCATCGTCCAGTTTACCCTGGACAATGCAATACTAATATTAAAAAGACAATTGTAAGTTTGTATGTCGGGGGCTTAGAACCGCTGGTCGATTTCCAAAATTCTGTCACTTATTTCTTGGTTCCTGAGTGCTATATGTTATATTTATTCGTGTAAGAAAGTAATTCGCTAGAGACGCGGGCGAAGCTACGCGGAACAGCTAGTCTATCTATAGTAAAAAATCATGTCATGTAAGTTTGACCGTGGCTATAAGCAACCAGCTGATATGCCACGTATAGGTACTAATAGTTTTTTCTAATCTGGGTGATATGTATGTGCAATTGTATGTTTGTACAACGATAAACAGTGTGGGGATGTATTACTTATTTAAACTTTATGCAACAAAATTACATAGGCGGACTTAATCCCGTAGGCATTCTCACCAGTCAACCTTAGGGTGATGCAGAGAGTGTATCGTAGGTAGGTAGGTAGGTAGGTAGGTAGGTATATGTAATGTAATTATAAAAATTACTGAAGAATACTAAAAGTTGTATTAAAACATTGGATGAAATCAGGTTGATGATGATCAAAACTGTATACACAAGAAGAAGGTTTTTGAAATATGAAATAATGACTATTCTTCTTAATTATTTTTTTGAAATACGAAATAATTTCATATGCGCATCCGGAGCGTGTCCAGTATAATAATCATTTCTACATCCGTATCCGCAATTTCATATCCATAGACATATGAAATTGCGGATTATTACAGAATCTAATCTTAATACATTCATCTATTGTAGCAAGCTTCCTACCTTAGACCTCAGTATACCGAGTGTGAGAACGAGAGAGAAGATGAGCTTGTCCTTCTCGAACAGACTGCGGCAGACGTTGTCGTAAATGCTCTTTGTGAAGAACGCGTTCAGACCGTCCAGCCTCTCTGATAGTACTTCCGACTTGGGCGAGTTTAATATAGCCTGGTTGTACAGGTTTATGAACCTGGGGAAGAAGAAAGATTTAAGAATTCATTTTTTTATCAAGGATTTGATATTTTTCCAATACAGCATGAAAATTAAAAAGTAGGTACAGCTTAATTGTATTAAACATTCTAAACTTCAGTTATACAAAAATAGATACCTATACAGTAACAGCCTCTACTATTAAGATAATTTGCGCATAGTTGCGCTGGTTGCGCTAAAAGTACAAGTCTGTTTAGCGCAAGGACTGCACTAAATACCACTAAATAAATTATTTATGATTTCTAACTTTAGAAATAAGCTGACAATCAATAACTACGAATATATTGGACCAAATAGTCACAAACCACTCACCAGACCAAGGAGTACTGGTACATAGGATCGATGTTGGCGAGATCAGAGATACAGAAGAACAGCACGGAGCTATGCTGGGACACGGGGACATACTGGAGCCGGGCCTTGTCTATCTCGGCCTCCGTGATGGTGGCCGCCGCCTGCTTGGCCTCGATCTCGATGGACAGCACCCTCGACGAGGACAGGATCTGATTCGCTGACTCATCTTCTAGAATGTTGCCGGCTGACGATAGCACCTAGTGGAAGATTTTTTTATGTTATAGGTGGACAAACGCGCAATCAGTCTACCCGATGGTAAGCAAACAGCGCATGGATAGCACATGGACCCCCGTCATTAAGGAGGAGTTATGAATGCGTTGCCGACCATTTGGGGATTAGTGATATGGAGATTTTGGGATTGAATTGGGAGGGATAAGGGAAGGAAAAAAATTGGGAATTGTTTTACCTTCATTTACTTTCATTGTTAGGTATAGAACCTTTCCCTACAGTTTGTATTTATTTCTGTCTCACCTCTAGAATCTTATCCTCAATTTCTTTGAGTGTCCTCTTGTTGTGCGCTCCCTCGACGATTAGCTGATTCTTCTTTAGTTCGAGCTCAGGTCTGTCTTGTGCCACTACTATACCTAGTAGCTGGTCTTGTAACCCTTGTGGGGTTATCATGAAGTTCAGCAGGGTCACCTGTGAACCAATGAAAGGTATTGAAAGGTTAGTACGACTGGGTCGAATAGTCGGAATCACACATTGCTAAGAAAATAGATCTTAGCTCCTCAATTGTTTTGGGAATATGAGTGCAAGCGCACTGATTTACCGCGGGCACGGGCTCAAGCACGAGGAGGAAAGAGACATAAGTAATGGAGACCCCATTTCGCCCCACCCAGGGCACATAACACGACGAAAGAACGAACTACAAACAAGCATTCCAATTAGATGGTGGTAAGCAATCAGTGCCGCCCATAGACACTCATACCAAATGAATTACTACAACTGCGTAGCCAGCGTGGGTCAGTCGTGGGTTATTAGGGTTTAAGGTAGGGGATTTGAGTATTGAGGATAAAGAGGGAGGGGCGGGTACACGGATTGGGTCGCCGGTAACCTCACTCACACAGCGAAACACAACGTAAGTGTTGCTTTACGTAGGTTTTCTGTGAGGCCGTGGTATCACTCGAGCAGACTCATTCGTGACGAAGAATCTCTCCCACACTTAACTAATAACTGTTGAAAAGTGAGTGTTACTTCCAATATGGCACTGCATGCACCTCAATTAGAATATGATGGCATTTCTCACTGACCTTCACAGCGACTTCAGGCAAGTAATGTGGGTTACTGAGCCTGGTGGTGATGTAGAACCTGAAGCTGTAGTTGTACTCCAGGATGCTGTCGCCCAGCTTCAAGCAGTCAACCCCACCAGACCTGAACATCAATTAATATTGTGTACCATCTAATGTATTAGAATCGAAGTTAGTTGGAGTAAACAGGTTTGATCTCCAGTGGTGTCATATTATATATCAGGGAATGTGTAAAGAAAACAAAAATGTTTTTTTGATGGTAAGAAAATGTTTTTATGACGATAAGCAATCGATTGACACCTGCAAAACCGGAGAAGTTATCGACCTTTTGGGAATTAGGGGTTTGGAGACTAAGGGCTTTCTACGGGGCCGTAGCATGTCTCCGGTTTGCCAAGTGTAGCGGCACTATCACGTCGCTACATTACTTAGATACGATAGAGATAAGACATACATGTTAATTGTTGCACGTTTGTTAGGATAGCTAAATCTGAAAATCTCACGCATCTTCTTAGTATATAAGCACCAGCAATTAAAGTAATAAACAGACCTTAACCATCTACAGTCTCATTATTTACCTTGCCACGAAGTCTGGCAAATTGGTGACCCGACGAAGAACAATCAACATGACTCATTCACCCTGCAAATCAAGCAGCAGCCAACAAGAAGCCTTGGAGATATCAGCCGGAACCGCCATTTTATCCCGTATTCCGGAATTTTGGAGGGACCAACCCAGATTATGGTTTAAGCAACTAGAAGCCATAGTAGCACCACAGAAGCAAGGAGACGATTACAAGTACTATACGGTCATTGCAAAACTGCCAAAAGAAGAAATAATACAGGTTAGTGACCTCATTACTTGCCCACCGCCAATAGAAAAGTACAAGGCTATCAAAGAACGCCTAATCAGTTGCTATGAGGAATCAGACCAACGTCAGCTCCAAAAATTATTGTCTGAAATGGATCTCGGCGACCAGAAACCATCACATCTTCTGCGCAAGATGCGGACCCTGAGTAACGGAAATATCAGCGACGAAACCATCAAACTTCTATGGTTGAGGCTTCTGCCACCATCAGTGACTTCGGTTCTAGCAGTCACAGAAGACATAGATGTGAACAAGATGAGCCAGATCGCGGACAAGATATTAATAAATTCAACACGTACAGAGGTGTCAGCTGTAAACGGAAACAAATCTGGCGACGATACAATGTCATGCATACTAGCACAGTTAGCAGAAATGCAATTGGAACTAAATGCAATTCAGCAAGGTCAAAAAAACTATCGACGCAGCACTCAAAGTTATTCCAATCGTCGGCATTTCCTACCACAGTCAAGTTCAAGAGAAAGAAGGCACTTTTGTTTTTACCATGGAAGATTTAAAAAATATGCACAAAAGTGTGTTCAACCTTGTGATTGGAAACAGGATCTCAACTCAAGGAAACAGGGAAACTAATTGAAGCACGGACAACGGCGGAACTCTGTGCTATTCACCCGTCCAACCGCCTCACTATTACCGACCGAAAAAGTGGTATGAGATTTTTGATTGACACGGGAGCAAATATTTCAGTTATTAGCAAGCCACAGAGACAGTCACTAATACAAGATGAACAATGTATACTTTATGCCGCCAATGGTACAAAAATTAAGACATATGGTGAAAAAACACTCTCTTTAAACTTCGGGCTACGAAGAAACCTTGTATGGAACTTTGTCATCGCCGATGTAACACAACCGATTATTGGAGCAGATTTTTTAGAGCATTATAAGCTATTAGTCGATATAGCTGGTCGAAAACTCATAGATAGGGTAACTGAGCTGACAACGCCCGCAACCCTGATCAAATCGACGCAGCAAACAATCCGCACTATTAACATTGAGACGAATCCACGCATTACTCAACTATTAAATGAATACGAGGATATTACGAAACCAGCCTCCCTCCACACTACTCCAAAACACAAGATTAAGCATCATATTATCACTAAAGGACCACCGGTATCAGCACGTGCAAGACCATTACCTCCTGATAAATATCATATAGCAAAGAAAGAATTTCAGACTATGATGGAGCTTGGCATTTGTCGCCCTTCGGACAGCCCATGGGCTAGTCCTTTGCACATGGTTAAGAAAAAGAACGGTGAATGGAGACCATGTGGAGATTATAGAATGCTCAATAGCGTGACTGTACCGGACAAATATCCACTTCCACGACTAACTGATTTCACTTACATACTAGAAGGGAAGCAAATCTTTTCCAAAATTGATATTCGAAAGGCGTACCACTGCATTCCTGTAGAAAATGTGGAAAAAACTGCTATTATCACTCCTTTTGGACTTTTCGAATTTCCAAAAATGCCTTTCGGTTTACGTAATGCGGCGCAAACATTCCAACGATTCATGGACTCGCTATTCAGGGATTTGGATTTCGTATTCATATTCGTCGACGATTGTCTTATAGCATCTGAAAACGAGGCTCTACATTATCAACATTTGGATACGGTTTTCAAACGTTTACATGAAAATGGATTAACAATTAATCTCGAAAAATGTGACTTTCTTAAGAGTGAAATAGATTTTCTGGGTTATCATACAACACGTCGAGGAATACGACCAACGGAGGAAAAGTACAAAGCAATTATGGAATTTCCTAAACCTACGACAATCAAGGAGCTAAGAAGATTTTTAGGAATGATCAACTTTTACAGAAACAATCTCCCTCATGCCGCTGAATATCAAACTATCTTAAACAACTACCTGCACGACTCTAAAAAGAATGATAATTCTCCAATTTCTTGGACAACAGAGGCCGAAAAAGCTTTTGATAAATGCAAGGAAAATATAATGAACGCAGTATTAACAGTTCACCCCTCTCGCACCGCCCCTTTGGCACTTATGACGGACGCCAGTTCGACCTGTGTTGGCGCAGTTCTGCAGCAGAAGTCAGGACGTAATTGGGAACCATTAGGATTCTTTTCAAAGAAATTAAGTGATACTCAACAAAAATACTCGACATTCGACAGAGAGTTGCTCGGAATATATATGGCAGTCAAACATTTTCAAAGGTTAGTCGAAGGAAGAGAATTTACTATCTTTACAGATCATCGACCTTTGACTTACGCATTTTCCCAAAAACCGTCATCTAATGATACGCCACGGCGAATACGACAACTGGATTTTATTTCACAATATTGTACCAACATTCAACATATAGAAGGACGTGACAATATTGTAGCTGACGCATTGTCACGGATAGAACAAATTGATGTGCCAGCACCGATTAATTATGCTGATTTAGCAAGATGTCAGCATGATGACCAAGAATTATTACGACTTCGCAATAACAAGAATTTAAAATTTTCAAATATCAAGGTTCCGGGTTCTACTGAAGTCATCGCCTGTGACATATCTACAGGAAAAAATCGCCCCTATTTACCAGAAAAATTTCGGAGACAAATTTTTAATGTCATGCATGGACTGAGTCATCCTGGGAAGAGAGCTACTAGGAAAATGATAACTCAAAGATATTTATGGACAAGTATGAATAAAGATATAAATGAATGGTGTAAATCGTGCCTAGCTTGTCAAAAATCAAAAGTGCAACGCCACACTATATCACCTGTCGGGAACTTTATGCCATCTCAACGTTTTGAACATCTACACATCGATATTGTTGGACCGTTACCTGTTTCTCAAGGAAAGCGATATTTAATTACAATGATAGATCGTTGTACTTCTTGGCCGGAAGTATTTCCCGTTAAAGATATCACAGCCGAAACAGTAGCGCGCATACTGTATGAGGGATGGATAGCAAGATTCGGATGCCCATTACGCATTACTACGGATCAAGGTCGACAATTTGAATCAAGAATATTTGAATCACTTTCACAATTTTTAGGAGTACACAAAATTAGAACAACGCCTTATCACCCACAATCAAATGGAATGATAGAGAGATTTCATAGAACTTTAAAAGCGGCGCTAATATCAAGAGAATCTAATGCTAATTGGATGAACGAAATTGCTTCAGTTCTACTTGGATTACGAAGTTGTGTACGCGAGGACACAGGATATAGTGCAGCAGAGATGATATATGGCGCACCTATAAGGCTTCCCGGAGAATTTTTTGAATCGTCACAGCCTTCGACATACGAAGAATTTGTCACAAATATACAAAAGGACATTTCTCGTATGACATCAACATCAAAACGCAAGAAAATTAAACAAACAGTTTTCATTCACCCCGAGCTCAACAAATGCTCACATGTATTCGTGCGCTGTGACAGAATAAGGAAAAGTTTAACACCACCATACGAAGGACCATTTCTAGTGACAAAGAGGATAGATAAGACGTTTATCATTAAAATTGGGGACAATGAAAAAGCAATATCTATAGACCGATTAAAACCTGCATTTGTCTTCAATAGTGGAACGAACGTGCCAAATTCAGAAAATAATCACAACGGGCGGAACACGTACATCACGAAGTCAGGACGGGCGGTTAAGCCGACAGTACGATTCGTCACTTGCTGACACAAGTAATCAGTCCATTTAAATACTCACCGTATTTTGAAAATACCATCATATACCGTCAGTATCTACGAGAGAACAATGGGCAACCAAAGCTCCAAAGATCAAATCGTATATAACTCCGACAGTTGCCTTAATCAAAATGAAGCCGACCATCTCAAAAGTCTTGTCCTGGAAGAGCTACGGTGGACGAGAAACATTGCAATTGGACAAATCCTCATCACAATTGGCATCCTTCTTCTCTACGGAATACTGAAGACCTTAGACAGAAGAGTGAAAACAATAGCAAGAAACAATCAGCACAAATGCAGTGGATAGTTCATCGACTGCCGCCGCCGTCACAACAAAGGCAGCAGTTTTTATTTCCTTCGAATTAGCAACAATGACATTACATTACGCATAGGATGTAATTTATCAGCAAGGTTAAGTTATTATATAATTAGGTACATACTAATTTTTTTCAATTTATATGTTAATTATTTTTAAAAGGGGGGAGTATATGTAGCGGCACTATCACGTCGCTACATTACTTAGATACGATAGAGATAAGACACACATGTTAATTGTTGCACGTTTGTTAGGATAGCTAAATTTGAAAATCTCACGCATCTTCTTAGTATATAAGCACCAGCAATTAAAGTAATAAACAGACCTTAACCATCTACAGTCTCATTATTTACCTTGCCACGAAGTCTGGCAAACCAAGCTTGGTTCTCCCACACTTAAATCTTACTTAATATAATAAATGCGAAAGTTACGATGTTTGGATGTTTGTTACTCAATCACGCCAAAACGGCTGGACTTTTATTAACATAACATGCGGGCGTAGCCGTCGGCGGAAGCTAGTATTATGATAAATCTGTCAAGCACCCTCACCTAAAGACGTTCCTCAACAGCACAGGTTCCAGCAGTGCATCCAAAGTCTCCCGTACGTTCTCCAGCATGACGGGGAAGCCGAGCTGGATGGCGTTCTCCAGCACCCTGGCGTAGTTGGGATCCGTCAGCTTTATCACCTTCAGCTGGTTGTCGCGCTCCATGTTCTTTATCCATTTATTCGCTTGCTCTAGAGTAGAAGAAAGATAAAAATCCCTATTGTAGCGAAAGTTAATTTAATTTTGTCGAATACATTTTTTGTTAATATGCAACTCTAAGATATTCCGCTTTATCGGAAAAACTACTAGTGAGCAGCTACGTTTCATCTTTTTTTATTAGGTTTTTAGTCTTTGTGAATTATGGTTGGTAGTAGGCACAGAGTTACGTTCGGTTCGAGACCAATCTTCGGAAAATATATATAAGGCGACATATAAATTACCACATCTATATATACCACATCTGTTAACATAACAGATGTGGTAACCTACTGTAATTTATATGACGCGAGACTGTTTTTTATATGTGATAGGTCGGCAGACGGACAACGTGATACTGACTGAGCCAATCCATTCGTGCCGAAGCTTTGTTCCTAACAGTTAAATACATACACATACTTAATGTATTGTAAATAACGACTACCTTTATATCACAATGGGACTCAAGGGTTGGAACTCGGCAGTAAAGGAAACTTCTTGTAGAGCAAAGTAAGATAAATGGTTCACATTCGACAATTACCTTGCGGGTCTATCATGAGCGCCCATCGCCGCGACTTATCCACGATGATACCGTTCTGTATGGAGTAGTTGTCCACGGGCAGCCCCGCGATGTTCCACACTCGGATCACTACTGGCTCGCCCAGAGTTGCGATCAGGGAGAACGTCTCCGAGCATGGGATCCCTGGAAAAACCACAACACACGATGTTTCCACCATATTGACTGGATCAGATTGACTGGGTAACTGGTCGACCGTGCAACCCTTTTGATACCCGCACGGGACAACTCTTTGTAGAATATAAAAATTGTTGTTCCGGGTCTGGGTGTTAAGTGTATGTGAAATTGTATGTTTGTAAATGCACCCACGGCACAGTAGAAAATCCTAATGGGGCAACGTTTCTTTCTTTTTTCAAAGTCAAATTCTAGTAGAACATTGTGGGTTAGGTGTCAATCGCAAATATTTTCTTATCTTTAATTAGCTGCGTGAGGTTCGCTACATCATGTGTCGCGCAAAATTACTGAAATATACGAGCTCCTAAGATTTTAAAGTCATGCAAGTAAGCCGTTTAACATAAAGATTAATTTAATGTCCAACAAAAAAGACAAAGTGGAGACTGAGAGATTCATGAAGATCTTTACGAGTCATAAATCTCATGATATAGCCACCTGGAAATGCTAAAAGAACTATTATTATTATTTATTATGATAAGGTATCATAAGGCTCACAGCTTATGTATACAAAATTGTTAGGAGTATTATACATTAGCCAGTTACGAGCTAACCAACTTCTGAAAATATGCGAACTATCGACTTAAGTCTACCAGATTTACCCATTAACTGCTTAGAAGAATAAGCTAAATTCTTACGTAATATCCTGGCCCTCCTGTTCCACATCTGTATGACCTCGGTTCTGTAGTTCACCGTGAAGGGACCTAGGTACGCGATACATCCCGCCGACAGCAATACATCGCCTAAAGAGACAATAATATAGGTACTATAATTCCTCTATTAAAAAAATATAACTGCCAAGCACTTTTTCTCATGGCATCAAATTGAAAATGTCATGTTGGCCTACAAATTAAGGCGCCCACTTCTCGTGCAGTTTGAAACTTGGTTACTTTCTAAGTTTTTGGACATCTAATTTGTTTTTTTTTATGATCCAGTAAACGAAAACAAATGTGAGCAAAACGCGAATGTTAATTTCAATTATAAGTTTGAAATTATCGCCAATGCGCCTTGAGTAAAGCGTGGCGTTCTTCGTGTATGTGAAGACTTTTTTGCTCAGCTGTGATGCTGTGATGAATGATTATAACTTCACATGTAATGAATCACACAGTGTGTTCATCATTTAAAAGTTTCTTATTTGCAAACCATTCATAGATAGTCGAAAGGCTTGATTAACTACCCTTCATGGAACCATAAAATATAATGTTTCTGACACTCTCTCTCTTTTTGTAATTAGAAAAAAATATACTACTACCACTACATAACTCCATATAAACTACCACTGACCTATAATATTAGACAGCAACTCCTGCAGATCCTTGGCGAGTTCGGTCCACCGCGCCTTCTCCCCTCCAAGTCCACCGATGAGCCGCTCAGCTCGTATCAGCTTGGTGGAGCAAATGTGGATCTCGTCCTCTAGACCTTTCTTCTTGCGGGTCATCTCCGCGAACTCGTCGTTTAGAGTCTACGAGTAAAGGATGTTTTGAATTGACCCCAAAAAATGTGATTAGTCTTGGGCATGCCCACTGCCATACTCCTGAACTAGAACTAGAATGCTGGTTAAAAGTTTAGAAGAGACGTTCAAAAAGCACTGCTTGGATTTTTTCCTTCGTTTTTTCACTTATGTGCGATTTTTAATTTATATTTTTTTTTATTTTGAAGAAGGAAGACGAGGATCGAGCTTCCCTTGGTCTCTTTTACACGGCGAAACATAACGTATCTAAGTGATTTTTTAAGGTGACACTCAATAAGGAAATGGTTAGCTTCACTAAAAGGACTGACCGGCAGACTGACACTTTATATCTTTAAATTTGATTTGACGTTCAAAAGTGCATGTTGGGTTCTAATTGAAATAAATGATTTTTTGAGATTTTGAATGATACCTATGGGCGCCGAAATATTTTTATATTAAATGGAATAGGAGGCAAACGAGCAGATGGATCCCCTGATGGCTAGTGATCGACGCCTCCCATGGACACCTGCAGCATCAGAGGAGTCACAGGCATGTTATCGGCCTCTTATGAAGGAGTATGCTCGTTTCTTGAAGATTTGAAGGTCGTATCGATTCGGGTAAGCCCCATAAGTCACCGCGGCCTCGGCCTAAAGCAGGAGAAGGAACGGGGGAGTTTTTAGTCAATAAGACACTTCCTCTCACCTCACCCTTTTTTTTTTTTTTACTTGTGCAATAAACCAGTGCTTGACTGCGATCCCACCTGATGTTAAGCAGTGATGCAATCGTTAATGGTAAGGCGCACTAGTTTATTAAGAGCCTATTCACTCTAGCCTTGAAGACACCTAAGTTGTATTCGGACGGAAAGACTGCAGCCGGCAAACTGTTCCAATCCCTCGATGTACGCGGTATAAATGACGAGGCAAAACGCTTAGTCCGGGCCGCAGGTGTCTCAACAAGGTAGGGGTGGATATTCGCCGTACGCCGGGATGTCCGAAGGTGAAATTGGGATGGCGGAATCAAATCGTGCAATTCCTGGGCACACTCTCCAAAATGTATCCTGTAGAAAACCGCAAGGCTGGCTACTCTGCGCCTTTGCTCGAGACTTTGAATATTGGACCCAACCAAATCTGGATCTCCAATCAGCCTCTTTGCACGCCTTTCCACCGAATCCAAAGCCGCTAGGTGGCATTTCGCAGCACCAGCCCATATGTGGCTGCAGTACTCCACACACGATCGGATCTGAGCTTTATACAACATTAGAAGCTGACTCGGTGTGAAGTACCGTCGGACTTTTGCAAGAACGCCGAGTTTTCTAGCAGCTACCTTGGCTCTGGACTCAATGAACCGCCCAAAGTTGAGGTCTGAAGCAATGTCCATTCCCAAGAGCTGAAGGCGGTCGGTGCACTCCAGGGATACATCCCGAAAGCAGGAGCCAAGGTGAACGGGCTCCTTTTGGCGGTGAATAGACACGCCTGTGTTTTGGTGGCGTTGAATGTTACCAGATTAGTTTTGCCCCACTTTGAAACTACCTGAAGTGAGACATTCGTACGCTCTACCATAGCCTCCCTTTCAGACTGGATTAGCTCCTTACTAGCCCGAGCACTGGGCAGGTATCTCTCTACAACTGTGCTATCATCTGCATACCCAAGGATACCAGGCACTAGCAGATCATTAATGTGGAGCAGGAATAGAGTTGCAGAGAGAACAGACCCCTGAGGAACACCGGCATTAGTCGACATAGGCTCTGATGAGCATCCATCGATAACAACTCGGAGTGACCGTCCACTCAGGAAGTCTTTTACCCAGTTTATCAGTCCAGGAGAAATGCCGTACGCTGGAAGCTTAGACAAAAGGCCATCGTGCCATACCCTATCGAAGGCCTTCGACACGTCTAAGGACACGGCAATAGCTTCCCCATTCCCCTCGAGGGCCTCGCCCCACAAGTGAGTGGCATAAACTAGTAGGTCCCCAGTAGACCGGTTGCGGCGAAATCCATACTGTCGGTCGCTGAGGAGATCGTTACCTTCTAGATATGCCATGAGGCGCGAATTCAACACTCACCCTGGGCGGGAGAAACAATCTGATGATTATCCCGTTACAAAAAGAAAACCCCCGTCGTACCTGCAGTTTGTCGAGTACAGCCTGTAGTTGGGCGCGCTTGGCGTTGAGCGTGTTCATCTGCGCCTGCAACTCCGACTCTGCTTCGAACAGCGCCGCCTTCTTCGGGGCCACCACCTACACAGGAAACGGAAGCAAGGGCTGAACATTATCATCCGGACACTGGTTGTAATTTAAAAAAGGAATACGCTTAAATTTAAGTAATATAGTCTATGTTGAATAAGGTTAAGTTATCTGTAATGGCAAAGTTATATGTGAAATATATAAATAAAACAATGAAAGTAATTTATCTAATATTTTCCTCTAAATAAAATAAATCAACAGAGTACCAAAACAACAAGTTCTGTTTTTTATGTGATAGGTCGGCAAACTAGCCAGTGAATATCCTGACAGTAAGCAATCGGCGCCCTCCATGGGCATATGCTACACCAGAGGAGTAACAAGGCCTTTTGAGAATAAAGGTTTTGGAGGCTTAGGGATTGGGGCTGGGAAAGATGGAAGAGGATCGGACCTCCGGTAACTTCACTCACACGGCTATTTGGTATAGTAACCTCAAAACGCCGCTGAGATCATTCTACCAACATCTACATACCTTGATGACCCTATCGTAGACGTCCATGGCACGCACCCACCGACATAGACCCTCGCACGCAGACGATACTTTCGCGATCACAGCAGGATCGAAGTCACGGTCCGGAATGTATCTGTCATCATTTGTTTCTTATTGAGATTTTTATTTGTTTACTTATTTAACTTTATGTACAAAGTACATCATTATCATCATCAGCTAAATTCAGGTTTTTTCAAATCCTGAAAAACCTGGACTCATAATTTCTAATAATAAGTTAGAAATTGCAAATCCTATGCAAGCGTGGTGACTAATGCTCAAACCATCTCATGAGAAGAGGCCTTTACTTAACAGTGGGCACTTATAGGCTGGTGTTGATGGTGTCATACTTTAAAAAAGTTTAACATCTATTTTTTTTAAATCGTTGCCCCACACTAGGATTTTCTCCTGTGTCGTGCATGCGTTTACAAACATACAATATCACATACACATCACACCCAAACCCGGAACAATCTGTGGAAAAAATATATGGGAAAAAAGATGTGTGAATAAATATATGGGATGAAAGTACCTCTCTCTAATCTTTTTCATGATTGCCGGCGGTATATTGTCCTTGTCGTAGTTCTTCAGGCTCTCGAGGAACTTCATGTCTCCAAGCATCTTCAGCGAGGGACCCCAGTAGTCTTCGAACGGTTTACCTGCAGCATTGGACAAGATAATTAATGATAAATGGTTAAGTGGAAGAAGAATACATAATAATGAATTTTAAATCGCCAATCCATCTTGAGCGGTTATCCATCGCAATTAATGCTCAAACCTTCTCCGTGTCAGAGGAGGCGTTTATTCAGTAATAGGCGCTTTTAGAAAAGTCTTTAGTACTGACCATTAGGATCGAACTTCCTATCTCCTTTGATCCCCTTCATCACACAGACAGCTTCCATGACCAGCTTGACTCCACCCGGCGGGTTCTTCATGGACTTGACGAGGGTGATATCAGCTGGCTTCAGGGTGTTAAGGGCATTGAGTGCAGCTTCCAGAGCCGGTACAGCCTCAGCCAGGTCAGACTCGCAGTCGTCTTTGATGGCCTGAGCTGCTGCAGCCGCCTCGTTGGCTAACGCTTCATCTGCACCTACAATCTGTAAAAGAAGGTTTTAAGTAAACACTAACAGAATTTTAACAGCGATCAAACAAAAGTTTTGGTTTAGGTTGAAAAACCAAATCTTTTGTTTATAATAAAAGAGAATATGTTTATTAAAAAGTATTATTTATAAATAAAAATATCAGTCCAAAGTTGGCAATAAAGAAATTAATGATATGTAAAGGCAATCCTATTTTAGTGTCTTACACCCGGTTTCCGAAAGCCGATCAATGTTAAAATCAATCGGTTGACTTTTGGTTGACTAAATTATCAACAACCAATCAGATGACTTGACAAGAGATTTGACACCTATAGTCAGACTTTTAATTCGATTCCTGATTTGACATTGACCACTGTCATTTTGTGAAATAATGATACCACATATAACAGTGTAGTGATGAACACAAAAATCGATAAACAATCAGTGAATCAGATTCAGGAAGGCATTCAAAAAATTACGGCTACCGAATGGTCTAAATGTGTATCCCATGTTTTCAAAGAAGAGGAAAAAATGAGTAAGCTGGATATGTTAATTGACAATAAATATCAAAGACACAATTCATAATAAATGTTACATAGAGTAACGGCGATAGCGATAGCGATGACGGCGACAATTTATAAAATGTCTGTTTTATTTGTCACGTTCCTTCATGATCACATTTTTTATCAATTTCACACACAATTACAAAAGAAAAGTCTCAGATCGTTAATTAATTGTCAAAACTAAATTATCGGTTCAGAAATATTTTATTTCCTGATAAACTTAGTTTACGAGAGTAAATTTATAAACGAGAGGAATCGATTCAGAAATATTCGATTTCCATATCGAATAATTTCGCAACGTCACTATTTATTACGTGTCATAACGTTGCAACACTGAAATTGTCAAATCTGGAATGGAATTAAAATTCCGAGTATAGTTAGTTGATTTTAACATTGATCGGGCTTTCGGTGGCCGGGCATTTATATCATTAATACAATGGTAAAATAAAGAATTAGATGGATACAAGTAAGGTAATTTTCTATTTAAAGTAGCATCTCACAGTTTATGCATATGAAAAGAACAAAGTTATTTTCTTGACATTTTTAACGCAACCCCGGAGCAAGAGAAAAAACGAAGTGGTATTTATATCGGAAAAACAAAAGTTATTTCCATAGTCCGCAGTGTAATGTTACTGTCCGTTGATAATGATATACAGCTCCTAAATATAGTATACATGGAGTACAACAATTTTCGAGGATGTCCGACTAATTTCAAACTGCACCGAAGCTCATATTTATGAGGTAAGCTTACTACTGAGCCGTCAAAGCGCTGTCACTTAATAAAGTTATAAGTATACGTATGGTTATAAAAAAAATCTAGTTACCTCTTTTTGCTTCTCAACAACGACAGTATCCTGTTCGATCTTGATCATGAGCTTCTCAGTCTTATCTGATGTTTCCACCAGCTGTGGCTGCAAGTCCCTGAGGTTCTGCTGCATCACCGCCACCTGGCCGGCTGCGAAGTCCAGCTGTTCCAGACCAGTTTCGTACCTGAACGTAGATAAAAAGGTATCCAGCTTGATTTTAGTAATAATAATGAGTACAACATTACAAGAAAGAAAGAAAACATTAGGTTTATTTAGTAAAGCACATACTACAAAATTATAAAAAAAAAACTATATGATAAGTATCATACTGAAAGTAATGTATGTTGATCTACAAAATATACAATAAAATAAATTAAAGAAAAACATTGAAAAGCTGTAATAACTAAAACTGTCTCCCTCCCCCTGTATTTTCGTTACAAAACAACAAAAAACATAGTAACCAATTTGGTATAGCCATTCATGAGTTATTTGAACATATATATATAATTTGGAGATCAATTAAAAAACTTGCCTGATCCTGGACAACGTGATCTGATCAACTTTCAAAGCATACAAGGACATGAAAGCTTTGATCAGCTCCAAGTAACTGGTCGGAGTGACGTATACCATCCTCCTTTGTTCCTTGTAGAATCTGGAATCCAACGAAATCTCAAGTGGTTAACAGGATTCTTCTTCTTATAAATCAGTTTTTACAATGGAAAGCTGGCTTTCCCATATACCCCAGCATAAAATTTTTACATCTGATAACATGAACGATAACTTTGCATTGTTTTTGTAACGCAATCCCGGAGCAAGAGAAGAAACGAGGTGGTATTTAGTCAGTAAGAGTCTGACACTCCCTCTCGCTCACCCAGGGCGGGAGAGGTCATTGGATAAACACAGTCAAGCACTTAATGCCATTATGTATATTTAAAAATGTTTTGAACATTGTTTACTTGAAAAAGTACCTACCTATCGCTAAGCTGTACGACGGATGTATGGAAGAGCTGGCACATGTCGACGCAGGCCAGGCGGAGCTCGTCCTCCACATCCTCCATCTCGAAGATGAACATGTGCGCCACTCGCTCCAAGGCGTCCGATGGCCATGCTGTGAACCTGTATACCAATAATACTTGCTCTGAAAGACTCAATTTTTGAACTCGACAGATGGCGCTTGTAACGACTCATGAATAATGAAATCTTTAATTGATCACAAGCTAGAAATTTCTTAGAAATAAAAAGATATTGACTACGACTTCGAAAATCCAAAATAGAATTTAAGATTCAATGTGGTATTCAATATATAATCGTTACATTCAAAACCTATGACGTTGAAAGTTTCATAGAATCATACAAGCAGGGAGATATGATACTTATAATACATAGTGGGTTGTTGGCTTGAGCGGATAGATACCACGGCGTCACAGAATACCGGCGTTATATAATGCTGGTTTCTGGAGGTTGAGGTTACCGGAGGCTTACCTACCCCTTTCCTACCATGTCTAACCCACAAATTCCTAAGAACACACAAAAGGCCAGAATCGCAGCTCTAAATCCTCCAGTGTGTCTATAATCTGCACCCATTGCTTACCATCATCTTGGCCTCGTTCTTTTGCCGACCAAATCTAAATAAAAAATACACGTTTAAATAACGTACCAATCGATGGTGGCACAGTTGATGAGTGAGGGGAACATGCGCAGTCGGTTGCGGAACGAGTCCCCGATGGGGGACATGGAGAGCACTATGCGCAGGTTGGCCTTCACTCGCTCCACGTAGAAACCGAACATCGCCAGCGGAGTTGTTTCTAGTTTTTTACCCTATGATGAAAATATCGTATTTTAAGTGCCCGATAAATTTATGTGGCACATTGTTCATCAAAACTACGTTGTACATATATTCAAATTAATCTGTATCTGTTTCATATTGGTTATCAGGATATAGTGAGAACAGGAACTATATGTCTTTAACACTTCTGTAGGCGACAACTGAATGCAGGACTGTCCTCAGTTGGCATAAACTCTCCGACCATAATATGTGCTATATTTACAATTACCTACATTGGTTGATGTATGTAGGTAACTGTACAAATTATTTAATTTATTTACATCTTAAAACTAAACTTACAAACTAACAAAATTACAGTTAATAATATATACTATATACATATACCTACACACATTTATATACATATTTACATTTTGTTCACAATACATGTATAATACCTAATACATAATACTTCCTTACCAGTTGGTCGATAAAATTTCCTTCGATAGTCGATAATACAAAAACTATCGACTGGACCCTCACCACTAATCACCAATATAGTTATAAGTATCCTTAACTATCGATGATCGCTTGCCGATGCGCCCGCACACACCTGTGGAACCAGTCTTGCCGAGACATTGCTAAGACGCGCATTTATTGTAATTCTTCCGCTATCCTAACGCTGTGATAATTACGCTATTTCTGTTTTCTACTTCTTTCTTATTGTTAGGTCTTTCTTATTGTTCTTTGAAAAACTTGATTTATTGCTAAGCCAATTTTGCCGTCCTAGATGTAAAGTAATAATTTGTGGGGATTTTAATATTGATATTCTGAAAAAGACTAGATTATCATCTGATTTTCTATTGACTGTGTCAAGTTATAATTTAAAATGGGCGTTTACTGAAGCTACACGTAAAATAAGCGGTACTTGTATTGATAATTTTTTACACACTATCCATGGTTGCAAAAGTAGAATACTTGAATTTGCCCTCTCGGACCATACGGCACAATTACTCACCTGCCCAGTAAAGCGTAAATGTATTTTAGAAAATTGGTTTATAGAGAAGCGAGATTACAGCCAGGAAAATATTGATAAATTCAAAGAATGCATAAAATCCCTTTCTTTTAATGAAGTTTTTGAAGAAAAAGACCCACATAATGCATTTAATATTTTCTATGAAACTTTCACTCTCTTCTATTACTTATGTTTCCCACTCTCCTTAGTAAAAATAAATGCTCAAAAACGTCCAAAGTGGATAACAAAAGGTATTAAACTTTGCTGCAAACGTAAACGAGAATACTTGTGGCAATATCGAAGGTCACGAATTTCAACAAATAAAATAAAATTTAAAACCTAAGCGGCCAAGTTAAATTGGATAATAAAATCTACGAAAAAATCCCAAAATGATGAATTCATACGCAACTCTAGTAACAAGTGCAAAGCGACTTGGAGGGTTATCAACAGTACGCAGTGCAACGCACCCAGAAATCAAATAACTAACATAAAAATTGACAATTCACTTACTATAACTAATCCTAAGACTATAGCAAATTCTTTTAATGACTTTTTTATTGACCAGGTAACACAAATTAATTCTAATAATAAAATTGTTTATCCTCCAAGTATCCCAAATTCATTATATATGTCACCTACATTTCCAAAGGAAATATTTGACATAATTAGCAACCTAAAGAACACTAACAGTACCGGTTATGATGACGTATCCACAATTATACTTAAACACGTGTCGCATAAAATATCGTATATACTGAGCCATATAATTAATTTATGTATTACAAATGGGGTTTTTCCTGATAAATTAAAAATAACAATTATAAAGCCTCTCTTTAAGAAAGATGATACGTCATCAATGACCTGTTATAGACCAATTGCGTTGATTCCCACTATTTCTAAGATCTTTGAGAAGGTTATACATGACAGACTCTACACTTTCTTGGAAAAATATAATATACTTTCTGAAGAGCAATATGGTTTCAGGAAGAATAAATCCATAAATACAGCTATTTATAATTTCCTCGCAACTATTATTAGCAATATTGATAAGAAGACACCCGTTTGTGCACTTTATATGGATCTCACAAAAGCTTTCGATTATGTAGATCATCAAATACTTTTAAACAAATTACATGCATGCGGCGTGAGAGGAAACGTACTCAACCTTATCAAATCCTATCTTGGTAAACGGAAACAATGCACTAGAATAAGCCGTTTAAACCCGAATTTTAGAATAGAAAAGCAACACTCATCAACTTATAGAGAAGTTAAAGTGGGTATCCCACAAGGTAGTGTGTTAGGACCGTTGCTATTTAATGTCTATATAAACGATTTACCAAAAATATACACCCAACCAAGCATATTGTTTGCAGATGACAGTACATTTATTTTTGCTAATAAGGATACAAGCTCACTTATACTTGACATGAAAAATACTCTTAATAATATAATACAATGGTTGACATCCAATAATTTAAAGATAAATCTAACCAAAACACACCTTATGACATTTAGAAATCTAAAACCAATGATTACTAATCTTAATATTGACCATATGGGAACTAAAATTACAGAAGTTGACAAAACAAAATTTTTAGGACTGACGATAGATTGTAGCTTGAATTGGAAAGCTCACATTGATAACCTTTGCCAGAAACTTTATCAACAATCCTATGCCTTGCGCATGCTCTCAAGAGTAGCTAGTCAGTCAGCGGTACTAACGGCCTACCACGGATACGTGGGCTCTATACTAAGATATGGTATCCTTTTCTGGGGTAACTCGACAGATAAGCAACGAGTGTTTCTGGCGCAGAAAAGGTGCGTAAGGAGTATTTGCAAAATAAGTCAGACTGACAGCTGTAAGCCCCATTTTATCAATCTAAAAATCTTAACACTTCCTAGTCTATTTATTTATGAGTTAATAAACTACATCAGGACTAATTTATATAAGTATAAAAAATACAAAAGTAAGCGACAAATTAACAAAATCAATTGTCCTACGCATAGCACAATGATGTTCAATAAAAGTATATTCTGCATGGGACCACGAATTTATAATCACCTACCAAAGCACATATTAGAGATTAAGAATAATGACTTATTTAAACGCAAGATTAAAGATATAATGCTAAACAAGGCCTATTATAGTGTTGATGACTATCTACATGATAAATCCATCTAGTAAAGAATCATATCATACCTACTTAATTATATTTATGCACAGTATTATTGTTATTTGTTTTAATCCGTATTTTTTTGTTTTTGTTATAAAATTATATATTATTCAAAATACTATGGTACTATTATGGACAAAAGAAAATGTTAACATAAATGTAAAATGACTATGAACTGGACAAGTATAATGTTTGACATTAATTTATAATAATTAAATAATTTCTAAATTGCATGCCGACAGGCGAAACATAGCGGACTTATATTATGTATGCTTCATCATGTCTTATGTACTTATTACCTATGTTTGCAATAAATAAATTTGAGTTTGAGTTTGAGTTTGAGTTTAGTATTGACTATTTCTACCACTATCTCTGTGCTGTGCTTGTGTATGTGCTTGAACTGTCCTACTGTGCCTTCTGTAACTCGTGTTTGCCGGATCGGCCAAATAAACCTGGTGATACGTGAGTCGAACTTTTATTTACATCACGGAATACCCGACACCGTCAACACACACATCAATCCATCCAAATGTATATACTGTATATAGGCAATTTGTAATTCTTTAAAACTATTCGCAATAACTCACGGATTCCCGGACGGCGGTCTGCATCTTGTCGAGGATCTCGACCTTCTCGTCCATGCCGTACAGGTTGGGGATGTCGCCCGTGTTCAGCAACATGTTGATGTCCTCCACCATACCCTCGTAAATAATCTGGTGCATAGAAAACCAGGTTAAAGACAAAGTTGAATGATTTATTTCAATTACACTATTATCAATAGTGCCTACTATTGAAGGTCAATCAAGGTTTGGCGTAAATATGTTTGTAGGTGAGCCCTCGTAGGAAGCTATTTGATGGTTCCAAAGTGTAGATTCTGATGGAGAAGAACGAGCAAGAAACTTCATGGTTACTCTTTTCAATAGGCTATTTCACTTCGGCATGAATAGATCAGCTCAATCGGGGATCACCCTGACCAAGATTTCGCAGAAAACCAACATAAAACAACCACAGGATTGTTTCACTAGAGATTACCATTGACCAAATCCATTTACTTTTTTAGATCTATTTTTGAAACAAACCTTAATACTTTTTTACTACAGTTAAAACTGGAAAAGTGAAAATGACGATTTAAGATAATTTAAAAGGATCTAGTGCGTACAAAATTAGTTTCCAGTTTTGTAATGATGGGTGTTACCTGGTTATCAGCAAAGAGGAAGACAAGAGGCTTCCCGATGATGCCGGCCTTCATCAACAGCTTCCTGACATCATCACGCCACTCGTTTACACCGTACAGTCGGGATATTTCTATCTGTTAACGCATTTAAATGTATATTAAGGTTTTTATTATTATTTAATATTATATTCAATGGCTCGCCACGTAACTGTTCGAGGATGCTCGACTAGTTTCGAAACACGCCGTTACTCTTACATAACCATACACCGCGCATGTATAGAGCGTACCCAGCTCTCACAGTCGGAAATTATATTACACTAGCGTCTACCAAAAACTTCGACCGCGTTACCGGAAAAAGTACTCCAAATTTTTTTCAAATCCATTGACTAATTACAACACACACAGTAATTAAAAACATCCATCCATCCATGCACACATGCAAACTTTCGCGATGAAAATGTTTTTAATATAATATGTCTTACACCCGGTTTCCGAAAGGCCGATTAATGTTAAAATCAATTTAATCTCTTGTCAAGTCATCTGATTGGTTGACTGAATTATCAACAACCAATCAGATGACTTGACAAGAGATTTAACAGGAGATTAGTTAATTTTAGCGTTGACAAGCCTTTCAGAAACCGGGCGTTATAGTATCCAAACTTAAAATGCGAAAGTAACTCTGTATGTATGTCTGTCTTTTCTTCACGTCTAAACTACTGAACTGATTTCTGTGAAATTTGGTACAGACATAGTTCGTAACTCGAGAAAGGACATAGGATATTTTTTATACCAAAAGTCTGCAGGAAGTCACTATTCCACGCGAATAGAGTCGCGGGCAAAATCTAGTTGTTTTATTTAAAAAATGCCACTCGATATATGTTAATAATAGTGACCTGTACAACATTCATCTCCAGTATGCTGGCAGCCAGCTTCACGGCACTGCTCCTGCCGCTGCCACCCACTCCCACCAGAAGCAGGTTTCCTGATATTCAAAAATTATTTATTTAGGTAGGTATCTTGTTAAGTTAGTTTTTAGTAGCATTTTTTTAGGTAATTTCCAAAAGAGATGTGGGGAAGTACACTGTTATTTGACGCAAAAATACAATAAAATTACAAAACACAATGTTCTTTAAAAAGCATTGTATTAGAAAACGGTCAATTTCGACAGTTCGATAAGAGTATCCAATCCGGTATCTAACTAGTCAAATTCAATAACTGTAATTGAAATGTTAGAAACGATACTCTTCTAATTTTGTATGAGATCGCAGCATATTATGTCATAATGTTTTAACGACAAATAACATACTTACCGCTTTCTAAAGTAAAAAATTAGGCGAAATTGTAATTTTGAAAAACTGTAAGTTCGGGTCTTATCCTGTTCGGGCAGTCCAACTCACCATTATCCTGCAGTAACACCCTGGTGCAGCGCGAGATGTGATCCAGGGCGTAGCGGAACATGACCAGCGACATCGGGGACGAGGACACCACGTTGTACTCCTCCAAGTAGTACTCCATCTTGGCTGCCATGTCCTCCAGGCTCAGTACCTGGTGATCCATGATCGAGAGTAAATATATAGCAGATCTAATGTGTAACGGGATTTGGACATCGGTATGGGAGGTGTGTGGGGGGGACTCCGATGCCCTGAAAGGTCGTATATGAAATTTAAATTAATAGTGAAACCTGCAAATAAAATTTTAAAAATATTCTTTGTTCAATAAATATATTAAAATTAAATATTACATTTACATAACTCAAAATTTAAAACAAACAAACTATACAGCTTTATGATAGAAATAGTATAGATTGTAATGTGCCCTAAATGTACATATATACCTACTCAGAATGTGTCACATAAAAAACCTTTTAAGGACAAACCTGATCATATATCTTGGGATCAGCGTCAGGCTCCATGTAGTTCCCGAAGAAGATGTTGCAGGCGTGTTTGTTGCTGCACTTCTCCCCCTCCGGGATGAACCCCATCTCCTGCAGTACGGCGTCCATGTGCACGCGGAAATTGTTGTATACCGCCTTGTATACTACTTCGTATAGTCTTACACTGTGGAGGGAAAGGGAACCTTATTGCAAAAAGGTAGGGTTGAAAGTTGACTAAAGACTTTTGGCAGGTATTCGGTAACTGTCAATGTGTTTCTACTAGTTATTTAAAACTGACGACCCGACCCCGCTTCGCACGGGGCCAACTAATTTGCCAACAATGAAAAGGTCAGTTTCCCAAATTTCTCCTCTACTTTTCTTATATTTGACATTAATAATCGGCAAAATCGGACCAGGCGTTATTGCATTATCCGCTTACAAACACATTTTGCTATCCATTTTTATATGTATAGAAGATAGAAGAAACGAACAGTTGACTTGCTCTTGCTAGGAATTAAGAGCTTTTAAGAAATAGATGTTTAAATTTGAGATATTTAAGAGCTAATAGATAAGATTATGGTCTTTCAGCTAAAGCACCATATAAATATCCAGACAATAAAATATATTTTAGTAGTCAACTAACTGAATAAGAGAATAGCCTTCTTCGAAATAAAGGGAGAAAAATTACACGTAACAAAACAATAAAAATAAAATATCTTGATGTATACTAAGTCAAAGCATTATATGCAAACTTAAGCCCCCTTATAACAAAACAAGGTTTATCTTTAGTCCAGGTTTAAACAATTGAGTCGAGTTTTGAATTTGGAATCTTATTGTCATCTCCTTTCAGTTCGAAATATGAAAACTGGCTCAATGGTTTAGTCCTAGACTAAAGTAAAACCTTGTTTTGTAAGTCCGAATGTCTTTTATTATAAAACAAGGTTTTTTTTAGTCTAGGACTAAATAATGGAGCCATTTTCTGTATTTCTAATTGTAGGTAGATGAGTATAAGATTCAAAATTCAAAACCTGACTCAATGGTTTAAACCTAGACTAAAGATAAACCTTGTTTTGTAATGAAGGGATAGAAGTTTATGAATGCTATGTATATCAATGTTTTTGCTATACAATTTAAATGGTAATATTAATATTAAAAAAAAAACAAAATAAAGACCCAACTTACCGGTCAGCATCGTCAACGAGTCTATCGTAGAAGACTCGGTAGGCCTCGTGTATCCACAGTATGACCAGCTTGTTGAGGTCCTTCATGTGTGTGGCCGGCACTAGGAGTATTCCCTTGATGACGCGCGCGAAGTCCCGCAGGTTGAACAGGTAGTGGCACTTCTGGGGCGTCGGCAGGAACTGCAGGGTCACTGTCTTGTATACCTCCATTGTCGCTCCTACTACCGCCTGTTGGTTAGGATTCATAGTTCCGTCATCATCATCAGCGTATAAAAGCCCACTGCTGAGCAAATGTCTTTTCTCACACGGAGAAAGTTTGAGCATTAATCACAACGCTTGCTCCTGGCGGATTATTTCAAACTTATAATGAGAAATTATAAGTCAGGTATCCTCACTGGGGTTATAATTTCTAATTATAAGTTATGGTACTGTCACTATGAATTAACGCTTTTAAATTTTTACAAATACTAGTTCGCTTAACATTCAATTTTACCAGTAACATAATGTAAGAAAATAATCAGTCACGTACCTTGGCCTGCCTTTGCAAGGCTTCAATGAATCCCTTAGAGAAGTGCCAATCCATGATGGTGCCGAAGATCTTGTTGAGGGTGTTATCCTCGAAGGAATCCAGCGTTACGACCAGCATGTGCCGCGTCAGCCGGGACGAGATCTGATTGGACCCGCCGCCGGGGGGCAGCATCGCTGATACCACCAGCTAAAGAAAAGAAATAAAAATAAAAATGAATTGTTGTTCGTTAGTCTGATTAAAACTGGAGAACGGCTGGACCGCTTTGGATAATCTAAGTTTTAAAATATTCGTTTGAGTCCAGAGAAGGTTTAAAAGGCCAGAACATTTACTTAGTTATAGATATTTGAGGTGGTACGGAGTACGCCGGTCAGCTAATATAGGATATAAATACACCAAAATGAATAATACATACGTTATACGACGTTCCGAAGTCTATGCCGACACAAGTATTCTCGGATTAATTTTTGGGAAGCCCAGGCAACATTTCTGTTTATTATTATTACTTACATCCACCATAACATCAAACCGTCCATCTTTCATCCGTCGTCCTACATCCATCCAAAATTTATCACCCTCCAAAAGTCATAATTTATTATCCATTTCATCATCCAATGCCTGTCGCCCATCTTTCATGGTCCAACATCTATTAGCCATATGTATACCATCCACCAGCATCCACCAGTTATTTAAACAAGGTCTAAGTACTCACGATGTCGACGACCTCCTGCCGTACCATGTCCCTGAGGTCGTACCAGTGTCCGTGGTCTATCCACTGGCGCAGTAGCTCCAGGGGCGGCTGGGCACCGTACTGTTCCTTCTGAGGCATGCTCAGGTCATCCGCGAATAACAAGCACTGTGTCACAGATGAATATATCAAGCTACATTATGGATTTTCGACTTTATTATGAACAAAATATGGTTGAAAATGCGACGCTGAGGATTAGTCGGGATGATTTGATTAAATTGATTGAGTTTAAACTAATTTTGAAATATTCACGAACCGACTAAATGATGTAACAAAGAAATGTATTGTAAAACTGATTAAAAAAGAGTAACCATGGAGTTTCTTGCTCGTTCTTCTCCATAGGAATCTACACTTTGGAACAAGCAAATAGCTTCACTAGAGGACAGACGGACAGACTGACACGCTTAATTTTAAAGCTCATGTTATATACTTTTTTCCTTTTTTGCTTGCTTGACGTTCAAAAGTGCCTACTGTGGTCTAATTGAAATAACGGATTTTTGACTTTTGAAATGTTCACCTTTTTCCCCATTGAAGGTCCGAACACACCTTTACGTCTTCTGTCCACTTTTGACATAATGATGTCTTGTGTCTGAAAGAAGACAATAATTATATTCAATAAAAAAACATTGAATTGTTCAAACCGAACTTTCTAACTTTAGCATATAACGTTGCCCCACCCTAAGATTTTCTCCTGTGTCGTGGGTACTGTTACAAACATACAATTTCACATGCACATGATACCCAGACCCGGATCACACAAAGATTTGTTCCTTGCGGGAATCGAACCCGCGACACGTGGCACAGCAGTCAGTTGCCCAGGCACCGCACCAATGGTGCAGTCAACTTTTCCTTTTCATGTGTCTCATTTCTTTATATTCTTCACATACAAATAATAAATCCATTGAAATATTGCTAGCTTTAGCGAAGCGAAAAAAATGTAAAAACTAGACTTTATTTTCTTTACTTCATACACAAACAAACAGATTTAACAATTTTGAACCAAAAAGTTGCATAATAACTGACCTGATTAGCAGTAGTCCTAGCGGAGAAGGTGATGGCATTGGTGATGTACTTCTCCTTGGGGAGAGAGAGTAAGTAGTTGAGCACCATGGACGACTTGCCCGTGCCCGTCGGACCGACTATCAGGATCGGGATGTTGGCCTTCACCATGTTACTCACGAAGAACCGGAGACACGCGTTCTCATTCGTAAGGATGATCAGTTCGTTCACCTAGAATATTTTGAGGAAAGGGAAAATATTGATCTAGGGACACAAACAGATCAATTTCTTTGCTGGCCTATGGAGATTGGGGATGGGTACGCGATGAATTTACTCAACGGCGAAACACAAAAATGCAAACATTGTTTCATCTGTTAATAATTTATTTTTATTAACACTGCAACTACACGAGCATCATAACGTTCTTAAAAACGGTGTAATTAAATTCTTCACTGGTCGGCAATGCGCCCATGATGCGTCTGGGTATGCGGATTTAGGACGACGATGACAGTTTACTATCAGTAGGCCTGTAAGTTTCATAACCACTAGCCTATGGTATATTATGAGAACAGCTAAGGCATGGAATTCTTTTCTAGAGACTGTGTTCCCGAAGGTTATTAAAATCTATGGGTAGGCGTGCCCTATCATAGGCCTCATCCTCGCTTATAACCAGGCTAGATATTGGTCAAACACCGCCTCATCTCATATAAGAAATAACAAGAACAACAGACATTTACGGCTACGACTGTGAGTTCGGCATCTTCGTCCAAAAAGTCCATTGCTTACATTAATGATAAATTGTAACAAAGACGATAAGTACGGACAATTGGGTGGTTTCCTAGGACAAAAATAATTTAACTCGACGTTTCAATATAATAAAATATTGAAAAATAACTTTACTTTTATTCATCGATCGATCGATACACTGAATTTTAGATATTTTTTAACTAATTTTCAAGAAAAAAGTAAACTACTTGACGCAATAAAATTATTACGTCATAACTCAATTTTCATTCAAATTTCATAGTAAAGTATTGTTTTTGACATTTGAATATAAGTATTGAATTTGACTAGTTGCAAACTATCCTATTATGTAAATAGTAAATAGTACCGAAGTCGCACCTTAGCAGTAGCCGCCAATGGAACCTCCTTCTCCAGCTCCATCCAGGATATCCAGGTGCCATTGTTCCTCTTGTCGTACGTGTAGTCGAACACAGTGTCCTTGTCGGGGAACAACTGGTTCTTGGACAACTTGAACGACTTCGGTTTGGGGTAGCGCGCGTTGTTGCCGTCGATTAACTTGTGGAAGAACGCGTCGAATATCTTGCGACTCTCACCTGGAGGTTTGAACATTATTTTATTCTTGCTAATGTACATTTGTAGAATTTTCTAAAGACAAAAAAATTTAGTAAAATGCTGAACCTATTTCATATTACGCATACATAAAAACAGTTTTTATTTTGTGGTCCTACACTGTGATTTTCTTAGTGTCGTAAATACGACACTGTAAGAATGTAATCAATATAAAAGGCTTTCTCAGCTCTTTGCAACCCTTTGTTTTATAGTCTTAGTAGTTAGGGAGGCCTATGTTGTTGGAGACAGAACAGGAGGGCAGGTGTTGATGATGTGCTGAAGTTACCGTTGATGATGGCGCAGAGTCCCCAGAGCAGCGCGAACACGAAGGTGCACTGCAGCCACACCGTGCTGAACTGGCTCTCCGCGTCCAGCAGGCACGTGAACAGTCGGGTGAACGACTGCGGGGCAATTTATTTATTTATTATAATCGTTGCCAAACACTAGGATTTTCTCCTGTGTCGTGGATACGTTCAACCGGAACAACAATTTGTGAATCACACAAAGATATGCTCCATGTGGGAAACGGACGCGGGACACGTCACGCGGGAGCCACTTGCCTTGTCACCGCATCAACCGTACGTAAACGTACTTATGTACCGAGCCCCGTAGTCCTTTTCATAATAGTTCCACTACACAGAAAAAAAGCCCACCTTTACCCATAATATCGCTTATAAGTATCGAGTGTCCGAATGCTGGAAAAAAACAAAAAAATATCGCCATACAGCAGTCTCTATTCAAGATTTACTAGTATTAAAAGCCTGTTCGCAAACTTGATGCTTCTGATGATTTTCGCTTTACTATACAATAAAAAAGTTTCGTTTGTACAGTTTGTTGTTCAGACGGAGAACTCACATGGAACTGGTGTATCTCCCCAACCTTGACGAACGCTGTACACTTGGCCTGCAGGAACTCGAGGATGGGCTGTACCAGCCAGTCGATCAGCTCCTGGATCAGCTCGAACTGCTCCGGGATCAACTTCTTGGTTAGGTAAACGTTGTACGAACTTAGAAACGCTCGCCATCCTGTGCAAAAAGTTGCATAACATTTTCTATTCAATTTTAACAAAATTCTTAATAAAAGTAGGTAACGGAAATGTACATTAACTTGTTCATTATTCAGTTATTTATATTTCTTATGATACTTCATTACCAATGGTCATTAAGATTCCATCTTAAGGTTGTCTGGAAGAAATCACCCTGTGTGATAATAAGACCACCCATTGTACAGTTTATAGCTGTAAGCTGTTAGTTGTGTGTTTAATAATATGTATAATAAAGTATATGGCAATAAATAAATAAGATGTCATGTCCAATACCACTAAGTGGTACGCTGGCCTTAAATAATTATTTGTTACATTCGTTTGGTCACTAGTTTCCATATCAGACTACGTCTGTATCTTGAGGATATCGTTATTTATGGCATTGATTGATATGTGATATGTATGTAATAAATATTGTTTTAAGTTATGAACAATCATCATAAGAGAGTGAATGTCAGACTTTTACGACTAAAACCACCCGGTTCCTTCTCCTGTTCGAGGCCGGGACTGCGGTACATTAATATCCTTGATCCGCAACCCCGGTATAACATCAGCCTAGGGCTGGTGGCCTACTGGCTCTTTGAGACGCGAGCCAGCCATAAAACTCAATAGTAATTTTGATAAAAAATGGTTGAAAGATAAAGTATCAAGTGAATGTAGGTACCCAGCATCTCCGGCTCCATGTAGATCATACCGCATCGCGACACCGTCGCCGGCGAGGCGAACTCCAGGTCGGCCGCCTCGAAGATCAAGTTCATTTTGTTCGTCATCTGGTAACATTTTAACAAAATTGTTATTTTCTTGTAATTCCATGGGAGAGCCAAGCTTTGAAACCAATAGGTCAGCTCGACCAGAGTGGTAACGCGGCCGTCACAGTAAACCGGCGTAAGACAAACACAGCGTCGTGTTTCGCCTTGTGAGTAAGGTTACTGGTAGCTCAATCTTTCCCCTCCCCCATCTATCCCCAATCCTTAAATATCCGAAAGCCTTATCCCCCTAAAGACCAACAACGCACTCGTAACTCCTTTGGTGTTGCGGATGCCCATTTTGATCACACCCCAGATTGTTTACAATTAGGTAATGTGAGTGCTCGTTTGCCGATGAATCTCATAAAGAAATGAGTTATAGTTTGCCGGCCTTGTAAAAGACAGTACGCTCTTATGTATACCTGTATGATCTCCCCGCTCATGAGACAGAGCTTCTTGTTGTCATCGAGTACAGTGTTCATGTTCTCTATCCACACGGCGTCCACGGGGCCGTCGAATATGATCCACTTGCGATCGCGGGTCACTGACATTGCGTACTCACGGAATGCTATCGCCAGTACCCCATCAGACCTGAAGATTACGATGTCAGATTAGCTATAATAACCCAAGTTAATGGATGAAAAAAGGCACAAATCAACTCATCAAATAACTATAGAATAGGATAGAATATAGAATATTCATTATTGTGAATAAATAACATAGGAAACAACAAACACAAAGGACTGTACAATTGACGGTCTTATCGCTAAATAGCAATTTCTGCCGTGTGAATCTTTGGATAGAGTACAACTTCAGAATAGATTAAAGGACCTCGTGCAGCTCTAAACTAACAATAGGTCTTCTTTCTTTATTACTGGATCATTAATACGGATAAGTTTTTTTTGTAGAGGGAAACTCATCAAAATTCCTTCTGTCGCCCAGAATATGTCAAGAGAGACTGTCAGACACTAACTGAGTAAACAACCCCCGTTCCTTCTGCTCCAGGTCTATGTCTCGGTACCTTGCATTTGACTCGCGACTCCGTATATATATATAATTAATTTCAACAAATAAAAAACTTACCATTCATGGGAAGCAGGATCGAAGCAGCCGTAAAGTTGTCCCATGGTGATGGCTTTAGGGTTGATGATACGGTAGATGGCCCCGAATTCCTTGTGTCTGGGCGGTGGCTTGGTCAGCTGTAGTGCTCGCAGGGACTCCGCGAGAGACTGGTAGGCCTGCGTCTTGCCCCCCATCGGCTGCCCCACTATCATGAACCCGTGTCGGACTAACATCATCTCGTAAATCTATCCAAGTAATAAGTAAATGATAAATACATTTTGTAATTCATTTCGCGTCTAGTCAAACTATTATATATAGTTAAGTTTCTTCTTTTAACCTTTCAATAGTGGTATGTACATATACTATTATGCTTAATTTATCTTTTATAAAATAAATGCTTAGTAAATGTAATTTAATTTTAGATAACTAGTGATAGCTCTCAAACTTGCAACGCCTATAAAAGGACATAATTTTTGAGCCCTCCTTCCGTCCTGGTCATAGGTGGTCACATTCCAGAGACACCCTCCCCCGTCCCTAGCGTGACGTCACATGTTTTGCAATTCCACATAGAAAAATAATTATATAGAAACAATAAAATCACACGAGGCACGGTGCGTTTGGTGACATTGAAATTCGTTAAAGGGCTCGTCCCCGACGAGCCCTTTCGGCGCGTGTCACTAGAGCGAGTATGAATTCGTGAACAAAACAATTTAAACCGTGTTGTCGTTAAGATAGAGTCGTAAATATTTTAGTTTGATTAACATTTTAAAGTACGCGATTAAATCCAATATATCTATATGTACTATCAGTGTCATAAGTGCATGGATGATTCCAAATCAAAATCGTTTGTACGGCGTTTCATCGCCTTAATTATATACCATGGACGACATAGATGGCGCTAGTATACTAGTGGTATTGAAAAATATACATTTATAGTTTTTATCAGATACAAAGTTATTAACTTAATAAATTTTTATACAAATTAATGCTACGATATTCCAAACCTTTTTAAAGCAAAGCACGCAATAACCAGGATTCGAACTCGGTAGCATAAAATTAACCGATGTCACTAGCCATTAGGCCATTACGTAACCTACTCTTTATTATATTGAAGTTGTTTAGCAACTATAACCCGATCATAAATCTCAAAACAGTTGAGGGTAATTTAAAATTAACTGTATAAAAATTAAACCTTTTTGTTCAATCATAACATTCTTTACTATCTTTGAGTGAGTTCAGTCACGATTTGTTTAACAAGTTTTTAATATTTATTTTTATTATGAATTTGCGTTCAAATGTTAATATGGCTACGAGGGCCCAAATAATAGCATTACATAATCAAAGCTTAAATTATACTGGAATTTCTAGAGAAACTGGCTTAAACGTAAGTATTCTTATAAATGACCGTTTGTTATTTATTTTATTATCCATGGTTATCGATACATGAAAATAATAAATAATACACGTCCCTTACAGGTAAAGACTGCCAGTTTATGGATATCTAAAGCTGTTTCAAGAAGAGGGTTCATTGGAGCACCGTAGTGGATCTGGCAGAAGACGTGATATTGACTCAGACCAGTTTCAACTTATGGGGCATGGTTATGAGGAAAATTACTGGAGCATTGTCATCTTCAGTGATGCAAACAGTGAAAACTACATAGATGTGCTGAAAGACGTCATGAAGATGTGCTAGTGATAACGTTCGTGCAGGACAATTGTCCTATGTGTAATGTTCCATAATTGTGCAAGTGTTTAGTCAGCAATCAGACATACGGATTATTCCTTGGCCAGCGAGATAGGAGAAATAGGATCGATAAAAATGGCGGCTACACTAGTTCTTAAAAGAAAAGACATTGTTGACTATAGGATTAAGCAATTACAAGACCGGGGTAGCAATAATTTATTTAATGGATAAATGTTCAAACTTAGTGTTAGTAGGATAAATTTATTGACTACTTTATAACCAGCGACTGTTATACAGTAATGATTTTAATGTTTTACTAAATATGAGAAATAAAAATAAAAGCAATATTAATATTTACAGATGCTATTGATTGCAAAATAATAAATTATTTATTTATTAATTACTATGAACAATTCGTCCCATATCTAGTGAATGCTATATCCCGGTCTTAGAAATGTTATTGATTTAAGGTCTAGCTTCAATTTCTTCCTTGTTCTGGAACGAATACTTAAGCTATGAGCCTTTGTCATGTTATCATGATGCACAAAATGAATCACTTTAGTCAATACTTTAATTAAATTTTATGGGGAGGTAAAATAGTTGCAGAAGTAAGGTTGCTATTATATAGAATCGTATTATAACATTGTGTTTAAAACTAACTAATAAATGACTAGCACAACACAATTTTGATTTAAAATACTTATTCATCTTATAAAAAGTGTAATAAATAATGTGTCAGTTAGCTGAAAAGTTATTAGGTCAGGGTATACACTATATAAGAAAGAAATAAATATTATGTTTTAAGAAATAAATGTCTGAAATTATAATGTCACTAAAATAGTTTTATTTGTTATCCTTTATGAGAATTAAACTTAGTATTAGTCTTAATCTGTAAGAAAAATAGGTTACTTTTACATTAATAGTTAGCACATATTATAAAAGTTATTTATATATATTTATTATTATAATTTTATTCTAAAATAATACATTTATTTTTATATTCTAAAATAATAATTCTAAAATAATATATATTCTAAAATAATATATTTATATTTATTTTTGTTGTCTTTTATAAATATTAAAAGTCAAATGTTTTATTTGTATATCCATATATTTAATAAAATTACTCTAAAATTACATTTTTAAATATTACTATAAAATAAAATAAAATAATATTTAAAAATATAAAAGTAGGTGCCAGCCGGCAGCGGGAGCAAGGTCCAAGCTACCGGCAGTTAGGGCTCCAAAGACAGGAACCTCCTCACAATACGTGCCGTTTCAAGGAGGACTGCCTTCTGTATGAGGCCCTTGATCCATCCGCCTAACGTCAGCCTCTTAAGGTGGTTGTCGAGGCTTTTGGGGACTAACCCATTTGCCGACACAACTATCGGCACAACGATAGCCGAGTCCACACTCCACATGTCAACAACCTCGTGAGCTAAGTCAAGATATTTCAATTGTTTATCTTTCTCAGCTTTCACGAGGTTCTCGTCATGAGGAATGGCAACATCGATTATCGTCGTGCGACGCGCTAGTCGGTCTACCAACACTATGTCAGGCTTATTGGCTACAATAGTCCTGTCTGTGATGATAGACCGATCCCAGTACAATGTGATATGGTCTTTTTCGAGAACTGGGTCGGGCACATACTTGTAGTACGGAACCTCAGACTCAACAAGCCGGTATTTCAAAGCAAGTTGCTGATGAATAATCTTGGCCACCTGATTATGTCTGTGCAAGTATTCGCCATTAGCCAAACGACCACAGCCGGAAATAATATGTCTGATGGATTCACCGGGGCTATGACATGCCCGACATATGTCAACCGTCCCATCCTTCATAATATATTTCCGGTAGTTATTCGTGAGGATAACTTCGTCCATAATTGCACATACATTATTGTTGTTTGTATATTATTATTATTGATTTTATATAAAAAATATAAAAAAAACCATTGTTAAAAAACCTGAATTTAAAAATGATAAACCCGGAACTGAACCGGTGCCCTTCGACTTCATTATACTATCATTCTTATTTATCCGAGCTACCGATCGCATTTTCAATGATATCGAAAATGCGGGTTAGTTTATAACTTTTATTATTGTCTATTATTAATTATTGACGCCATCTTTTAAATGGTTTGCTTGACTTGACTTAGATGCCGCTATATTAAGTCCTCGGAAATGTGAAAATTAACATAATTTATGTGTATTTGAATATAAATATATTATTGTTTCTTAATTATTATTTTAACCATTAAAAACCTTATTGTGTGCCTCTGCAGTGTAAAGTATTCAAGCTTTGCAGGGTTATTTTCATTTAAAAGCAGCGCCATCTAGTTATCAATGGTAGCGTTATGCAAAACCTGTCAGTCAATAGTCGACCTTATGCTCTCCATGCATTTTTGTCACCCTTAGTACATCTAGATATATTCGATATATATATATATTCGATTTTGAAATGTAATGTCACGAAACTTAGGACCCGTCACACCCGAGGGGTTCGACAGTGTCACAACATGTCACGCTTATATTTATTATTATTATAAGTATTGAAGTACCTGTATAATCTTCTCCAGATACCAATCAGTGGCCTGCAGGTTCCGCTTCTCGAGTTCCTTGCGTATGCAGCGCGTCAGCTCGGCGCGGTCCGGCTGCGGGATCTCAATGCCCGGGAACAGGTCCGTGTAGATACCCGTGAACAAGGGCACGTCCTACGTTCACGACTTTTATTTACATTTTATATTATATAAAAAGAGTAAAACAATAAACGCGCCATTAAAAATATAATAGATAGATATCTTATCAAAAAGAGGTTACGTTTACTTATCCTACTAGACTAACATTTTAAATGTGAAAGTGTGTGAGAATGTATGGTATGTTCGTTATTGCTTCACGCAGAAACGGCTGAATCGATTTGGTTGAGATTTGTTATGTGGATAGGTGATACCCTGGATTAACATAGGCTGTAGTTTTAACCGACTTCAAAACAAAGGCGGGTCTCAGTTCGATTGTTTGTATGAATGTATGTTTGTCCACGATTATTAAAAACATACCACGCGGGCGACACCGAGGGCAGAAGTTAGCACATAATAACATAATTAAAAAAGTTAATGTAGAATTCACCTGTGAGAGAAACTTGGGCATATTGACATCGATGATGGCTCGGAGTACGAGCTGTGCCTCGTCCTTTTCAGGGTAGTTCTTCTTCAGCGCGCCTGACGCCAGCAGTACGGACTTGACGGCGCGCATGCCGTAGTCGTAGTGGTTCTGCGAGGATAGCTGCTCAGAGCAGAGCTTGTAGGCTTGGACTATCTTACGGGCTAACCTGTGGGAAGTCATACAAATAAACGAAATTATTCTGTAACGTGTAATTTTTATGAGATAGGGTGATAAATGAACAGACAGGTAGATTACCTGATGATAAGCAATCGGCGCTGCCAATGGACACTTGCAACGTCAGAGGAGTAACGAGAGCGTTGCCGGCCTTTTGGCGATAAGGTTTTTAAGGATTCCAAATTCTGGTAGAATTGAGTCTCAAGTATCTTTACTCACACGGCGAAATACATCACTGTAGTTGTTTCACGCAGGTTTTCCGTTCTATTCTCAATTACCCAAACTCCTAAAAAGCCGATAACGCAATTTTAACTTCTATGGAGTTTCGGGTATCCTAGAGTAGCGCTGATTGCTTGCCATCAAGGAATTCAACTGCTAATTCACACATAATAAAGGTCGATTTTGGGTATCGAGCAAACTGTCGCTCCATTGTGAATAAGCATGGTACTCACGGTCCAGCGTGGACGAACCCGTTGGAGTAGAGCGTGATCTCCCCGATCATGGCGTAGTCCGGCACCATCATGGCCACCGTACGGAACAACACCTTCAAGTTGTCGGGCAACTCCGTGCGTCCCGCGTAACTGTGGATATCATATATTGTTATTGTGATTTTTCAGTTTCATTACTGTAAATTTTTTATGAGAAATTATATACATAGTAGTGAGTTTCGGATAATTAACGAGATAGACTATCAAGTCTAAGATTATTGTGGTGATTTACATTCCTAAAAACAGAATTAGGCTTTATCAAAAAAGGAGGACTTTTTAGCACGTCTCTGGCATGTCTCTAATGCAGACGCTTAAATGACTTGAAAGCCTAAGACTATTTTAAGGTTGAAAAATCATTTTATTCTGCTCTGGATAGGGCGGCAGAGAGTTTCAGACTTAAAACCACCCGAGCCGAGGCCTCGGAACATTATTGCACTTGTATTCGATACCCCGGGTGGACACTGGCCTAGTGAGCCCCATCTGTCTTGGCTCTTGGTCTTGGCTTGCTGTTGACATGACGATGGTAATCCTTACCCAGGATTCATAGTAATAAACACAGAGCAACTTGGATTGAGGCTGATCTCCGTCCCTTCGAAGATGAACCGCTTCTCCCGACGCAGTATAGCAAGCTGGATAGAGAGGATCTGCTGGGCCACCACTGAAAGCACTTCCAGTTCGATACGGTTGAACTCGTCGAAACATGCCCACGCGCCCGACTGGGCTAGACCCTGGAAGTAATTCAATTTTATAGAAGTGTGTAGGGGAGAACGTTCTAACAGGTTCCCTGATAATTCAATGAATCGTGATTATTAATTAGGCGTGCTTATTTTTACTTATTTTCTAAAATAATTCATTTTATAATAAATACAAAATGTATAGCACCCAAATGAGGCCTCTACTTTTTGAAATCAGTTTTAAAAATTATTATTAACACGAAGGTGCTGGATACCGGACTATTATCTACACAAGCGCCCCTAGTGACGACAATCAGAAACTAAAAAAGTTCAAAAGTAATATTACCTTGAAGAATTTGCCGAGCGCCTTGTAATCGAGTCCGTCGGAACAATTGAAGACCACGCACTTCTTGGCCACGGCCTTGGCCAAGTCCTTGGTTGTTTCCGTCTTACCCGTACCTGCTGGACCCTCGGGAGCACCACCCAGGTTCAGTTTCAAAGCACTCATTAGAGTTCTGGGAACGACATTTACATTAACGATAGACAATCAAGTGGGAGAGCCATGTTTAAAGTGTGGGTATGCTTAGGCACAAATCGGTGGGTTCGACCGGAGTGATACAACGGCTCATAGAAAACCAACGTGAAGCAACAATAACAATGTGTTTTGCCGTGTGAGTGAGGTTACCGGAGGCCCAATCCTTCCCCTCCATCATCCTTGAACCCCTAATAACTCACAAGACGCCGGCAACGTACTTGTTGTAATTTTTTTGGTATTACGAGTGTCCATGGGCGGCGCTGATTGCTTACCACCAGATGATCCGTCTGTTAATTTGCCGACCTATGGCATAAAAAAACAAGTTCATAAGTGGTATACCGTGACGCGCTTGACTTGTCCTCAAAGCAGAAAGCAGAGGTGGAAATAATGATCATATAACGTACTGCCTATATTATCATGTAATAGGTGGTGAGCCCATAATCATGTACCAAGCCCAAATTAAGACAACTTGAAAGTTAATGGAAGCGTATAAATGAAATAAAGTTGGCATAGTTCACCTGTAGCACCGGTCGGTGAGCGGTGTCGCCACCAACCGCCCAATATTGCCGAGGTACTCGAACCCGTACTCCACGTCTGTAGTGATCATAGAGCAGATTATCTTCTCGCCGCGCCAGTAGTACCGCAGCTGCGATATCCAGTTGAAGTCCGTGATGTCCATCACTTTACGCTCCAACAATTCCTCCTGGATTGACCGGCCTGCGGAACCATATTTCAAAATATACTACGTCACGCCGAATCAAAGCTTCCACTGTAACAAAAACACCCCTATCTCTTTCTCTGGCTATATATATATATCTCTCTCTATCTCGCTGTCTTTGTCTCTCGCGCTATCTCTATCTCTCCCTCACTATCACTATCTCCCCTTCTCTCGCTCTCTAACTCTCTTTCTCTCGCTATCTCTATCTCTCTCACTATCACTCTCTCTCCCAATATCGCTCTCTCTCTCCCTTTTCTCACTCTGGCTTACTCTCTCTTCCAACATATGTACACATCACACAAAATGCACGTTACACCTAAACAGTAGAGTGTATATTACCGTGTACATCGAGCACGATGAGCGCCTCGATCGTGATCCTGTTCCCGGGCCGGAGGTCCCCCTGTACGAGGTACACCAGCCCGTTGATCTGGATCGTACTGCGCTCTATCAGCTCCGGGATGGTGTTCGTTTCTATTGCTTCTATCGTCTGAAAGATAAAAGATAGAATGTCTAGACTTTTTGTAGAATAGTGAAAATTTACACAACAGAACAGAACAGAAGCAGCTTTTTTGGAGCATTTTTTTATTGCAAGAAGTCTTCAGCCATTCGGCAATAACCATTCGATTCGATTCGATTTCTTCTAAAAAAACCCGTTTTTTGTATATCATTTACATATTACCCAAATACCTAAATGTTTAATAAAGATGCTACGTAAAATGTGATTTTTATACATGAACAGTTTGACGTTTAACCCCTTCGCGCCACCCAGGGCAGGAGAAACCATCTGATGGTTCTCCTGTCTCAAAAAAAAAGGTACTTTACTATCAATCTCAGTTCAGAATGAAGCAATCAAGAAGTAAGCCAAACCTCGATGGTGTACTCGACGCAGGAGCCGGCCTGCACGATCTGTCCGGGCCAGACGAGCACCCAGTCCTCGCGGCGCAGCGTGGCGTAGCTGGCGATGGCCTCGCTGGCCACGTCCCGCAGCGACACTATCATCTGCTGCTCCAACTGCTGCAGCCAGCGCTCCACCATGCCCTGCGGAGGGGGGGGGGGGCAACACATCAATACTAACATTTTCAACCAATTACTTCACTTAGACGACCACGACCTGTGCAAAAAGGTCGAAACCTCAAGCCTTCCAAGGTTCTTAGATGATTATGATTATGATGATGGCGTGTCCCATCGTAGGTCACATCATAATCGGGGGTAAATATTGAAACCACTGGTCGGATTTCCAAAATTCTTTCACTGATAGATAGCTACAATGTTCCTGGGTGCTATAGGTTATGAAACATCACGATGAAATGGAAATCGCGCGAAAGTAGCTAGTAAGTATCCGATATTCTTACGAATATCAACAAATATATTTACTGGAACAAATAATAAAAACACATCTTCCTACCTTGGCATCAGCAGGCTGTATAGTAGAGGAAAGTTTGACCGACTCTCCCTCTGAGGAGGCCATGCCAATGATCTCCTTCGCCGCGTTGAACTCCAACGTGTAGATGCCCTCGAAGCATTTCTTCAGGTGAGGCTGTACTCGCATCGGGTCCTTCGTTTCTGACAAAATCTCCAGCAACTCATCGTTGGATAGGAAGAAGAATCTGAAAGAGATTTAAAGTGTTATCTATACGGTATAATTATAAATTGAAAACGATATTTCATATTTCCATTACAAGTGCAATTTCTAGACCGAAAATAAATTCAATATAATGAATTCAATTTTCAATCATTTATTTGACTATATACTTTCCTAGCTTATTCAAAAAAAAATCAACCATTTAACGTCACGATCTGATACAAAATTAAAAAAAAAGAAGTGTTGTTTTTGATATTTCAATTACAGTATTAAATTTCATTACTTGGAAACTACAGCAATCACAAACAATAATCTACATCGGATGACTCGTTTGGCACTTTATCCCATCCAAGGAAAACCAGACTAAAGTGTTTGTATCACGCACCTGGGGAAGAACAGCCTCTTCTTCTCCAGGTAATCGTTGAGGCCTCGCTGGATGTCCTCTAGGAGTACATTGTTGTACTTCAACGACTTCAGCAAACCAGGGTAGTCAGTGGCCTCGAGTACCATGGGGCACTTCTGCGTGGCAGCCATGATGGTCTTCCATTCTTTGTCCACGTCGCGAAAGTTCCTTGCTTCGGTCGGCATTTGCCTCATGATGTCCTCAGACGAGAAGATGGGTTCCAGGTACATCCAAGTGGCTTGGCACTGCGGAATAGATAGTTTGTTTATGTATACCTGTGTAATACATGACAAAAAGGGAAGGGGCATGACGAAACTTTAAACTATTTGAAATTTTTTTTATTTAGAAACTTTCGAACAGTTCAAGGATCGGATTTGTACACATTCTTTGGTATTACATGTTAGGTATTCTGGATGTAGTTTAAACGATATTAATGACATTATTGTGCTACTATCCAAAGTATCAGTAACAATATTGTGGTCAATCGGTATTCTAGGGGTTGATTGCAGATGTCGCGGTGGCTCAACCAGCTGTAACAACTCTACGTGTGATCCACATATTGGTGTTTCGGGTCTGATTGGGATATGTATCTGTGTAGACCCACACGGGACAAAATGGTTACGATATATCGAACGTTTAAAAAAAAGAAAGAATTGAAATAAAGCATTGTCTTTGATTTCGAAATATTTTTATCCTGGTTCAAAATACTATGACGTTAGGTTTAAGTGCTGACCGTGAGCCACTGATCCAGTATATCCTGCATGCTGATGAGCTTCTCCTCCCAGCCCACCATGTCAGCTTCGAATGCCTTCACGTACGGGGAGCCGCGCATAGTCTGCGACTTCAGAATGTGGTCATCCAGGAGCTGCTGGATGTCGTCCAACCCCGTTAGGATACCCACACCAGTATCTCTAGAAAATCGAGGAATGGAGGAATATATATAATATGAATTACACAAGTATATTAATATGTTTGATTTACAAATGTTAAGTTTTTACTGAGATATTCAGTTCATCATCATCACCATCACCACAATAGCCACAAGATGTCCACAGCTGCCCTACTAACGTCCAGATCGGCTAGCTGAGAGCAACCTGCATCTAGCAGCTTTCTGCGCCCTTATTAAGTCGTTTGCCCACCTTGTAATGTCTTTTACGGTAAGCCATCGGGGACTTTCGGAACACCACAGGACGTACAAGTAAGTTGCTAGCGGCAACTTGTACTTTTGGAAATTGTTAAGAGTTTGAGGATTGATGAAATGGACTAGAAGACGTTACGTAGTTTTCCGAACGCGGGCAGCGTTCGCAGGTTAATTGACGAATCCAAGCTAGATTCGTCGATTAACCTCCTTTTCAAAATTGGCCATACGAGGATGACGAGTCCGAGGTATAGTTATTCGTCGATAACTTTAATTGCTAGGAATGGGCATCAGGTATTTAATTTTCTTATGGGATAAGTCGGCTAACGAGCAGACGGATTACCTAATGGTTAAGTAATCAGCGATGCCCATGGACACCCGCAACACCAAAAGAGTTACGAGTCCGTAGTCAGCCTTTTGGGGTTAGGGTTTGGGAAGATTAGGAAGAGATAGGGCCTCCAGTAACCTCACTCACATGGCGAAACACAACGCTGTGGTTGTTTACGCCAGTTTTCTGTGTGTTGTATGATGATGTAGATACGCACCGGTACGGCACGACCTCGAAGTTGACGCCGACCCACTCGTCCTTCATCTTGTTGAGCGCCTTCTCGAGCGCGTACTCCTTGGAGGCGTACTGCTCGATCTCCTCGAGCTGGGCGGCGTACACGTGCACGCCCTGCTCCACCATGTCCGCCAGCGTCGTGCTCTCCTCGTGCACCACCTCCGCGCCGATCAGCTCGCTGATCCTCGCCCAGTGACGCTCGCGCATGCCCTACCATACCCAATTCATTATTTCCTTTCAAATCAAAGCATTTTGGGTGTACAAGCGTACGGTTTTTACAAAGGATCCATTTAAGTATTACGTAAGCATTATTTATTTTTATTTTTAGTACCTATACACATCTAACAATAACAAAAAGGTATATAATTGTAATAAATATGTTTACGTAATACTTGAAGAGGTCAAAGGTTGGTAATATTTTGCCTAAAGCAATCGATTCAAAATTTAGTTGCGGGATCTAGTCAACCAATCAAGTAGCCCTACATTCAAGATGATATGATCACAGATGCAAGTAATCATAAATTCACACAGAGTTAAGAACACATGCAAAAAATCTTACGAAAATATATTATAACTGTAGAAGGTTATAAATGTGGACAGATGGACTTTTATAACCGTTTTACGTCTAAACTACTGAATTAATTATAATAAATATTGGCATACACATAGATTAAAAACTGGAATGGCACTTAGGTTACTTTTCATCTGGCTAACGCGGGCTAAGCTGGTAGTAGAAGCTAGTTTTGAATAAAACACAATGACAAAATACGCACCTTATTACAAATAGCGCAGAGCACAGGCAGTAGGACCTTGAACTTCTCGACTTTGTTCCGCACCATGTCAGCGATCCGCTTGGCGCCGGGGTACTCGTACAGCTGCTTGCCCAGCTTGTACAGCAGCTTCCACCAGGCGTCCACGTCCTCCGCTATCTGCTCTGCGTTCAGACCTTGGAAGGGACCATGGTACCTGCACGCGAAATGGTATACAGTCAAATCTTGAATTAAACGTTAAATTCAAGCGTGCGAGAACCATGTTTCGGCACGAATGGGTCGGTTCGACCGGAGTGATACCACGGCCTTACAGAAAACCGGCGTGAAGCCATGTGAGTTACCCACCCCTCCCCAATCCAAATCCCTAATCCCCAAAGGGTCGGCAACACACTCATAACTCCTCCGTTCCCACATTAGGGTTTTCTCCTGTGTCGTCGGTGCGGCGGTACAAACATACAATTTCACATACACATGACACTAGTGTGGACCTGACACCTTTTGTCGAATAGAAAATCAACTAGTGTAACACCATTGGGCATTCTATTTTAGACATCTACAGTGATTGGATAAACAAAATTCTTGTTAGAAGTAGCTTGCAGGTAAAAACGGTAGCCCATATTTATTTACTTTCTAGCATTTTTTCTTGTATCGTGGGTTCGTTTTCATACATGCAAATCACACTCAGACCAGGAAAAACAATTTGTAAATCGCTCAAAAAGATATTCTAGCAAAAAGTCTATGTATGCCTAGGTCAGCAAATTATAGTGACTCACCATTTCTCGTAGCCGTCATAGAAGTCGTATGCGGTATGCCAGAGTTTGTGGAAGGGTTCGATGCCCGAGATCATGGTCTGCAGGCTGAAGTACACCGACACCTCCTGGTCGAGGAGTGTCTCCTCGTTGATTATGTACTCGGCCTCGTGTTTATCTTCCTGTTGTGAATGATGATTATATTAATAAGCATTTTTAAGTAAAAATGTTTTATCTTTATTGAGATTATAAAAGGCATTTACAATCGAACATTTACGATAAAAAAATATTGAAACTATTGAAGTGAAAATACTTAAAAATAATCACACCTTGATTATTATTTATCGAAATATATGAAATTTTAGTATTTTTAAAAATATTGTATATTAATATGCTACTTGAGGTTATTAAAATTATGACGAGACAACGTATTTCATACTAAATTCATAGTTAATTGACGGACATTTCTGAAAAAGTATAACTTCTCTGGTATCTGATCGGAAACTGATCTATTCTTATACATACATCTAAAGAAAGAATGAAAAAAATGAAAAAGAATTAATAAAAAACAAGAATTAATAATTAAAAAGAAAAATCCCGTTTGACTATAATAAAAGGTCCTGCTTACTATCAAATTCTTGAATATGGCGTCAACCCTCTCAACGGCATCCTGCAGCAAGTCCAGGTTCAGCAACGGAGGGTCGAACCTACGGAACAGCTCCAAGTCTTTCTCGTGCTTCTTCAGTTTATCCTCGAAGATGGTCTTCCGACTCCTCAGCTTGTCTTCAGCCATGGACTTCTTTGTGTTGAGGGTCTTCAGCGTTAGATCTATTGTCTCCTCCATGTCCAGGGGCCAGAGGAACACTCTGGTATTCAGGTTCACATCCTCAACTGGAAAGAGAAGTGACATGTTGTATCGAATATCTACATGTCCCTTTAATAAAATGGTTGTCATCATTACAAGAATATGCGAGTCCCCCCCTCCATCTCTTGCTTTTTTCTCTCTTTCTCTTGCTCAAGTCGGTTAAGAAATTATAAGTCCGTATGTCAATGATAAATAAAGAATCTTAAAAGTACATTTATATCATTTGAAAGTACATCTCCGAAAAAGCCACATTGGTACTTGCGACGTTTCGAAGACCTCGTGCAATGCAGTAAATATCCGGTTGTTGTTATTGTGTTCCTTATGCTATGCTAAATAAACTCTATTCCTTTCATTTAATATGCAAAAAATATATAAGTTCACGAATTATTTAAAAAAACGTATCTAGAAAACCAGCACTCACAAGTAAGATGTGCATGTTGCATGAGGAAGAGTACATGCTCGGCGGTGGTCCGCGCCTTCTCCCGGAGGTCGAACATGGCGCTGTCGCGGCAGTCCATGATGTAGTTGATCAGCTCCACCAGCTGCGCCGTCGTCTCCGGGGTCTCCGATGCTCGAGCCACCATCTCCTCGTAGATGTTGCAGATACTGGAACATAGTTATGGAATTCTCTCTTATTGATAATGATAAAAACAAGTTTTAAAGGTCAGGGAAAGGCGAGAGAGTGTGTCAGACTCTTACTGACTAATAGCCCCTGTTCCTTCTCCTGCTCTGGGCCGAGGCTGCGGTGACTCATTACGCTTACCCCGCAAACCCGGCTGAACATCAGCCCTATAGGGTCCCGTCTGTGGTGGGCTATTGGCTCTTTGAGACGCGCGCGGAACGATACGCGTCGAGTTTAGCCTTGCGTTGCAAAATGTAACACAAGTTTCTTCCAGAAGAAGGCGGGACGAAGTTGATTTCTTTTGGGAAGCAGAGAAGAGTGCAAGAATAGTAAGGAAGTTTTGACCCTTTGCAGTATGACGACAACAGCTAATAATAATTAACAATTTCAAGAATCAGAAAAGCCTGTTGCTGTACCTAAACCCATCTGTAAATTGATAGATATATGATTGTACCAAATTAATAGTTCAAAAAATGAACGTATCTTATAAGTGGATGGAACAATAAAAGTGTAACTAAACTTAATACATTGGTATGGCATTCTATAGGGCAGCAGCTTCCCGACAGTGATTTTTTTTTGAAATTAGGACAGCAATTACAGCAATCTCTGTGTTTATTAATTACAAACATACATATAAACATTGTTGTTCTATCGAGAAATGACCGTATGAACTCACCTTCTATTCCACTTCCTATTGATATTGATGAAGTGGTCGACGATGTACTGCCGGAGACCGTTGACGATGTCCCAGAGCGTGTCGTTGATGGGCCCGCAGTCCAGCATCACCATGTTCAGCGGAATGTCGCGCCGGAGGAACAGGATCTCGTCGCGAAGCTCCTCGTACATGTAGATGCGGGCTGAGAAGTCCTGACGACAACAGAGTTATACTGTTGAGGATAGACTCACCCATTGTTGAATGAGACTTGGATGATATGTAGTTAAGTGTTGTTACCAAGCTTCAAAAAATGGACACAGTCACGGATCTTCACTTAAGTGCCCACTGCTCAGCAAAGGTCCGCTGTTGGCACTTAAGTGTTATTTTTTTTTATAATGGGTTTCTGTAACTTGGCAATCTGTGTCAACACAATAAGCCATTCAGATGACGTATCTTGATCCTTGTCTTGTCAGCAGAAGGAATTTCTATGAATCCCTTTCATCTGTTATCACCAAATCTCAAGGTTCGTGTTAATGATGCAGTTCATGATAATTATTTGTATACCAAATCAGTTATTTTTGTAACGTGTATAATTATTTTAATTAGTATAGTATACAAGACTTTAGACATTATAAAAAGCTACTAACCTTCAAAAATGGCGGGGGTTCCTGTGCGAAGAAAGCGAGTAGATCTTGCTTGGCTTCTCCATTGAGTATGTAGAAGTAGTCGTTGTAGCTGGCGAGGAAGGCGCGCGGGCCCGGCTTGTTGATGGACACCTGGCGCACCGCCTCGCTGATCACGTCGATCATGTAGCGCTCGTCCGCAAACACGCCCATCAACATCGGCTCCGGACGCGCCGTCGCTGCACGAGGACATTACTATTTTATTCAATGGACCAAAGCACCTGAGGGTTTTTAGAATTTTCAAATTATTTTTTTACTTGATATAAACTAGTGCTTGACTGCGATTCCACCTGATGGTAAGCAGTGATGCAATCATTGATGGTAAGGCGCACTAGTTTATTAAGAACCTATTCACTCTAGCCTTCAAGACATCTAAATTATATTTGGACGGAAAGACTGCAGCCGACAAACTGTTCCAATTCCTTGATGTATGTAAATAATCCCCAACACAGGCATTACTTGCTTACAGCGGAACTCCAAACACTAAAATTACGAATGTAAACTTGTTGAAGCAATAAACCATTTTTGTATTTTGTATTTTTTGTATTTGTATTCTCAATGCTCTTTGGAAATCTGGAATATCAATAAACTTCGCCTCTATTAAAACAGAAATTGATGATTAGTGAAAAGTAGGTTTGTGTGTATGACACTTAATGTCAACCACGCACCCCATTGTAGGATGAAAGGCGTGTTAGTGATAAAATCATGTTACATGATACTTACTTAATAAACCTTTGACTGCCGACGAAACTAGTTAATGACGCCATTGTCCGACACGGCATCGATGTGGTTAACAAGATTCGAAGCATGCGAATGCATATTGAAAAAACACAATTTTATGCTCTAATACTTTTGTTTGGCATAAGAAATATGCATATAATTGTTCATTGTTACCTATGTTTAATGGGCAAGGCTAACTAATTATATATTGAGACCCTACTTCATCATCAGCCAATAAGTGCCCACTGCTGAGCAAAGGCCTCTCTCTTCTCATGCGAAGTTAGAGCATTAATCACCACACTTGCTTAATGCGGGTTGGCGATTTCAAACTTATAATAATTCCAGGTTTCCTCACCATGTTTACATTCACGGTATGTCAGATGTGTCTAAATAATCATAGAAAGTACATACATATCACTCGGAAAAAGTCATATTGGTAATTGCCAGATTTCGAACCTACACCCATGAGGAGCGGGTTCCATAACTTCCGTGCCACCACGAGACTCTACAGTTAGTATAAAATCAAATATCCGCGCTTTTCGCTAAAGCAATGGAAAGCTCCATCGTTGGCTATATCCATATGTGACTGATCATCAGACGAGATAGTATCTACACGACTACACCTGACTAAAATAAAACAAACTCCAACTCACTTGGATACATGATCTTATCAACCGACGGTAAAGCTTGGGAGACGTTGATGATGGCCTGGAACCACTTGATGACGAAGGTCTTGATGCTCTCAAGGCCAGGGTCGAAGGTGATTTGGTTGCTGCCAGGGTGGGCAATCACCTTCACACGGACTATGGGCCGCTTTATGAACATGTAGTCGCGGTACGGACCCTCGTAGGCGTTACCTTCCTGGATGCAGAAGACAACAATCGCAAAATATGAGATTATATATAATATTTTTTTTAAGATTAAGATTGATTCAGTGGGATCATTACCTATCATCAGCATATAAGATAAAAAAAAATATTTAAAATTACTTTACCATCTAATGCGTGAGAATTATAACATTAACCAATTGCCCATTGGAGAATGTTAAATTCTCCAGTTAGCCATGGTTCAATATTTTTTTAAGTTATACATAGCAGTAAACGAGCTTAGGGATTTCTTAATGGTAGGCAATTAGCGTCACCCATGGACACCCACCCTCAAAACCAAAGAAGTTACGAGCGCGTTGCCGGCTTTTTGTGATATTTATCGAAGATTTAGGGATTGGGGAAGGAAGATGGGGCCTCCGGAAACTCCTACTTTCTTAACGATAGACAGCTGTCGGTTGATGATAGTTATAACCAGTTATAACAATATTTGGATGACATAATAAAGAATTAACCTTACCGAATAAAAACATAAATGTTTAGCGAAGTGCGCGACACTCCTTTCCACGAGGTCCCGGATTTGATTGGACATCAGCGCACGGATACATCTGTAACAAACGAAGTGGACTTTGTAAGGGGCCCATAGTAAATATTCAGCTTTTCTAATTCTCAACAATGGATAAGGCTGCATGACGTTGCCGCGACGTGTACACTCATGAATGAGAGTCCCGTTGTGACTTGAAACTAGTAGAGCTTTTCTCTCTAGATTAACGTGAGTAATAGCCATAGTATAGTTCGGTTACAATATGCGAAATAAAAATAAATTACAGAATAAGTACTAACTCTGATCTGCATTTAATATATTAGTTGATCAGTTTTGGTTTTTAAGTACTATCTTTATAAATATAAAAATTAATGGCTATTCGTTATTTTCGGTTAAACAAAAAAAAGAAATCCGGGGAAGATTTAAACAGCGTGAAAATATAAAAAAAAGTACGATAAAATACTGGAATCGTCAATTTATTTCACGATGTAAGTGACATTAAATTTTTACAAGGTACAAAACTTCTATTTTTAAACATAGATATATGTATATATGAGGTTGACTGGTAGAGAATGCCTTCGGGCATTAAGTCCGCCTTTGTATATATTATTTTGTATGTACATAAAGTGTTAAAATAAATAAATAAAGTAAAAAATATATTAGTTAATATTGCGGTGGTGCAGAGTTCGCTAATCTAAGCTGTTAAGTATAATATAAATAATTTGAAAAAATGTACATTATCTCTTGGCTCAATTAAAATAACCCTTTTATCGCCACATTCATGATGTACAGAATTGTTATTTAGTAGTTTTTTTTAATTAGCAACTTTTAAATAAATATGAAGAAATAGTCACCGCACACAGACGGCACACTAACCTGAAAAAAGTCTCCACTTTGAAGGTGGACTCGCTCTTCTTCTTAGCGACGTACCCAGCCCAGTGGTGCCTCATCTTGATCATGGTGTCGGCCACGTCTATCAACCAGTTCTCCTCCAGCTCGGTCCTCATCTCCTGACAGAGCCTGTTCAGGTTCTCTGTGAACTCGTGCGTGTACTGAGGGAATGGTACTTCTGCTTGCATCTTTTTCATGTCAACTATGTATACATTTTGGTATCTGAAAATTGTTAAGGGACAGTGTATAATTTGTATGTCGTACTAGCAGTAAGCTAGTGGCTTTACTCTATAAAATATGTTACTTTGTAACTTTAGCGCAAACATTTTTTACTGAAGAAATTATTTGCGCAATTCGGTATAATGGACCTGTAGTAGGAAAAATAAGTTATCGTTAAAGATAAATGCAAAGGTTTTTGTTACAGTTAAATTTCTTTCTTTTGTTCTTTGTATTGGACGGATCTCAATGAGATGAAGTATTTCAGAAAACTTAAGTGGTAAATCATAGAGTAAGTACTATACGCTAAGAAGTTTAAGGTTCAAAAGAGTACGGTATGTGTGAAAAATGACTATACCTACACCAAATAAATTTGAATATAGAACTTACGTGCCACGTAAGTTTAACTCAAGACACAATAGAAGAAGAATACACAAAGTAGGCGTTCGCTCGGGGTTTGATTAATTAAGGGGCTTAGAGTAGACGTACCTTTCGTGCCACATCCTCCGTAGCTCGAGCAGTACTGGGTTCCCGAGGAAGTATCTGTGCGAGAGCGCCTCCCGCGCCTTGACGAGCGGCGTGTGCCAGGGCACGGGCGCGCGGACCACGTGCGCCGGCCACAGCGGGGGCACGAACGGGATCTGCAGCCGGACGCGCTCCGCCCCGTCCTCCAGGATGTACTGCAGGATACATCTGGGAGGAGGAGAAATCATACACTGAACAAAAAACGCTTTTTTCAGATTGTGATTTAAAATTTTATCATACAAATGTTTCGTAAAAATTTACTGCAGTTTTAGTCTTATAAACAATCAGGGCAGACCTGCGTCTACAGAGTAACGAGTGAAGTACTAAAGAGTTAAACTGTTGGAATATACCTTTTTTTTGTCAGGGGAAAATCCCGCCCAGGGTAAGGCGAGAGAGAGTGTCAGACTCTTACTGACTAAAAACCCCCCCGTTCCGTCTCCTGCTCTGGGCCGAGGTCGCGGTGCCTCATTGCGCTTACCATGCAGGCCCGGCTAAACGTTGGAATATACCTACGCATTATATGTATACCTATACAAATATCCAAGTTCATTCACAGCATACTTCAATCAATCATTCGTCAACACTCAATCATTCAATGTTCAGTTCATTCGTACTTTCTGTAACTGATATTACTCGAAATATAATAGTCGTTGAGGACTCAACTTCTTCTTCTGGACTTAGATTTCAAATAACGATGAAATAAATACGCTATGACAATAACCCTAGGATTGAACTTTTTTTTGAATGAAAATCACCATAGTACCTACTATCAAACTCTTACCAACTAAAAATCCGTAGCACAAAAAACTGCAGTGTATTTTTTCGCTTGCAACCGCAACTTCAGACCAATAAGCTGTGATCATGACCATGACATACAGAAAATAATTCGAAACAGCACTAATAGAATTAAAATTTATTTGATTTCGCTATTTATTTAAATACTATTTATCAAATGCATCTTTCTTTTTTTATTCTTCAAGTCAGAACAAGTTAGTTGATTTTAAATTTTATATACTAAACTACAGAAGCCATTATGGTTTACATACATGCATATACATGGCTAGCGAGTTCGGAAAGATCTAGAAAGTGCAAAGCCTAGTATTGTAAGCACAAACCTCTTCATAGCCATAACAAAGAACTCCCGTATCTCGGCCTCGCTCCGCCGCACGTTGGCCTGCCACGTGAGGATTAGCATGCGTTGCTTGATGCACTCGGTCTGCTTGTCCACCGCCAACCTGGCGCGCTTGTACAGCTCCACCGGGTACTCCGGGAGCTGCTTTCCTGATAGCGACTGGAAATATCTCGGATTATTGAATCTAAATGCCTTGGCAGCCCACCTATGTACTTTGTGCATGAAGTTGAATATTGATGAAGAGAAAAAATATTGATTGTAGAATCCCACTCAGTCAAAAACTCACCCAAATCAAAAGTTAGATTATGTATTTTTAATTATTCTAGAAAACCTATTAAACTTTTGGTGAGGGTTTTTTTTGTCAGGGGAAAATTGTCTAATGACTTCTCTCATCCAGGTTAAGGCGAGAGACAGTGTCAGACTCTTACAGACTAAAAATTTTAGATATTTAAGGATTGGGAAGAGATGGGGCGAGGAGGAGTCAATCCCTCATTCACACGACTAAACACCATTCTGTGGTTGTTTCACGCCGGTTTTCTTTGAGTTCAAAATCAACACTACCTAATAGGTAGAAGAAATGCTGAAAGACAGCAAAGAAGTTGAAGTAGGTGAGGTTAATGGGTTTTTTTAATTTATTTTTCAATTGTAGAACTAAGATATTTTGGTAAAAGTGGTATCTGCATTACACTTTACCATCTTGTTACAAAAAATATCATAATCATAATATTTCCGGTACTTACAGACATAAAGAGACATTGTATTTTTTTTTTGTGATAGTGCAACTGAGTGACTCTTTACCTGATGTTAAGCAATCAGCGCCGCCCATGGGCACAACAACAACAGAGCAGTTAGGAGGGCGTAGCTAACCTTTTGGGGATTGGGGATTTGGACCTTTAGGGATTGAAGAGGGATTGAGGAAGGGGAAGGATTGAGCCTCCGATAACCATACTCACAAGGCAAAATACAACATAATAAAATGTAGTTTCACTATATTTACCACAGAGAGATAGAACTCGATCCTCTCCAAGGCGTCAGGCGAGATGAACCTGTAGTGCTCCTCCTCGGTGATGGCTAGCATCTCTTTCTTCTGCTGGTCCGGGTCTCTAGGCAGCTCGAACTCTAAACGAGCTAGACGTCTACACATATAATAGCATTTAGTACGTTTGTTATTCGGGTCTTAAGTTCACTTGAGACAATATACCAAGTACTATGTTTATGTCTATATATACTAATGTTATAAGGCTGTAGAATTATGTTATATTATAAAGTGTCTTTGTTTGTTTCAACGTGCTAATCTCAGGAACTATATGTTAGAATTTGTACTGTTTTTGTGTTTCTTAGTCCACTTATCGTATATTAAAACTTCACGTTATAATCAAATGGAGCCAAGCAGTTGGCGAAAAGGCACGATAGTAGCTAGTCAATAATAAAATGAATGCCAAATTCTCTTGGTCATGGCATTACAAAACAACGGCTAGAGCGATTCCGAGAAAACCCGATAATGTTTTCTAAGATCAAGTGAGAGATCCTACAAATGATTGTTTTAGAAAAGAAGGTAGAGGGGGGTTTCGGAAAGTACCAACCCTTTCGATGCCTAAGCGGTTGGCAAACAGGATAAACGACTTACACTGAGTTGTTGGGCATGCGTCCATTATAGCACTTAGCAGTTACTTAGATTTATTAGTTTTAATATAAAACAATGTTTTGCTTGAAAAAATTAACAATACTTATTCGTGGAATTGCCAACTTATAAAAGGAATTTGTATATTTTCATTTTGCAATGCCACTCTCTCCTGTTGATGACAAAACAATAAGCAACCGACATTTTTAACAATAAAATGGAAATCTACAAAGTACTTTGCAAAATATGTTTACCTTTTGAACTCCTCCTGCGCTGCTATCTCTGCAGCTTGCTTGGCGAGCTTCCTCTTCTCAACTCGAAGCCGCTTGGCTTCGGCTTCTGCAGCTTTCTTTCTATCATACTCGCCAGATATCAGATCTTCTAGCCTTACTAAACCTGGTCAGATAAACACGTAGGTACATATACATAGATTACCGGTGTGGCTGAAGCACGAGGCCATCAATTCTTCTTGGGTATTGTATTGGGTATTTAGGTTTTTCAGTCGTGTAATTCTTATTGGCAGATAGAAGTCTATCCTCATACTACAAGTTGGGTTGTTACTAATTATGTGATTGCAATAACATACAACTAACCAACAACTCGTTAACGGACCCATCCCGTAGTAATTATTTTTATGCTATAAGACGGCGAAGAACAGACCAATTACCTGAGCAAACACCGCCGGCCATGGACACCCGCGACAACGGTAGAGTTACGAGTGCGTTACCGATCTTTTGGGGATTTTTGATTTGGAGATTTTGGGTTTGGGGAGGAATTAGGGGAAGGGAAGGATTGGGCTTCCGGTAACCTCACTCACACGGCGAAACACAGCGCTGCGGTTCTTTCACGCCGGTCTTCTGTGAGGCCGTGGCATCATTCCGGTCGAGACAATCGATTCGGGCCGAAGCATCCCACACAATCTATCCTACAGATTTTTATTAACCCATCACACAAATTAATGACTAAAAAATATATAGAAACCTTTCTGTAGAGTAGTCTTGTTCCTCTCTGCCTCTAGCTCCTTCTGCCGTTTTTCCTTCGCCCTCTGCGCTACAAGCTGGAGAGGAGGAAACTGCATTTCTCCATTAGGTCCCAGAGGGCCATACAGTTCTGGAGGAGGCTTCCTCTTAGGAGGCATGTTGATCGAACGAATAGTTTTTGTGGTCGCCGTATAACAGTTACCTGGACGTGGATAAATATCATGGATTATGTATTGCAGTATACATATAAGGTGCTATAAATATCTGCCTCGACTCCCATGAGACATAAGTACATAACGTTAGATTCCAATTGCAAGGTAAATAATGATTAACTTGTGATACTTATATTTGTTCATAAAATTAACTAGTGTTTGGATTTTGATGAAAATTGGCACAAAAATAAATAATAGATATAACAATATCTGGAATTGCGCATATGTTGTTAATCCTGGTTACGCTGATGATGCTGCTGACATAAGCTAGGATTAAATATTTTCTCTTTTTAAAACAGGTTTAGAAATAATAGTGCGTGGAAATATGGCGACTTTACTAGAACAGTTTTAAATATTATTTATTACCGTAAAAAACATAGTCGTGGTGGCCCGGAGGTTAAGCAGCCCGCTTCTCATGCATGAGGGTGTAGGTTCGAAACCTGGCAAGTACCAATGTGACTTTTTCCGAGTTATATGTACTATCTATGATTATTTACACACCCCTGACATACGGTAAAGGGAAACATCGTGAGGAAACCGACTTATAATTTCTAATTATAGGTACCTAAGTTTGAAATCGCCAACCCACATTGAGCAAGCGTGGTGATTGTTGCTCAAACCTTCTCCGTATGAGAAGAGGCCTTTGCTCAGCAGTGGGCACTTATAGGCTGATGATGATGATGATGATGATGACTAGGTAAAACTAGGTGCCATTTAAAATTCAAATCTACCTCTAACAGAATAAAGGTCATGATGTCATAGCTACCAATAGACTCCGAAGGTCTGGCGTGCATATAGGAGTCGCGGAAGGGCACGCCCTTCGTCCAGGACTTGTTCTGCATTAGAGGCAGGAACTTGCTGCAGTTACCATCTCCTTCTCCTATGATAAGCAAATAATTATTTCTTAAACATGGACCTAGAAAAAAAGGCGGACGCCGTCTGCTCTAACAATAACTGAAGCACCCATAGTAAGTCAGTGCACTAATATATACAAGCCAACACGCACACATTCACACCATAGTAAGTCTGCCGTCGGCCATTACGCTTCGAACGACGCTCGCGAATTATTCGGTGTTATTTTGGCTAATAAAAACGAAAGTATGCCGTCATGTGTTGTTAAAAGTTGTCGAAACCATAGTGGTTCAATTAAAAAAAGCCAGGGAATCACTTTTCATAGGTAAGCGTGTCATTTTGAAGCTTATTTCTCGATTTTTTATGTCATTATATTTATTAAAGCTCGAAATCAATCAGTGTTGCAACTATTTCATGGTTCAAATTATTTAAAAAGTGGGAGATTTATATTTTCTGTTTCTATTTATCGTTATTGTATTCTTTATTTTTACAGATTTCCCTCAGCAAATGATGCATGGAGAAATGACTGGATAAAAATAATAAGGGAGAGTAGACACGAAAATAATTGGAATCCATCAAAATCAAGTGTAATCTGCAGTATACATTTTGAGAAGCATTGTTTGTATTCAACTAAAGGCGGACTTCTTCGCGTTGTTGCTTACGTCGTACCAACAAAGGTAATTTATATTTATTTATGGACACCTTCCTTATAACCCACACTTTGAAACTGTAATATTTTGATAGTTTTATTAACAACAGTTGAACTTTTTTTTAGTTTTTATCCGATACGTCAGCTGTACAAGAATTACCGACTGAAGTATTTTCTTCCAGTGTTTCTGATAAGGTTTGTTTTTTTTACTAAAACGCTATTTTATTCTAAAAAAAAGTTATGCTTTTGAATCGTTTCTAACCTGATGGTATTCTTTATTTTAGAGTTCACTAGTGATTGAAGGAGTAGCCACAGTTTCCGGGCAGCAAAAAAAAATAGAACAACCTTTTTCACAAAATGTAACGACGACTTTGACACAAGTGAGTAGCCTAACCTACTGGAAATCTGATGATATTTTATTAGCCTTGGTTAACCAAGTTAACGAAATGTTATTCATTTTCTTAGAGTTCATCAGTGGTTGAAGGAATATCTGTACAAGAATCGACACTGCAACAGTCTTGCTTATTGAACACGACTTCGTCCTTGCAAAATGTAAGTATTTTAAAAAAAAAGGGTGGGTTTATCGAGTTTATTATTCAAAATATATATATTATATTGACAATAACACGAAAAAAGGTAATATTATGTTTGTTCATTATTTTTAGGAGTCACCCGAAACTGTAATATCTGGAGTTGAATTGGATCAACCACTGTCATTACTATATACTCCCCGAAAACGACGTATGAAGGAAGATCTGATGAAAATGCGTGCCCTGGTGCAAAATCAAAAAAGGAAAATAAAAGTTTTAAATCAAAAAGTTAGACGTCTCCAAGATAGGAACAAATCTTTGAAAGGTATTTTAAAAACCCTTAAGGAAGAAAATTATGTTGATTCTGATCTTTTTAACAGATTAAATGAAGACATTGTTGCTGCTAACATTTTTAATAGTTACAATAAAAAAAAATAAAGAAAAAGATTGAATACTCACCGTCTATGAAAAAATGTTGTTTAACCCTCAATTATTATTCTCCGAAAGCTTACGATTACGTCAGGCAAACTTTTAATACTTGCCTTCCTCATCGAAAGACACTGGCCAAATGGTACGGGCATCTTAATGCAGACCCAGGATTCACTGAAGAATCTTTTCAGGCATTGAAAGCAAAAGCTCAAATAAGTGAACATCGGCCTTTGTGCACTTTACTCTTTGACGAAGTTGCTATTAGAGCTCAAAAAATTTGGGATGGAAAAAATATATAGGCCTAGAAGATATGGGTTCGGGAGTTGCAGAAGGTGCACCTTTGGCAAGCCAAGCATTGGTTTTTTTACTCGTTGGGATTAACCACCGCTTCAAACTACCATTGGGATATTTCTTAAGTAATTCAATAAGAGGTGAACAGAAAGCTAATTTGATAAAATTATGTCTTCTCAAATGTTTTGAAGCTGACATTGATGTTGTTGCATTAACATGCGATGGTCATCAAAGGAACTTCAATGCATTGGAATTGCTTGGTTGCAATTTCAAGCCCGAGTCGTTAAAAACAACATTTTCTCATCCTGCCAATGGTTCTGAAGTTGCATTTTTTCTGGACCCTAGTCATGTCATGAAGTTATTAAGAAACCATTTAGAATCCAAAAGAGAGTTCATGGACAAGGATGACCTAAAAATTAAATGGAACTATATCGAGGAACTAAATAAATTACAAGAGAAAGAAGGATTACATTTGGCCAATAAATTGACAAGAAAGCATATTAATTTTAAAAATAATATAATGAAGGTGAAACTGGCCACTCAGGTGTTTGGTGAAAGCGTAAGAGCGTAGCGTAGAGAAGACCTAAATCTAGACGTATTTAAAGATTCTAAGGCAACGGAAAATTTCATTAGCAATATAAATATAATGTTCGACATATTTAATTCTCGAGCTATGACTCAATTTGATTTTAAAAAACCACTTTGTTCCCAGAACAAAGATACGATATTCAATTTTTTGGATGAACTAAAAGAATATGTATTAAAGTTAAAAATTAAATGTATGTCAAAAAGAAAAGTAACGAAAGACGGTCGAGTGACTTATGTTCTTACTGTATTCTATAAACGTTTAGTAGATGCAAAATGCAAAACTGGTTTCCTTGGCACGTTAATAAATATTAACAGTTTGAAGTATCTATATGCCAAATTGATAGGTGAAAAACAGTTGGTGTTCCTACCAACCTATAAACTGAGCCAGGATCACCTTGAGATGTTTTTTTCATCCATCAGAATGCAAGGAGGCTTCAATGATAACCCTAATGTTCGTCAGTTCAAAGGTTGTTATAAAAAACTGTTGGCTCATTTAGAGGTACGATGCCTGACCACTGGAAATTGTGTTCCTTTGGAGCAAATAGCTGTGCTTAATTGTTCTTCGGCCAAAAAAATAATTAACACAACGACTCCATCATACCGTCACGAAGAACAAGAAGGTGATGTTAGTTGCGACTCACTATCATTCATGAAAGAAATCACCAAAGACGATGACAACCTGGCACAACGATTACAAATAGAAGAATTTAATGATTATAGGAAGTTGATTGTAGGATATCTAGCAGGCAGTATCTGTCATTACGCAATAAAAAATATTAAGTGCCAAAACTGTATAGCGCGGCTATGTACAGACAACTGGCTTTTTTTTCACAAGTTGATGAATTTAAAAACAAGGGGAGGATTAACTTTCCCATCAAAAGATTTGTACGACATTTGTTGCACTTGTGAAATGGTGATCCGAAGACTTTTAAAAGATAAAATAACAATATATAATGAAAGACAACATCAGTACATGCTAAACAAAATCCTAGAAAAATTTATAGCAAACGACAACATCTTTTTAGATTTGGAATTTGAACATGCATTTGCAGGAACAGCACATAAAATATCTTTAATTAAATATATAGCCGAAAAATACATGAACATTCGTTTTCATCATATAAGTAAATTAGAAGGGATTTCTAGATGTGTCGATAGCAAAAGACAAGTCTACAGAAATTTGAACCAACAAAAGGGATTGTAAAACTTAGTTTTTTAACTTCCTTTCTCTTCCTTTACTACTTTTCAATTTCCTTGTCAATTAGCTAAAATCATTAAATTTTCTATTTAATAAACCAGTTGTAAATATTTTTATATCCAGTGTGTTTTATTTATTTTACCTTTATTTTAACAATATCCATCACAAAAACTTATAATAAAATAAAACCTAAGTTCAAGGGAGATCTTATTGAAATATTGTTTATAAATGGGTAAAATTTTCCTTCATCTGGCATCCCTTTACACACGCACACATAGTTAGGCAGCCGCCATTGTGGTGCTTCAACAATTTCTTTGTGACGTTCCGTCCGCCTTTTTTTCTAGGTCCATGTTCTTAAAAATTAAATGTTTTAGACAATACGAGTATGTAAACTAATTATATCTTTATAAATATAATTCTACTGTACGTGTGCATGTCATTGAACTCCTCCTAAACGGCTTGACCGATTTAAATGATTTTTTGCTGTATACGTTGTAATGCCCTGGAGGTCTACTCTCTTTCTTCGAAACGAAACTTTCGGAAACGAACGAAACTCGAACGAAAGAACGTTGACGACCCTACTCTGTTTTATTTTCGGACACGCATACGAAGTTCGATCCAGAGATAATTTTCGTGAACGAATGTAATTGTGTAGGTTCTTTATAATGTGATTTGTGGTAAATTACGGTTTTTACTTAAAGTTAAAATTACAAATTCTCTGGCTGTTTCTTTAAATTCCACATTATGTATGTGGTTTGTAAAACTATTACTTATAATATGCCACGCAGAAAATAAAAATATATTTATTTTTGACGGAATTGTAATTTATCGTGTAATTTATCATCGTTACCTTATAAAACACTCTTTTACAGACATTTATAACCGACTAATTTAAAGAGTACTATTTCATGCCCAGAAAGGGTTGTTATGTATGTCGACTAAAAATGGCTGTATTCGGCCCGTGCACGACATGTGTCAAAAAATTAACGTCAACAGATTGTTTATTTTTATCAACACGAGTTAATAAAATATACTATAAAAGACAATAAATATATGTGGAGAAAGAAATTTTATTGAATTAAATAAAAAATGGATATTATTATAAAAACAGGTTTTGAGTGTTATAAACACACAATCATTTTCCAAACCCAGACTGTGCTAAAAGGTAAAATTGGTGTTAGCAGAACATGTGAGGGATGTGGAAGAACAAAGAATTAATGCGAATAATAATATGGCTGTGCGTTAATATTGATTGTGTAGTGGTGGAAGAAGACTGTGTGACAAAGCGAGTCGAAGCTAAATGTCCAATTATCTACATTTGAAAAGAACTGTCGTTGAATTTGATAAAAATGTATGCAATGTTACTTACTTAATATTTTTATAAAATAATGTAATAGAGTTAAAACAAAGTCATTCATATTACACTCATGTTCAGTTACAAATGTATGTAACTGGGATGACAATGTGTGATATTTTTATTTTGAGCAGTATATGGTAAATAATGCTCATTTATGTTAACTTCATATAAGTACTTTAATGTGTTACAGTAATGATATTGCTTTAATGTTATATAAAATGATAATAAGTTGTTTAAAATTATACTCCTTGTTATATTTGTTCTATTAGAAAATTGAAATTTATTTTAAAAATAAATACCTAATAAGTTTTTAATTTTTGTTTAATAAATGCAGAACTTTAGGAAATAAAAATCAGTTATTTTTTTAAGTGTGTTTTTATTTACTTGCCCTTTTTTACATATTTGTGCCGCGATCGGTTTCTTTACCCTTTCCACCCACTTCGCACGTTCCAAATAATCGAAGTACATGCAAACTAATCATAACAATATATTCTTTTTAATTTTTTTGTTTGAAAACTTTTCTAAAAGTTAGTTTCTCACAGCTCCTCAAATAATAGGCGACTGTCCTACAAACTCTAAGTCCGGAATTTGACTTAGGTATTTTAAGTAGATGCGCCTTCTACGCTCTACACGTTCGTCACGTAAAAGAGCTTCGATTTAGAGCATAGATTCCCAAAGTGGTCCAGGTGGACCCCCAGGGGTCCACGGGAGCCCGACAGGGGTCTACGCTTTCGTGGAAAAAGACTGGGGGTCCACAACTCGTTAACGGGGGTCTATAAAAATGTATTAGGTGACCAGACTTGACTTCTCCTATGAATATAGGAAGACAAAATTATAAGAAGCTCAGCAATTGTTTTTGTAAGAACTTGCATTTTCCATATTCAGAAAGAGCGTGTCAAGACAGGTCAAGACTCGCCGATTCCGCGCCGCCCGCTCGCCTAGTTAAAGTCGTATCTGAACTTGCATGAACTTGTTGGATTTTTTCACTGATATAAATAGGAATGCGAATGATAAACATCACTCAGTTGTTTCCGGAATTTCAAAAAAGAAAGTGAATCTAAGAAGAAGTGTCGATTGTACTGTCGACAATCAATTTCAATATCAAAATTTTGATTATATTGCAAGAAATGCAATGTAATCTAAATTATAAATTTTGATTATATTGCGACTGTTTTTAAAATACTAATAATTATTATTTTTGATGTTAAATTTTGATTCTACTCAGACTGTTATAACAACATATTAAAAGTGTAGTATTTTTTATGTTTGAATAGTTACAAAACAAGAAAATATTTATTTTTACTTTTTATCACTCCGAAGTGGGAGCTTATCGGTTTCTTGTACTGTGAGTCAATCTTAGAATACAAAAAAGTAAAGTAGGAATCTGTTGGGTGAAGACGCATTTTAGACTGGCCTTGAACTCACAGCATAATCAAAGCAATATAAATTCTCACCTTTTTATTTCGAAAACTCAGAGTTGATTGAAAAATAGTCACAACACAGATTTACATAGACATATACTTTTTTCGGGTTTTGGAAGTAAGTTAGTAAATGTAATAGTTGCAGGGGGTCCACCAGATCAACAAAATGTTTAAAGTGGTCTATGAGAAAAAAAAGTTTGGGAAACTCTGATTTAGAGCATTCTTGTAGCCATTTCAAACAATTTTCATACAAAATCCATACTAAACGAAAATTAAAAGGTAATACTTTTGGTTTCGTCAATTTGAAGTAAAAAATCCGAAAAATCGTCTGTCAAATTGAAAAGTTCGTTCGGAGCTAATAAGGATTAGAGTAGGTTCTAATGTCAAACGTCTTCGTTCGACCGAAATTTCGGAACGAATTGAAACCGTGGTAGGAAACACGCGAAGTTTCGATCGAAAGTTCGTTTTTCGTAGAACAAGAGTAGACCCCCTGGATAGTTTAGATAGATTTACAAATCAGCCCGGCAGATGGCGCTGATTGCTTGAAAAAGCATGTGATCGCGGAAAGGGCCCTAACGATTTCGCTGATATTTTTTGGTTTTGGGGAGGATCCGCTAGTATTTATAAAGACGTAACGGTAACGGCAGTTGTGGTGAGTTTTGTTTTGTGGGTTTGATTCCCTTACGAAACATCTCTTTTTTCTGTGATCCACAAATTGTTAGTCCGGGGCTGGGTATGATGTTAATGTGAAATTATGTTTTTACCCCTGACACAGAAAATCTTATACAGTGGGGATATTTAAACAAACCTTCTTATAGAAGATACAAAAAAACAGAAAGGCGCACACAGGCAAGGTACAAATACTTACATATATTGTAACTAAGGGCTGATTATTCAATAGTCAGATAAATGTTATCTGAAGAATAAATTGTTGCTGTTGCTGTCACTGTCTTATACAAACATTCTGACGCGACAGCATCATAATTATTTCCCAGGTAACTTTTATCTAACCATTGAAAAATCAGCCCTTAGTCATAATGTTATCATTATAATAAAAAAATAGAAAACAAAAAAAAGTTTAAGTCAGCCCATATTATCAAATTTTGAACCTTATGATTGTGATTTAGGGTTGATTATAAAATATTCAATGTAAAAAAATTCGACAAATTGGTATAACTTCATTTACTTGCATCTGCATCCTAAATCATATTTTAAAGATTATCAAATATCAAAAGATGGTACGTATTTGATATTTCAAGGATCCTTGTACCCCATTCTGGGCAGCTTGGCAGCTTATGTAGTATATCTCTCTTTTCTTTTTAATTTACCTTTAATTGTTGTAAAAATGTTCTGTAATAATACTTATTTTGCATAAAATTCTGTATTATTTTAGTTTTAGTTTTAATTCTATTTTTAATAGTTTTATATAAACTTATCTAGTTACTAAGTCATGATCTCACGGTGTTCTCACAAAAATGTTAATATATGATATTAGTAGTGGGTATTTATGTAAATGTTGTGATTTTTTAACCGACTTCAAAAAAGGAGGAGGTTCTCAATTCGACGAGTATTTTTTTTTTTTTTTTTTTTTTTTTTTTATGTATGTACACCGATTACTCGAAGACGCCTGGACCGATTTGCAAAATTCTTTTTTTATTCGATAGGGTATACTTGCCATTTGGTCCCATTGTCATGAGGTCAGGATCTGATGATGGAATCCTGGAGAAACCGAGGGGAACTTTCGAAAATTGTAGGGGCAAGTAGGTATTTTGTATGATGTTTAAGTAGGCCTTTAACAACACTACAACTTGACGAAGGTCGAAGTCGACCAGATGTTGGAGCTGGAAGACAGTCGAGGGATCTCCTTGACTATTTGGAGTAATTGCCTTGTGTTTGGGCTTGAATGATTCGTATTGGCGAGCACTTTGCAGCAGGCTGGTCGTAATTGTCATTAAGGGTCTGATGATGAGAACGAAGGACAGCTCAGGGAACTCCTGAACGGTTTACAGTAACTACTTCGTATTTGAACTTAATTCATTTATATTGATGAAAACTTTGTACCTGTAGGTATGTATCATAACAACTGAAGGTCTGCAGTTTACCTGATGATGGAGACCATTGATAGTCTAGGGAACTCCTCAACGGTTTACAGTAGCTACCTCGTGTTTGGACTTAATTAACATAAAAAAGGCTGGTGATGATGATGATGATGATGATGAGAATTTTCCCATTTCTTGGGAATTATATTTTTTAATCGAGCGGCTCCTTCGTAGGCCTACACATAGCTACTTAAAAAATATATATACTATTCAGTATGTTAATTTATATTTAAAATGTTACTGTAGTTTACAGAAGAACTTATAACAGAAACTAAAAAGTAAAAAATAAAAAAAACTACGTTTAAAAAAACCGACTTCAAAAACAAAAAAGTTTCAAATAATTAAAATAGATATTTTAATACCATTCTTACGTACGCGAAGCTAATACTTTTAATATTAATAATAAAACACTATGAATTCTATGTGCTACCTATTTATAGGTTTGAAGTCGGTGCCAAGCCCTAAACAGAATAAAAATAAATGAGAATTAAGACTGTTTAACTGCTAAAAGACGAAATTTCCACAACCAACAACGAAGGTATCTAATACTACTTTTAACAACCAAGTACGAGAAAACTTTCAGAATTCATAATTCACCCAAATATGTTTCTAAGCTATACATATATAATTTCGCCGGTAACAAAACCATATAGACTTCTGATTCTACGCTAACGCCATCAAGTAAGAAAATCGGTACTAAATTTCTAAAATCCTAACAAATAAATTCACACGCACCCGACGAGTTTAGGTACTCATGTATCATGCTTATTATATTATACTATATGTATATTAGGCTTGGCACCGACTTCAAACCTATGAATAGGTAGCACATAGAATTCATAGTGTTTTATTATTAATATTAAAAGTATTAGCTTCGCGTACGTAAGAATGGTATTAAAATATCTATTTTAATTATTTGAAACTTTTTTGTTTTTGAAGTCGGTTTTTTTAAACGTAGTTTTTTTTTTGTCATTTTTTGTCACTTTTTTTTTATTTTTATGTACAAATGATTGTAACGTCTTTGATTCTGTTTGTGTTCGCGTTAATAATATTTGTTTCATTGTTTGCATAGCTTGGTACAGTTCTCTAATATTGGATACTTGTTACTCATTTTAGTCTGTTGGTATGTACTTATCCTATCATTATTTTGAGAATGTTGGTTAACCTATAATTGGCAACTGTGTAAGTCCCAGTAATGTAATAAAATGTACTTTAAGTGTTATCCACACAGAAGCTGTTGGTAAACCTTTTTATTAAATAAATAAATAAAATTAACTTGTAAGTGTTCAGTTCTGCGTAGACTGTCGGTAAAATGAGTTAAGAAATGTAAGGACAAAAAGTAAATAATAATAATTTTATGAACTAAAGATAATAAACTGGTTTTTAACCCTCCAACAAACACTATATCCCTTCTTTTCGTTCCGACGGTGGCGCGACCTGTGGCGCCCGCAAGAACTTTTGTTGCCTATAGTTAGTTACACTTCGCATGGATAGATGTCACTGTGCGATGACGTCACTTTTGTATATCGCGGTGTTAAGATTCTCCGGCGTTTGGTTAGGTCCCTCGGCCGCTGAATGTCCGGTAACTCTGGTTTCCCTTCAAAACGCATAAATCTTTCGCCTTTTACTAAAGATTTCCGTGGAGGGGAACACTCAAATGAGTCTAAAGATATTTTTTGACAACTTCGCTCCGGCGGAGTTTATTATACCCTAAAATTAAGATTTAATCCACAATACAATACATATTGTGTTGTGATCAGACATAAGTTATAAATATCTCGAAGATGGATTGAGATGAGGTAACCGTTTTCCGCATTCCATAAATAATGGTAAACTTCCAAGGATAATAAAACATATTGAAGTCTACGACCTAAGCTCAATGGTCGCAATACCTATCTATTATTCAACAATACATTAACAGTATAACGGTACTAGGTGGCACTAAAAATCCATTGTTTCTGTTTCCGTGACTGACGTCCCTCCGGCCTTGCTTCTTATCAGTTTCAGATAATGTACGACCACAATATCCCCTGCGTAGTGGGCTAGTCTAGTTAGACAAGCTAGCCGCCAAGATCGGATCGACCGGAATGTTTATAGCGTGTCATGTTATTAATAAGATATCAATTAATTATTACTTATCAATATTTGCGTTTCTAATGTTAGAGTAACTAATACGTATTAACAATAAAAGTACAGTACAGTACTGATGAAATCCTGATAATAAAAAATATTTATGCTATATTTACTGCCCTTAAAAAGTTATTTAGAATAATGGGGTTTCTATTGTTTTTTCTTAACACGTACCCCATGGGGTACAGCATGTGGGCCACGCTAGCGGAGAATTTGCCCTCAATAATTGTAATCTGTCGGTAGTCAATGAATATATTCAATAATGTACTGTCATCTTGATGGCTAGTCGATCAACATAACAATTTAGTTTAATATTGGAATGGACACATTTGCCTCTGAGTTTGTTTCGGCATTTCTTTTCAGAGTAGTCAGATAGGAAATGCGGGGTTTATCCAGTTCTTTTCATATAATTTTGACTGTTTTATAACCTATTTATAAAAATTCATTGTTTCATTGATTTATCATATTGGTTTTTGAAATTAATGCAATTTACTATCCCTTCTACAAGTTTAATAGCAATTTCACACATATGAGTATTGGCTCATTAATTTGATACATCTTAGTATCTCAGACTGTTGTTTTTTGAGCACTGTTTATTTTTCTAAGGTGTGTGTCATTTAAAGTTAGAAAATACTTACACGATTAAGCCTTCACCTAACAGACATTTTAAATTGTCTATAAACAATGGACCCATATGCTAATATTAATAATTAGCCCATGGTCATGGTATCAAAAAATTAAACTTGTTTTATTACTAAGCAAACAAATATTTTATATTCTGTTAAACCAATGATAATTTTACATGTACATCTACACTTAAAGGGCTTTTTAAGGTGTAAAGGCTAACATAATTTTTTTAGGAATCTAAGGATACGTTTTTTTTAATATCCCTATGCTCGATAGATGGCGTTGTACGCTTAAGTGAAATATCTATATCGCGGTGTTAAGATTCTCCGGCGTTTGGTTAGGTCCCTCGGCCGCTGAATGTACGGTAACTCTGGTTTCCCTTCAAAACGCATAAATCTTTCGCCTTTTACTAAAGATTTCCGTGGAGGGGAACACTCAAATGAGTCTAAAGATATTTTTTGACAACTTCGCTCCGGCGGAGTTTATTATTCACTAAAACTAAGCAGTATGAACTTATGAAATCATTGCATTCAATTGCAAAATAATTCATCTAAGGTCAACATCATCATTTTAATCAGGTACAAAGATATGCCTGATTTCTTAAACTTTTTATTCACCTTGTGTAGTAGTATTGATGTTAAATAACAATAATTTACCTTCAGGGTACATATTCATAACAGCTTTAACGTGGACGCTATCCTGTCCCATCTCATGGTCGTATCCAGCGCGAGGCACCCACGGTAAGGGCTGGCTGCCGACGTCAGGTGGGACAAACCGGGATGGACACGGCTTAGCACCCGGTGGTGGTGGTTCACGCCGCTTTTTCTTACGACTACTCTCGCCACTCGCCATCCTAAAATGTTATAGGATAAAAGTTGACAACAATTTTTTTTATATTACTGTAAAGTATGGTGCTGTTTAAAAGTTTGCCCATTTTCTTAATAAAATCATTTGTAAGTTATAGTTCCATACACAATAAAACCCACATAAAAATTATTTAGAAGCAGCCAAACCGACCCGAATGGCTGTTGATCTGTATTCCTTACCAGGTACCTACAATACAATCATGTTGTCTAGCAAACCTGATTACAACATAACCCCTGTTTACTTCGCCGTAGCCAGGTAAATACAATATAACATGTAATTCACAAGTAACTTTAGATCCTGTTGAATTTTCGCGCAGTTTTTCCTTAGTTCTTTGCCCAGTTCTATGTATACAGCATTACTGCGCAACACAATTAAACCATATTTACCTTAAAACTAAAAGCACTACTATCAATACACACAATAAAATATTATTTAACTAAAAATAAAATTATAAGTAAAATTCTAGTTTATTGTCTTTGTGAATAACGTTTCCATGGACGCGTTGTCATGGGAATTAAGTTTTTAATTGTTTGTCGCGGTTTGACATGACTGTGTCTGTATTTCAGCCACCATTATCTTGCTATGGAGGTCTGAAACTTCTTACTTCAGTTAACATTACAGGCACGATTACAAGCCTTGCTCAATAAATAAAAATATTAATAAAGTTGTTTAATTTATAAGAAATGTGTAACTCTGTAATTTTTAGCTATACCATAGATGTCAGACGTGAATTCTGTGTTCACTACGCAGTACTACTCATATTATGTCAATATTATCAAATAAAAAAATAGTAAAGACCATTATATTACTTTACTCTTTGGTAATGACGATATGTTTTAATAGGAAAGAACATTTTTGAAATTATATCGGCACGGTAGCGTCGCCTAGAATAATATAATAGATAGCACTGATGGAGTAAGATTTCTGCTAATAGTTTAACAATAAGAACTACTTAATGTAGGACACTGATAATTATGAGGCAACAGTAAATATAATTTTCAAGTCATTCTGTGGGCCGATCCCGGCGGCACTGCAATGCCGGGCCGACCCGTGACGGGAGTGGAGCGAGCCCCGAACATCCCGTCAGTTTCCAAAAATCAGTTTAATATACTGGTCCCTCAGTGAGGGAACTTTCAGATATTAAGCTGAAAAGAACAGATACTACACTTTGATCTTAGCCAAAAGGCCGAGAAGCGATACCGGACTGGTGAAAACCGAGGAGGGTCATTCAATCGCGGAGAATCTTAACACCGTGATTCAGAAAAGTGACGTCACGGCATAGTGACATCTGTTGAACTATTTTGGAACTTTTTGTTAGAGCGGTGGCGTGGCGCGCATTTAGCTATCATTTAAAAACACTTTATAGAATAGATTTGCTAGTAACAAGTATTTTTATTACCTTTATTATATAAAACCTTGAAGTTATAAATAACCTTCTGAAAAAGAACGAGGCGAATGACACGTGGTGATTTTATGGCACGGTCATAACTGCGAAATTGTGCTAGCTAACCTCGCGCGGTTTCACCCGCTGCTGGGCTCCATTTGATAGTAGCGTGATGTTTTATAGCCTATAGCACTCAGGAACATTGTAGGTATGTATCAGTGAAAGAATTTTGACAATCCGACCAGGCAGCGGTTGCAAAAATTACCCCCTACGTACAAACTTACAAACATACAAACTTAAAAATTTTACCTCTTTCTAATATTAAGTATATAAGTATACTTTTAACTATGGATGGAATACTATTTTTTTGACAAACGAGCATCGGTAGTATAGCCTTCAATCTGAATACACGTAGGACCGCTTTACCGATGAAAAGGGGCGTTCCATTGCACAAAACTTACAGTCAAGCAAGAAATGATATTTATGTATATTTGGATAAAAAAAAACACAAATTTTAGTTAATATACAGTTTATTTTATTCATCACATAGTTTATCGTACAAATATATATAGTAAAAAATAAAAGCTAAATAAATTTCTTATAAACTACATATAAATTGACATGGTTTGACACTCACAGTTGAGCGATTGAGAGCAAGTTCAGATATATTTTAAGTATAATACAACTTCATAATAAAATAATACTGTCATGTTTTTAATTTTTCGAACAATCTCTCTGTTTCATTTGTATTATATACACTAGATATATAAAATATGCATTATTACATTACATATAGTTTAATGTTCATTCATAAATGCTACACGTAGACTTAGATACATTTCTAAATCATATATGAAGATATATAGACACTAAAATTTCACCTATCAGATCAGCAAACGAGTTTTTCCATATTATAATACAGATACAACATAATTATTATTATCTTTCTGACCGCAATGTCGTCTATAAAACGACAAACAAAATGTGTGTAAAAATAATGTTTTCTTGTCTAATGGCTAATGGTTTTAAGGTTTTTAGAATCTTAAATGCATTGTTAAGTGAGATGAATCATGGTTTATGGTATTTATAGTTATGTAACTGTATCTAAAGTTTAGTAACCTTGCTATTAGACAGCTATTCCCCGCAATCCCGCCGAATTACTTAAGTTCGATCTTGTCCCAATAGTGATATATGCCTATTTGTTATTTCATAGGTTTTGTAGCATATAGATAATATACATCTTCATATATTATGGAAGATACAAATGTTTTGAATATAGTATCATATATTTCATATAATTACATCTAATATCTATAGGAAATAAAAAGTGTAACTTTAATTTACTTAAATATAAAAAGGAAAAACATTAAAATAATACAATAATCTCTGGTTTGGGTTCGTATAGGAACTTGACAAAAATCTCAAAAAAATGCATTTGTCTTAGATAAAAATAATTTCAAAAGTAGTATGATGATTACAAAAACAATGTAGCAAAAAAGTGGGGCAAGAAAGGCGAAAATCCATGGGGTCTCTTTGAGTAATAAAATGTGTGACATATAAATGTCCGATCGCGAGTGCTACCACGACCTTACAGAAAACCGACTTGAAACAACCACAGCTATGTGCTTCCCTACCCCTCCGGCCATCCCTACCCAATCCTTAAATCCACAAATCCCCATAATGTCGGTAACGGATTTGCAAATCCTCTGAGTGTCCATGGGCGGTGGCGAATGCTTACCACCAGGAAATCTGCTTGTTTGCCGGCCTATCACATAAAAAACACTGGAAACTGGTTCGGTGTGCCATGCATCAGCTGGAATGGGCTGGCTTGAAATAATACCACGACCTCACAGAATAACGGTGAGGTGTATAAAAACCCAAAAAAGCTCAGCAAAGCACTCTTTTCTTGTACTATGAATGTCTAAGTGCGGTGCCGTCTCTTTGTTCACACTGTAAAGTTGAATTATACGTTTTTCAACCTAACAAACTAGCCGGCGAACAATTATGTTTTGACCATACGAAACATTCCATAAAAACTACTATAATATTAAAATAAATTGCGTCTAATGTAAGTATGTATTATAAGACTTTATATACATTATTAAAATGGAAGCACGAAAGTTTCAGTTAAACATATTGTTATATTATATAATTAGAATTTGTAAAAATTTGGCACACAGATAGAACCTATGCACTAATTTATTTATTTGTGAACACACCTACAGCACAACGGACATGACATTTATAAAATTAAAGTACGTACAGAAGTGCTACATCACGGAGTAAGAACAAAGAGGAGATGTCATAAATAGATTTCCCTAAGAAACACCGCGTGATATTTTGCGGGGTGAGGGGTATTAGACTCCGCCCACTTTTTTATTTGCCATCTGCCGGTCTATAGCAATACTACTCGCTCATTCAATTTACTTCTTTTTGTAGTTATGTAACTATTCCTCAATAGATGTCACTAACGCAACAGGGTCGTACTTAGAATTTACCGGGGAGTTGTTTTAAAAAGTTTTTTGTAAATACATTTGCGAACCATCTTGATACGCATTTTTTTATCGAAATAGTAATAAATATCTAAAATATCTATTATTGGTGAATGAGAATCATTCTACATTTATCATAACCATCTTTTTCATTTAAAAGGGGTTATTTCGATACGGGCGTAGCCTGAAGCAGAAACTCGTATACAATGCTACCAAGAGGCTGATGCCCTGCTGATAACTGGTTCTTTGTGATAACGAGTGTTATTATCAGATATGTTCTGTCTTTTCGTCACGCCTAAACTACTGAACCTATTTGAGTGAAATTTGGTACAGACATAGTTTGGAACTCGAGAAAAGACATAGGATAGTTTTTAAACCCAAAATCTACAAAAATTCACTATTCCACGCGAACAAAGTCGTGGGCAAAAGCTAGTTTCTTATAATTGTTTTGAAAACTCATGGGCAGTTGCATCATTACGTAGCTGAATACGCATTATTACTAAAGTTCAGTGTCAATTTTCGTATATATCTCCAAATAACTGATGACTTCAAACAGGTTTTTCATCAGCAGGATTTGATCGAGGAATGACAGGCAATGTTTGACGAAAGCCCCCTGACAGCAATATCAGAGCACCACGAAAAACCCGTTGAGTACCGCGTAAATTTTGCATGGTTCGATTAAATGCTTCTATTGATTTTTTATTCGCCATTGTATGTGTGCATCCCATAAAATAATTGACGTTAGTTGCAAAACTTTTGCCATAGCAGAATTTCTCGAAATATTACAATTTGCACTTTAAATCACCTGTACATTCAATAGCAATGCTAATGAAGAGTGTGCGGTCCTACCACCTTGTAATAATGTAACAGCAATCGTCTTAATTTGCATTACGTGTTCGCTGGTTTTACCTCAACAATATTTTGGATCATACAAACACAAAACAATAACTCAACAATATTTTGGAACAAAACGAACATTACATCTAATTAACTAGTGGTATGTTAAATGCTATTCCAAAGTTAATAATACCGCCAGATTCTTCATATATAACACATCCTAATTATCTTCACGACTGTCATAGGTACTATTCACCATTGACTCCTAATTGCTACCCTGTCTTTATTTATGTTTTACTACTTGACAATAGATGGCTGTCTGTTGATAAAATGATATAAAAGTTGCCTACATAAATAATATTTTGGCGATTAAAGGATCTTTAGGAATGCATGTCGATCAAATAACTATACAAACGATCATTAAAATATACTAATACTGAACTATGCGTACCTATAAAAATTTTGTTTCTATGATACAAAGTGTCGACATCTAGTGTCGCGTAGATTGATAATTGGAAACGCTGACAATAAGAGACTTTGCTAGAACTATTTTAATAAATGACGAATAAAATAACTTATACATGAAAAGTGATGCCATCCATATAGCACCGTAACGTTTATCATAGTATTTTTTACAAGATAAAACACAAGACTTCATTTTGTTTTCTTCTGTCACGAATAAAATGAATATTTTATAGGAGTTGTGCACAGGACGAACGACCACATTACAATGACGTAAGCCACGCCCACATTGATGACGTGAGGGCCGACTTGTGTCACAGGGCCGAGTTGCTTAGGCCGTCTCCTCTTTGTTCTTACTCCGTGTGCTACATATTTCTATTGGAATTTCTTTCTACAGATCCACGATAGGAAGAGTAAATCACAACAGAGACTGTTAGACTAAGATATTACTAATAGCAGCTGCAGCACTCTCTGTTTTCATTTTTTTTTTTCATTCAATTTATATTAATAAATATATAGATATATAATGTAAAGAATCATATATAATTAATAAACAAATCTGTACTGTAAGAGGAAAATGTATGTCTTAGCAGTTAGAATTTTCGTCCCATATTGAAAAATAATTAACTATCGCCGTGACCTCTGTGTACTTTACATAAACCATTTATAATAAATATTAATATTAATACATGAGTGCAATAAATACATGAAAAATTGAACTTATAAACTTCTTGACTTTGTCTTTCGTAAGATATAAAATTCAATGTAGCAGTTAGCACCAGGATCGTAATCTAAACATGTGTATGCAGACAGTTTTATTATTACAAGATATTTTCTTTATCACAACCTTTCATATTCGGTTAAATAGGTACTCGAAATACTCATACTATGAGGCGGAATGAAGTAGGCTTGATACTTTTACAAAAATATATCCTACTAATATTATAAATGTGTTTGTGAGAATGTAAAGGTATGTTGGTGAAAACATCTGGACCGATTTGGTATGTAGATAGTTGATACCCTGGATTGACTTACTTGACTTGACAGGCTGCTTATTGTTAATATGCCACGCGGGCGAAGCCGCGGGTGGAAGCTAGTGTGTATATATATGTATATCTTAAGGTTGTCTGTAAGAGATCGCCTTATGCGATAAGACCGCACATTGTAAACTCAATGTTTGTAAGCTATGTGGTGTACAATAAAGTATATAATAAAAAAATAAATAAATAAGCACGACAATTTCTCGTTAGATAGTATTGCTACTTATCTGACTTTCCAACTAAAATCAGTTGATAAATAAGCAAAAATAAAAAGTTTATATAAATGGAGTTATCGTAAAACTTATATTTGGCATATATCGTGAGAATCTTCAATAGCATAATAACCAATAACTTTCAAGAAAAAAAAAAATCATTTACATTTGAAATTTGAATTGAACGACAAACTTACAGTCAACGTCGTTCAATAAAATAAAAGCTATTCAATGAATGTGAAAACATGCAAAGAAGAATTATTTCACTAAACTTTAAATTGCCGGTAGTTTATACAACTAAAGAGGGTTTATCACGCCTAATATTTTTTCAATATTAATCTCACATCGGGCAAACCCAACTAAGTATATCGTGAATCCTTCACAAGTTTATGATATAACCCTTACAATACAGCACCATAGCACCACTCAGACCCTTCAATTGCACAATCAAGGCCACTGCCTGTTCCCCTCAGTCTTATTCAAGTAATTATTGGACCCTTGCCAACTGAATGAACTATCCGTGTCGCCATCTTCAGATTTCTTCTCGTTGTAATGCGAAGCCCTGTTTTCCTTAGCGAAGGACCGAGGCCTGCCCTCGATTAAGGAATGACTGAGTTTAGAAGCATCGAAATGGAACCCTGAATTCGAAGGTTTTCTGACTTCACGAAGGTATTTCCACGTGTGACTGTCTGGGCCTTCATCTGTTGGTTTCGGACTGTACAGCCATTCTGAAAATTTTTGTAAAAGTCTTAATATGTTATATAGAAAATTAATTTGTTCAATGAAATTGCAAAATCGATTTTAATCGCTATTTTTACAAGCTTACAATAGTCAAAGTGTATCTATTTACACTTTTTGTGATTTGATAGTTTTAGAATAAAACCGATTTTAAATTTCATTATCGGAAAACATTGGGAATGATGTAAGTAAACAAAGCTCTAGAATCTACAGCTAACAGAATCTACAAAACTACTACTACTAACAATCGGATGTACCTATCACTACTATCTAACTAAACAGCAAAATAAAAAATATAACTCATAATAGTAATGATATCCAAACTTGCCGTACAAACATCATTTGTCAATAATGTTCAAAAAATACAAGTAAATATTAACATAACAATGAATGAAACTAAAATATAAACATCTGTTGAAACCAAAACACGAACAAATAAAGCTTGTGGAAACTATACTTTAATGGTCAATTCTTTTTTAATTTCCACATGATACACCACTGTACATTTTATTGTGTGATTACTCAATTGTACATATTTCAATTAATCTATACTAATATTATAAAGAGGTAAAATTTGTAAGTTTGTATGTAGGAGGTAATCTTTAGAACCACTAGTCGGATATCCAAAATTCTTTCACCGATAGATACCTACAATGTTCCTGAGTGCTATAGGCTATAAAACATCACGCTACGATTAAATGGAGCTGAGCAGCGGGTGAAACCGCGCGAGATTAGCTAGTTTACTATAAAAAATTGTAAAACTAAGCTTAAACTGAATAAATTAATGTAGAATATCTCACAATAGTTATTATTCAAAAATATGATAACAGATTTATTTGTTATCATGTTACAGAGTAGAAAACGTATTATATCTGTCTCTGAAGGCTTTGTTTGATTCTGAAAGTAAAAATTATGGATGGATAGATGAACTGAAACACCATAGTTCAGTCATACTAATCTTTTTCTATGCTTTGATAATTTTAAGTTATTTAATTTGGTGAGGCTTTTTTAGGTGTTAATCGCTTCGTCAGAATTTTGAAGTGAGAAAGAAATAAATAAAATACGCGTATGACACATTGACAAACAAAAATTATAGTAAAAGCTGAAAATAAACGGCGAAAAAGTAATGCTGTGATGATATACAGAGCAAAGCTTCAGCGCTTTATTGATTGATTTTTAGCGAAAATTTGGTGAAGACGAAGGCTAACAAAGGGTTAGAAATATGACGAAGCGCGCTTACCCCCGTTGGAGACGTTGGCGATGGCGGTGAGCAGGAAGTCCTTGTCCCTGGCCTGCAGCACCAACATCTGCCGCAGCAGGCGCACCATGCTGCGCTGCGCGCGCGCGCGGGCCCGCATGTAGTACACCGATACACTGGAACCATACACCGTACATGGGTGCTATTGTTCATCTTCACGATTAATTATGTATTTTTCCCGTTATTTGAAAACTAAGGCAAAATAACTGTTTCGCTATTTAAAAATAAAATATATCAAACAAAATTAACATCAGTTACACCATTTAAAACTAAAGTATAATCAGGATGGCTGAGCATAATTTTTATGGGATAGGTAGATTGGCAAACGAGCAGACTGATAGAAGTGTAACGAGTGCGTTGGCGGCCCTTTGCCCTCAGGATTGGGGATGGGCAAGCCTGGTTACCGACGGGGGGAAAGCCTGGTTACCTTACCCACATTTTCTTTTTATCCTATTAAACAAATAACTATAAATATAAAGCATAAATATTAATACAACATATCTCACGAGAGCCAACACAAGCCTGACTAAAATAATAATACATCTCAATTAAACCGTGGTATGCCGGAGCGCATATCGAGAGACACATTGTGTTTTCTATATTCTTGTGTCTAATACTTATAGCCGGCACGTTAGAGGTTAAGAATCATACCACAGGAACAGCATAAGGAACCCGATGACCCCCGGGCGCACGGCGAAGTAGAGCGCGGCGGCCAGCCCGGGCCGCTGCTGCAGCTGCAGGACGCCCTCCGTCAGGATCTGGTACACGTACTCGTAGCGCGAGAACGGACCGCACGACGTCGACGATGTCCTGGAAATATACAAAGTCACTCTTCTCAATCTTCTTTACATGTAAAATTTGTTGCGCATAACTCAACAACAACTAGACCAATTTCGCTGACCTCCTATGATAGATGTTTTTGTAAAGTAGAAGGGAAAATCAGAAATGGCTACCCTGCCCTGTAATCATTCGTCATTAGCGAAGTATTTGGATATCCGTACGAAGCAGGAATCACTTAGCCCAACTTACACAGATATCATCAGAAACGGCAACTCTTTAAGCAGCGTGTCTGGTTACAAATACATTATGCTAGGTGGTCAACAAGTATGCGACATAAAATAAAATATTATTATATAATTTATGTAATTGAACCGGTTACATTAATATACACTTATTGAATACGACTCTTCAACATTAAATTATCAATATGTTACACTTTATTTGTGGTTGTGTGTTGAAACAGATTATGGATTCCACTATAACAAATTATTTGTAAATTTTTAATTATTGCTCAGATTTTGGATGCAATGTGTATGTGGAATGTTGAATGTGTACTCACGCCACAAGATTCCTTTAGTCAGCAATTAATATTAAACTAAAATATAATAATAAAGAATTTAAAACTATTAATAAATAATAGTTTATAGTTAAAATACACGGCACAATAAGATGTTCTATGCATGCACTAAATATAGAACACAATTTATAATAATATGTGTAAGCTATGTGTCACATGAGTTTATCAGTTACTTAAATACAGGTGATTAATCAATCCTTCATCTTCACTGACTTTATTTTAACCTCGCCGTAGCGAAGTATTATAAAAAATATTCTAACAACCTTTCTGCTTAAGGTCGTTAACCCATATCACTGGCTCGGTTGGTACATGAACCAGGTTTCTTCCTTGATGTCATCAATCATGGAACTAATCTTTGCATTGAGCTGGTCGATCTCATTCTTCACATTAGGACAACGAGTTTGTTGCCACTGTTTACGGAGTTCCATCTTCCTCTCAATCATGGTCATGATGTGCGAAGGAAGCCTCATTGGAGGATTTGATGGTCGTGTCTGTGGTACATTTTGAACCCCTTCCCCAGCACCTGAATCATCTACGGGAATTCCAGAAGGAACGTTGCTAGAAGTTGAAGCTTCGGAATCAGACATATTCGAACAATTAGTTAACTAATAATTTATACTAGTCCGCGCGACCTAACCAAACGGCGGAGAATCTTAACACCGCGATGTAGATATTTAGCATTTCTGTACAACGCCATCTATCGAGCTTCGAGCATGATTCAAGTTCTCAAATGACCTTTGTCTCAAAGTCCCAAATCATCATTTATTATATAAGTATAATAATATGTTAGTAAATAAGGTAAACACGTATGTTTATACTTTACTGTGTTATGGAATTTAACGCGCATGTACCTTTTATTTGTTTTTTTTTGTATTACATAGGTCGGCAAACGAGCCGACGCATTACCTGACGGTAAGCAATCAGCGCCGCCCATAGACACCAAAAATATGTTTGTCTCATTCACTCTTCAAGTTTCATGAGTTGTGTGTTTTCTCTATGCATATCTATATCTAATTGTAATAAACTCCGCCGGAGCGAAGTTGTCAAAAAATATCTTTAGACTCATTTGAGTGTTCCCCTCCACGGAAATCTTTAGTAAAAGGCGAAAGATTTATGCGTTTTGAAGGGAAACCAGAGTTACCGTACATTCAGCGGCCGAGGGACCTAACCAAACGCCGGAGAATCTTAACACCGCGATATAGACATTTGACTTAAGTGTACAACGCCATCTATCGAGCATAGGGATATTAAAAAAAACGTATCCTTAGGTTCCTAAAAATGGTTTGTTAGCCTTTATAGGGTAAAAAATCTCTTAATAAAATAATAATTTAATATAATTACTTATATGGGTTTTGTAGAAACAAAATAATGTTTGCTTAGTAATTAAGAAGTTTATTTTTGTTTATACATACCATGGACTCATATTAATAATATGGTTTATAGACAATTAATTTCAAACGTCTTTTAGATCAAGGCTTATTCTTAAAATAACGACTGCAATTTTATTAATGGAATATATACACAAAATTAGGTCTATAAGAAAAATAAGAAAAACAGTATGACATTCTAAGATATTTATATAAATGAGCTGACACTTGTATGCGTTTGCGTAAAATTGCTTTTAACAGGGAGAATGTTAAATTGCATTATTACAGGGAACACCAAGATAAATACTTTTTAAATGTGTCCATGTCTATACTAAACTAAATTGTTATGTTGATTGAATAGCCACCAAGATGACACGTCACTAACAAATAGAAAACCAGTACCAATATAGCTTATCAATTTTGTGTAATTCACGCAAATAAATCATTATTATCTAATTGATATTTTATTAACAATATTATAAGCTATGGTATAAAAACTGCCGATGTATTTCGAGCTTGGCGGCTAGACTAGTCCACTATGCAGGTGATATCATACTGAAAGGAGGCAAGGCTTGAACAGCCGGAGAGAGGCCAGGTACAGAAACAAGTGTATAACGTGTCTTTCAAGTACCATGTTGTATTTAATGTTTTTGGTACCTATGTATATTAGATGGCACCCATTGAGTATACTTCTTGGGCTTTTTCCCATCGAAATGTTTTATTATCCTGTAGTTTTAATTTACTTGAAATCATATAAAAAGTGATAGGATACGGTAAGCAATATCAGATTCAGATTGAACCTATGGTAATTTTTAGGGTATAATAAACTCCGCCGAAGCGAAGTCGTCAAAAAATATCTTTAGACTCATTTGAGTGTTCCCCTCCACGGAAATCTTTAGTAAAAGGCGAAAGATTTATGCGTTTTGAAGGGAAACCAGAGTTAACGTTTGTTGAGCGGACGAGGGACCTAACCAAACGCCGGAGAATCTTAACACCGCGATTTACAAATGTGACGTCATCGCACAGTGACATCTAGTGGCACAAGTGTCGAACTACACATGACAACATAACGAAGGTTATGGGAGCATTGCACCCTACTTCACAGACAGTTGCTAATACAATACGTACCCTAACCTGACAACGCCAAGGGTGTTAGAACAATAAAAACCAAAGAACTATAGTATACATAGCAAAGAGGGGTTTGATTATTGTTACTTTTAAAAATGTGTCCTTCTCATTCTTTAAGAAACAAAAAATGTGTAACAAATTTAAAATAGAAACTGTATTATTATTGTTGTTTATATTTTTTTTATTTTACATACATTAAATAATGGGTCAATTTTAGGAATAGAGCATTTTTTAATTTTCTTGATGGCTAGGCGTTTGGCCGTTTTAACGATTGGTGGTAGCGATGATGTAACTAACGAAGGAGTACTACTCATAAGCAACCTATTTGCGCGAGCCTTGAGCATTACTTATAATGGTAAATTAATAGGTAAAAAGGTTAAAAACTTACCTAAGCTGCAGTTTCTTAAAGATTACATTATAGTACTCACCGTAGGAAAAACGTGGCGATCCCGAATATCGTTGTGAATAGAGACAGCGTCACGAACATGTATAGCACCGTTTGCGTCTGAGCAGCGCGCCAAACCTGGAAGCAGGTTCATAGGCATTTTTAATAAACTGAAACTTTTATTTATTGATCACAAACTTAGTCCATCTTTACAGGGCTTTCCCTAATGCGACAGATAAGACCTTAAACTTTGAAAACTTTGACTGAAATGTACTTAATACCACACAAAAAAAAACTTACAAACTATTAAACAACTAGCTTTATCCCGCGACTCCGTTCGCGTGGGATAGTGACTATTCCTGCAAATGTTTGGTACAAAAACTATCCTTTGTCTGTACCAAATTTCACAGATATCGATTCAGTAGTTTAGGCGTGAAGAAAAGACAGACAGACAGAAAAAGTTTCGCATTTATAATATAAGTATAGATATAGATTCAACGTTTATTTAGTTACTATCTTTATCTTGTACCGGGACAGTTTGTATTGATTCCATCCCACTCTAATCTCCAAATGCCCAATCCCTCAACCTCAAAGGTCGGCAAAGCACCTTATAGTTCTGCAGAAGCGAGTGGCCACGGGCAGTTTCATTAATTACATTAGTCTGCTCGCTCGCCACACAATTCCTTAAATACATAATCATAACATCCTTCCCTGTAACTATAAAAAGTTCTCTGCCTTGTCTATTTGTCGATTACGACGTAATTAATTTTAAAGCGTTAGTCATGAGCACATAATTTTCACCATTATGTAAAAAAAGCATTTATATGCAACGCTTAAGTAGTACTTTATGTATTATAATAGTATGTTTGTCTGATTCACACTTTAATTTTCAAGTGGTTTCTTGTCTCTAAGCTTATTGCTTTCCGTACGTTCTCTATGCACCTAAATCTGATTTATAAGGTTTACATTTACATACAAATGGTGTAATAAACTCCGCCGGAGCGAAGTCGTCAAAAAATATCTTTAGACTCATTTGAGTGTTCCCCTCCACGGAAATCTTTAGTAAAAGGCGAAAGATTTATGCGTTTTGAAGGGAAACCAGAGTTACTGTACATTCAGCGGCCGAGGGACCTAACCAAACGCCGGAGAATCTTAACACCGCGATATAGACATTTGACTTAAGTGTACAACGCCATCTATCGAGCATAGGAATATTAAAAAAACGTATCCTTAGGTTCCTAAAAATGGTCTGCTATCAGGATTAGGTCAGGATTATTTGATTACTGTGGGTGAAACTAAACAATTACAAATGATCATGTGTTACTTTGGCTCTTGGCAAGAAGAAACAAATCTCATGATTAAATGTCATTGTATCTTTGCTCCTCTGCCAATACTTGCCTTCCTAGCAGGATGGCAGGCCCTCCGCGCCACCTCCCGTTTGACGTAGAAGAGCAGCAACAGCTTCAAGGTCACCCCCAGCACCAGCGGGGGAGCAAACATGGCGCCCATCCATACCACGGCCTGGTTGTACATCAGCGTCAGAGAATTGTACGCCAGGTTGAATTCAGGAGGACTGCCTACCTTGCTCCATCTGAAGTTATTTTGATTGATACTAATTGGTAAATAATATTGATCTGTAATACTTATTCGAAACACACAAAATGCAAAATTATCGTAAAATTTAAATAGAAGTTACAGAACGCGCTGACGCTCAAAATACTTAAAATTTTAAAATATTTAACTTAAGGATAATTTTTAAATATCACAGAACACAAACAAGTGATTATTGAACTGAAATAAAAGTATTTACAAAATAATAATAACTTAAACTCACTTATAAATTAAGCCTCTAGTGAACTCAAATAGTGGCAACACAAGCAAAGATATGACGGAGTCTAGCAACACCAGCCGGTACGCCTCCTGACCGAACGAAGTTTCCCAACACTGGAATAAAAACGTGAGGAAAGCGAAATAAAAATTATGAAAGCGGACCACTCATACAAATTAGGATACTGATATTAATTTACATTAAATCTTTAATTATTTAAGGAACAATAAAATCCACAGGCAGAAGTTTGGTGCCGAAGATGGCAAAAGAATCGAATACACATTAACAAGCTTTTTAAATTTGCAGCCTGCCTGTCATCATTGGAAACCATTTGAATTCCTCTTGGAAAATCAAAACGAATTGCGCAATAAGGTATTGTGGTCTCGGCATGAAGCGGGAGAAGGAACGGGGTGATTTTGAGTCAGTAAGAGTCTGACACCTTCGTCATTTCCCTCTCGCCTCGCCATAGGCGATATTCTATTAGATCTAGACACATTCAATGATTGACTCTCCTCGAAAACAAGGAAAAGTCTAGGGACCACGACGAAGTCTACAGCTATCCATTATCAACAGATGACGCTTTTAAAGGGGAAGGCCGTATGAACACAATTACCTTCTCGTTTTCACATGAATATCAAAGTAATGTAAGGCAGGGTTTTCTGGACTATAGCTAAGTCAAAACTAGTATTAGCATTAGCAAGTGACGGAGAATGTATACACCAAAAACGTTTTGTTTTGTCGCATTAATAATATATATTTTTTTATGATTTAATTAATAGGTCGGCAAACGAGCAGACGGATTACCTGATGGTAAGCAATCAGCGCCGCCCATGGACACTCGCAACGGAGGAGTTACGAGTGCGGTGCCGACCTTTTAGGGATTAGGGATTTTGAGATTTAGGGATTTAGGAGGGATTGGGGGAGGGGAAGGATTGGGCCTCCGGTAACCTCACTCACACGGCGAAACACAACGCTGTGGTTATTTCACGCCGGTTTTCTGTGAGGCCGTGGTATCACTCCGGTCGAGCCGACCCATTCGTGCCTAATAATAATATTATTTTGCTATCTTTCATGTTTTCTTTTTTGCTTTTTCATACCTGATTCGCGTGTGCTTGCGACCAGTACACTAGTAGTACCATAAGGATGCCAATGTCGAGGAGCCAGGTTCGGGCCAAAGTCACGTATAGTGCCGTCCGGGGGTTGTAGAACTCTAGCCTGGAATATGACACGATTAAAGAAGTTAAATATTTGTTGAGTATAGCTTTGGGAAATAACGACGTACTCTAGTGATTCAATAAATAATAATAATAAAAAAATTCAAACATAAATATATATAACTTACTTGCCTATATAACCTTAGTCTTAGTCAACAAAAATAAGTAACATAGCCGATAAGAGCTTCCTCTCTCCTATCCCACTTACTTTGCTGTGCCCGACAGGGTCCATATTGTTACGTGCCTGACGTCACGTTCCTAACTATGCGGGCTTGGGTTACGGGATTGGATGAAATTAAACACTAATACCGGTTTTCAGACTTTCTATTGCACTTAAGTGACAGCGTCCACGGATACGGATAAGTTATTGGCGTTCCTCTCCAGCAGAGTCCGGCCGACTGACACAACTTTGCCGTTCACTGTTCACGCTGACTTAACTCACTTAACTGACTGCACTTCACTATTTCACTGTACTTCACTATTTCACTCACTTTTCTTCTTTTCACTTCTTCCTTTTCTTCCGAATCGCTTTGGACTTAGAACTCAACTGCCAGCGGTGAGCCGCAGTTCCGCTTATATACCCCCGGTCAGGTTCTAGAACATTCAATTTCGTTATTCTTTTTGATCGTCATGCCTCCAGAACCTTCCAATAATTTCGTTATTCATTTTTATTTATTCTCCTTCTCGCTCCTTAATTTTTCATTACTTTTACTCAAATATTCCAGAAAGTTCGACAAAACTTCTATCAACTAAAAAACTTCATGTTTACGGCGAGACTCGAACTCGGGGTCTCTGTGGTGTAATCCACACGCCTTATCGATTACACCAACTCGTGTTGACAATTCACGACGAAATTTACAATCTCTAGGCAACGTTTGACAACCATCCATTGACGTCATGATGTCAAAGAGTTTTCTGTCACACTGCCCCCCTCTTAGATTCGCTCGTCCCGAGCATCGTTGCTGCCGTAATACCTCGCCAACCTGTCTATATGGACAACTTTCAAAGGGCTCCTTGAAGACTTCCGAATTCTGTAAGTAATGTCATTGATCTTCGTGACTATCTCGTAAGGACCTTCCCAACTCGGTTGCAGCTTTGGAGATTTTCCCTTCCTTCTGACTGGATTATGAAGCCAGACCAATGACCCCTCTTCAAACCCAACAGAATTGGCTCGTCGATCATAGCGCGTCTTTGCGCGATCACTAGCTTGAAGACCGGCCTCCCTGATCTGCTCATAAATGTCCAACATTTTTGCCCTTAACTCGCTTATGTAATCGCTAAACTCGGTGCGAGAGTCACCAGGTGGACAGCCCGATACAAGATCTGCCGGTAATCTCAATTCCCTTCCAAAATTTGCAAATGCAGGCGTCTTTGCGGTACTTTCATGTACAGCAGTCCGATAGGCAAGCAAGAAGAGAGGTATGTAAGTGTCCCAATCTCTCTGATGGCTGTCAACCACCTTTGCTAAGTGTCGCTCCAATGTTTGGTTGAAGCGTTCGACCATTCCATCTGACTGTGGATGATAAGGGGTCGTTCGAGTCTTATGGATTCCAAAAAGTTTACAAGTTTCCTGGAAAACTTGGGATTCAAAGTTCCGTCCTTGATCACTGTGCATCTCCAAGGGCACTCCGAATCGGGTGAATACCTCGTTTACCAACTTCGTGGCTACAGTTACTGCCTCTTGATTCGGTATGGCAAAGACCTCCGGCCATTTTGTAAAATAATCCATAACCACTAAAACGTAGCGATTGCCCGAATCAGTGATTGGAAATGGTCCAGCGATGTCTAAGGCTATTCTCTCCCAAGGCATACCAACATTGTAGATTTTCATCGCCCCTCTGCTTCTTGTTTGTGGACCCTTGACAGCTGCACAACTAGTGCATTTCCGGCACCAATCTTCGACGTCATATTTGCAATGCAACCAATAAAACCTCTCCTTGATCTTCACCAAAGTCCTCCTAATTCCCAAATGTCCTCCAGAAGATCCATCATGGAACGCTTTTAATACATCCCTTATTTTTGAACGAGGCACCACCAATTGCAAATGCTCGTCCTTGCCGTTTGTTGATTCCCATTTCCTGCACAGAAGTCCGTTATGCAGCGTAAGGCTTTTCCACTGTGCCCATAAACCTTTCGTTACCGCGCTATATTGGGCGACGTCACTCCAACTTGGCTTGTTACCACTTCGTAGCCACTCCAGTATTGGTTTGATATCTGCATCTCTTTCCTGTTCTAATTTCATCGCATCATCTCCCCATGCCTCGTCAACAGTATCAGTCCTTATCACCTTAAGAAAAGCAGTTTCCTTCTTGGCACAATGCTTGCAATCTTCCACGCATGGGCGTCTCGATAATGCATCTGCGTTGCCATGAATTCTTCCGCCGCGATGTTCGATTTCAAAGTCAAATTCCTGAAGTTGTTCCAACCATCTGGCTACTTGGCCTTCGGGATCCTTAAACTGAAGCAGCCATTTCAAAGCAGCGTGATCAGTTCTGATCAAAAATTTCCGTCCCAGTAAATACTTCTTGAAATGGTGCAGAGTTTTGACTACGGCCAGCAATTCCCTCCTGGTCACGCAATAATTCTTCTCCGGCTTGGATAGTGACTTGCTGAAGTAAGCAATAACCTTCTCCTGCTCACCATCGCGTTGTGAAAGGACACCTCCTATTCCAATATTGCTGGCATCCGTATCAACTACGAATATTCCTTTCGCGCTGGGGTATCCGAGAATTGGTGTGTTACAAAGCCGTTCTTTAGTTCTCGAAAGGCTTGCTCACAATCCTCGTCCCAGATAAAGGCACGTTTCTCCTCTGTCAATCGATGCAAAGGCTTGGCAATGTCCGAGAATCCTTTCACAAACCGCCGATAATACGAGCACAATCCAAGAAATGCCCGAACTTGCGTTTTGTCTTTAGGTGTTGGCCATTCCTTAACAGCGGCAGTCTTGGCTGGATCAGTCTCAATTCCTCTCTCAGAAATAACATGTCCTAGATAATTCACTTCGCGCTTGAAGAAAGAGCATTTCTTTGGACTCAACTTTAAATTTGCTCCACGCAGCTTATCGAGTACCTTTTCCAATTTCCTTAGATGATCGTCAAAATCCCGTCCAACAATGATGATGTCATCGAGGTAAACTAGGCAGGTTTCGCCCAGCAGTCCCGCCAGCACCTGTTCCATCAAACGCTCAAAGGTTGCCGGTGCATTGCATAATCCAAATGGCATCACCTTAAATTGCCAGAGTCCCTTCCCAGTTGAGAATGCGGTCTTTTCCTTGTCCTTGGGATCCAAATCCACCTGCCAATAGCCGCTTTTCAGATCGAGCGTTGAAAACCATTTCATGCCACTCAGTGTGTCAAGTGTGTCATCGATTCTTGGTAACGGGTAGCTATCCTTCTTGGTTACATCATTCAATCGTCGATAGTCTACGCAAAACCTCGTTGAACCATCTTTCTTCTTGACAAGCACGACAGGTGAACACCAAGGGCTAGAAGAGGGCTCTATCACGTCATTTTTCCTCATATCGTCAATCATTTCTTCAACCTCTTTCTCACGAGCGAATGGTATGCGTCTGGGCCTTTGACGAATTGGCATTGTATCACCTGTGTTTATTTTATGCTTCACCAAACCAGTTCGGCCAATATCACCATCGCTTCTTGAAAACACATCAGAGAATCGAAGAAGTAAATTTCTAGCTTTCATAGTCTCCACTTTTGTCAGACTTTTGTTTTCGTCTAAGATTTTCGTTACAAAGTCTATTCCCGTACTGTCCTTCTTCACAAGATTCTCCGAGCATTTTCTTATCCAGGCCACTTCTTCCAATACGCCCAGAGGCTCTCCTTCTTCAATCGTAATTTTTGAATCACTGAAGTTGAATACTGGAATGCAGTTGACATCAGATGACCCCACGACAGTTCTTGCCGGTAGCCATGAGCTTACGTGTTCCGATTTATCAATCACAGCGCACCTTCGAGGTAAACTTCCTTCCTTCCTCCTAGGTAATGCGATTGGTACGAGAGTCTGTGATTTTGGTGCAAGAACAGTTCTTCTTAAACAGCAAACTTTTCCCAGGGTTCCACCCTTCATCGGAATTTCCTCAGTTCCACATAGTAAAACTCCAGATTTTAGGTCGATGTTACACTGGTGCCCTTGCAGGAAGTCAAGTCCCAGGATGCAGTCATCCAGAATTTTGGCCACAATAACCTCATGTCGATAAACACGTTCCCCAATTTTGATTGTTACATGCAGTTTTCCACTTATCGGTATGCACTGGCCGGTAGCTGATTTCATTTGTAGGCCAACAATTGGTTTAAGGTGTTTCCTGATGTTTTGCTCGAGCAGCCGAACATTTATCACCGTCCTTGAAGCTCCAGTATCTAATGTTAGCTGACTGTTTTTCCCATTTACTTGACCGTCTATCACCAGAGTATTTCCATCGTTGGTTTGCTTGATGTAGATTGTTGGGGTTGTTCCACTACCAGCCAGCGCCCACCCCGCAGCCCTGGCTGGATTTAAGTTTCCCTGCTGGTCAGAAGTTGAGACCGCCGCGTCCTGGCGGTTCATCTTCTTCGGGCAGTCGCTCCGTATGTGCCCACGCTCTCCACATCCATAGCACATGAAATTCCGACGGCGTGGAGGTACCTGCTCCGTTGTCGTCATTTCCCGCAGACGTAAGGTACGGGAGTTGCCACGCACGGCTTCCACTTCCAATGCATGGGCCAGAGCTTCTTTCATGTTCTTGTGATGGCCCAGATGAACAGCAGCTCGTACTTCGGTGTCCCGAATACCGTCAATGAACGCTAGGAGAAGCGTGCCTTCAATCATTGACGGAGTCGACCGGAAAGCTCGACGCACAAGTTTCTCGATTTCCACGGACCATTGCTGTAGGCTCTCATTAGCACGCTGAGTACGCTCTTTTAATTGCGCTCTGTACACGTGCTCGAGGTGGCTGTCTCCAAAACGTGCTTCAAGTGCGTCGAGGAGGGCACTAAAGCTGAGATCCCCACTTGCGCCGATAGCTTCCAGCACTGAGAGTGCTTGATCACGGAGGGCCAGGGTGAGGGCTGACTGTGCTTCCTTCTGAGTCCAACCATAAGCCTCCATAAGTGTCTCAAACTGTAGCTTGAACGCGGTCCAGGATGTTGTTCCGTCGTAATGGGGAATCTTGAGCCCTTTCGTTGCGCTTAAGGCCGCATTTGGGGCGTCAAAAACGGCTGCAAGACGGCTTCGGCTCTTCAAAGGGCTTGGGTTTGTCACTTCCTGCTTGATTTTGGAGATCTCTTCTTCCAATCTCTCCTCTATCGCCATGACGCGATGTTCCAACTTGCCTAAACCTTCCTCCACTTCTTGTACCCGTTTGACAGCCTTTTGCAGTCCCTTCGTGAAATCTTTATGCATGTCTTCCAAGCGACGCACTTGCTCCTCTTGGCGACGAGCTTGATCATCTTTCAGCTCCCGCAGCTGTTCTGACTGACAGCGTGCTTGCTCTTCTTGGCGGCGCGCTTGCTCTTCTTGGCGGCGCGCTTGCTCTTCTTGGCGGCGCGCTTGATCTTCTTTCAGCTCCCGCAGCTGTTCTGCCTGACAGCGTGCTTGCTCTTCTTGGCGGCGCGCTTGATCTTCTTTCAGCTCACGCAGCTGTTCTGCCATCATTTGCCGCAGCTGTAGCAGAAGATCCATCTGCACAGGCTTGGCTTCTGCATTGCTGGTCTGAGCTGCAGCACCCTCTTCCCTCACACGCTGCGCTTCTGACATAGCACGGGTACTCACTCCTCTTACGTCCTGCGGCACTAGCGGCATTTTTCTCCAATCCCACTTCTGACACCAAATGTTACGTGCCTGACGTCACGTTCCTAACTATGCGGGCTTGGGTTACGGGATTGGATGAAATTAAACACTAATACCGGTTTTCAGACTTTCTATTGCACTTAAGTGACAGCGTCCACGGATACGGATAAGTTATTGGCGTTCCTCTCCAGCAGAGTCCGGCCGACTGACACAACTTTGCCGTTCACTGTTCACGCTGACTTAACTCACTTAACTGACTGCACTTCACTATTTCACTGTACTTCACTATTTCACTCACTTTTCTTCTTTTCACTTCTTCCTTTTCTTCCGAATCGCTTTGGACTTAGAACTCAACTGCCAGCGGTGAGCCGCAGTTCCGCTTATATACCCCCGGTCAGGTTCTAGAACATTCAATTTCGTTATTCTTTTTGATCGTCATGCCTCCAGAACCTTCCAATAATTTCGTTATTCATTTTTATTTATTCTCCTTCTCGCTCCTTAATTTTTCATTACTTTTACTCAAATATTCCAGAAAGTTCGACAAAACTTCTATCAACTAAAAAACTTCATGTTTACGGCGAGACTCGAACTCGGGGTCTCTGTGGTGTAATCCACACGCCTTATCGATTACACCAACTCGTGTTGACAATTCACGACGAAATTTACAATCTCTAGGCAACGTTTGACAACCATCCATTGACGTCATGATGTCAAAGAGTTTTCTGTCACAATATGAACTATTTATAAGTACTAAGTACCACCTAAGAATACATGTGGAAAGCAATAAAGTATTGAGTATTGAGTATTATTAAGTCAAAATTAAAAGTCCAAATGTTTTATCTCAATTAGACCCTTACGCACTTTTGACATCAAACAAAGCTTAAAGATATAAAGCATCAGTCTGTCGGTCAGTTCTCTTAGTAAAGTTATTCGCTCGTTCCAAAGCTTAGATTCCGATGGATAACCAAAAGACTCCATGGTTACTCTTTTTCAATCAGTTTCACATACACATTCTTTGTTACATTATTAGGTTCGATTATGTTAGAACAGTGTAACACTAATATTTATTCAAAGTAACGAAAAAAAGGCAGCCTGGAACTGAACAGTCCCAATTTACGGCGCCCTTTCATGAGCCCAACCAAACCATATTAGGAATTGAGCGATCCAGCACCCGTGCCACCGCCCGCCACTGTGACCTTTGAGTGAGTATGATAAATCCAAGCTGATATAAGGACCGACATTCTGCAAGTCTAACCAATACGGTATTTTCCAACTAGTCAAATTCAATACTTTTATTCAAATGTCAAAAACGATACTTTTCTATGAAATTGGTATGAAAAACTGAGCTATGACGTCATTACATTTTTGCGTCAAATAGCTTACTCATTTCACAATAATTAGCTAAAAATATCAAAAACTTGGTGTATCGATCGATCGATGAATAAAAGTATAGTTATTTTTCAATATTTTATAGTATTGAAACATCGAATTAATTTATTTTTGACCTAGGAAACTACCCAATTGTAATAGGTTACAGGGCACTCACATTTACAAATGTATTAAGTTTGACAATATAAGCGGCATGATTGTCATTTTAGACAATTTGAGTACTTCCGTTCAAACAAGAATCCACTAAAACATTATTTATTTTCGTGTATACTATCCTGTCGCGTGGGTCGAGGCTATTTCCAAGCATTAATTATTTTATCATCAATATAATCACTCAGCTTTTAATACTCTTGTGTACAGAAAGCTTTCTTTATAAATAATTTAAAATCTCTTGAATTGTTGTATTTCGGAATTTGGAAACTTATAACATTTAACACAGAACAACCAACAAATCATTGAACAACTTGTGTATCTTTGCCAATCTAATAATGGCTGACATATGAGCTATCTGTATGTCTAGTCTGATAATTATGTTTGTCTCACACCTTGCTAAATAGTTCTAAGGGTTTCCTAACAAACATATTTTTTTCATAAATAAACTGACAGGGCATAGTCATAATATTGATCTCTTAAAATTTTTAATTTTTTCCTCAGAGATTCGCGACAACCAACATTATGAATAGCTCTAACGGCAAGCTTATGTAAGATAAAGAAACTCAATGTCAGCTGCATGTCCCCAAAACAAAATTCCAAATGACATAATGCTATGAAAGTAGCTGAAGTACACCAGTCATCTATGTAGATCAAAAAGAGGAAAGGACCTAATATTGAGCCCTGTGGTATGCCCATAGATATGCTAGCACCCTAAGAGCTAACTTTATTTACTTTTACTATGAGTTGTCTATCCTGGAGGCGTGATTTTAATAAATCGAGAGATAACCCTAGAGCGCCCTAGTGTCCAACTTTAGCAACAAGGTCCCGAGTTCAAGGCAATCAGAAGCCTTGGACAAATCACAAAATATTCCAATAGCGTCGTGCGGCTCTTCCCAAGGGGCGAAAATATACTTAATTAGAGCAACAGTGGCGTCAGTTGTAAAATATATTAATCATAGTAATCTCTCTCTTATTCGTACTGTCGCCTGAGTTTATGATACTGATAATTTAAGACTGAGAGGTAGAGAATGTATAATGAAAGAAAGGTACGAACTTGACGAGCACGTGGAACATGAGCGGGCAGAGAATGAGTGCGGCGGCGAGCGCGGCGGTGACGAGTAGCGGGCAGCGCGGGCCGCGCCACGCACACAGCGCCCACAGCGCCGCCGCCGCGCCCAGCACCAGCGCCGCCGAGAACACCCACACCGTCACGTTGCACAAGTACTGACCCGCACGCACCAACCACCATGACGACGCTTTCTTCCTGTTCTGCTCGTTCAGAAGCTCCTGGAATTATTCAATGGGCATACTGAGAAAAATATACCAAGCAAGGATTTTTTCATATCAAGTTCTGAAAATCTACCCTTTTTGTTTTGTGGTTCACCTGATTCTAAAGCACAAACCTGTGATGTTGAAACATCCGTTGTTTTATTCCGCTTCAGTTGTACAAGAACAAGAGACCGTCATCCACACATTCTTCAGTCATAGAATGCCTTTTAAGAGGTTGTGAATTTAGGGTGGAAATATAAGAAATCGACAATTGTCAATAACAAAAAAATTAGGTGGAGCCTAAATCGTCAATCACGATGGTGGTGATGACGATGGCTCGTGTTTACCTTAAACTCGTTATAAAGACTGTTGGCGTTAAGTTTGGCGGCCTCCGGCGTGACGACTCCGAAATCCCATCCGCAGAATACTTTATTAGCGAACACATGGCTCAGTCCGCCCGACGTCTCGATGAAATTCAGCCGGTATGAGTACGCTGTCCTGGAGTATTTATGACATAGTATTACAATCGCTTTAGTTACATTCGAAAGCCAGTCTACAGTTAAATTATGATGTCACGCAAACTAATCTTTGATTTTGGATGTTGCAAAAAAAGAAAAAGGTCAGATTATTTATTTCAAATTGACCACAATGTTTGAGTTTTGTAAGTCTTTTGAAGCTATTTGCTCGTTTCAGTGTAGAAGAACAAGCAAGAAACTTCATGGTTACTCAACCAGTTTCACAATTAATTTCTTTGTTGTATCATTTTTGTGAGAATAGTGTAACACCAAAAATGATAAAGCCAAAGAATCCAAAAAAGAAGATCGATACATTGTCTCAAAACATCGATATATTATCCACTATAATATATCGAAACACCTTTAACACAAAATGTAGGCAAAGAGGATATGATGACACATTGAAAATTGGTAAATGTTGGGTACCTACGTACTGTACGTATAAGCGGGGAAGGGATACACACAAGTGACACGCTTGCTTTCTAGCAACGCACTGCTTTATTCGGAAATTAGACTTGCTCGCCTTGCACACATACTTAACAGAAAACGAGCAGAAGGATTACCTGATGGTAAGCAATCGGCGCCGCCCATATACTCAGGCAAAACCAGAAGAGTGTGTAGCAGACGTTATGAGGATGAAGTAGCAAAGAACGTGCTTAAGTAAACTTACCTGTAGCAGAGTATACCGAAGAACAAGAGGTACAGACAGACCATGGTGAAGAAGTAGGCGAAAGGCATGTTGTACGTGAGGGAGGACTGCGCGCGGACCTCACCCGAGTGGTAGTGCCCGTAGTACATGAGGGAGTCCGTCAGCCCGCCCTGGAAGACGGCACATTTTATATTAAGAGACTTAAAAAATAAAAAGTTATATTATAATTCTGAGAACACTTGTCGGAAAGTGCAGGTAAACACAAAAACTGCTGAGCGAATTTTGATATGATGAGTTCTGTATATATTTTTAGTTCGTATTAAGCTTGTAAATACTTATCGCCACGTCCATCTTCCATAGTGGTTGGAAAAGACCAAGACACGTCAAGAACTAAAACCCTTACCGGGCTTACCCTTAACGGGTGATCGACTTTCATTTATATTTTAACTAGCGACTCGCCCCAACTTCGCTCAGATGCTCGGGTGCAATGCGGATACAAAATATCTAAGAGGAAGTTTTATATGTTTAATAATGACACAATCACTCAATTGATTAACAAAAATGCGTCAATATCAGTTGCGTAGTTTTAAAGGGATATAGGGACTGAAAAAGTGGCTTTATTTTCTACAAAAGTTTACTTTTCTAGTTGGCTCTTTATCAAATTTTTAGTTTCTTGTGTTCTTCAGCACACGCCAAAAGGCTTTCTACTTCAAATAATTTTAACTTCAACTCACCATTCCAGTAATAAAATCCAGAAACGATAACTTAGCACTATTAGCTGTCTCCACATCGTGGAGTGCTTGGGGTATGATGACGAAGGCAGTGATGAGGATGGACAGAAGCAGGTTCAGCGCGAATAGCCAGCGCAGGAAGTAGAAATAGGAACCCACTGCTGAGCCGAAGTGACCTTCGATCTGGCGGATAGGTTCGTACCAGAACTCGAAGGAAAAAACCACGTCACGACAGCGGTCGCGGATCTGCAGAGGAGGTTTTATAACCATTAACCCGATTGTCAACATCATCATCTTTATACAATAACTGATTTACATTGCCATTTCTATTTTTTTTTTAAACGGCTTGCTCACCTGTTTTAAACTGTGAGAAAAGCTGTACTAATTAGTCGCGTCGACGCGCACGCTGCTTATGAATAAGAGTCCCGTTGTGACTTGAAACTAGTAGAGCTTTTCCCAGTCAATCGTTATTGATACTAATATAATAAAGAGGTAGGTAAGTTTTCATGTAGTGAGTAATCTTTGGAACCGTTCGGGTTGGTCGGATTACTAAAATTCTTTCACTGATAGATAGCTACAATATGTTTCTGAGTGCTATAGGCTTTAAATTATACTTGACCTGCGTATATAATCAAGCTATCACTTTAAACACTGGTGCTTTTACACGCGTGGGAAGCGGCAGGCGGAAGCTAGCATGTCTCACGATAGTTACTATTAAAAAAATACTATTATTCTGCTAGCATACTACTGACTGACTGTTAGCCATCCAATCACTAGACTAAATAAATAAAACTAAATTTCCTTAGTAGGGAAACTCACCCGTTTCCATGTAAAACTAATTCGATACTTCATCCGCTTCCACATCGAGATGGGCCGTCGCTTGGACCGAAGGCTGACTGAGGCAGACAGTTTGGCACGCACATTCCTCTTCATCGTCAGCCCTTGTGGGAGATCTCTTAGGGCTTCCCTGAAAAATTTGAACAATTCATTAAAAAATTTTCGTACTATAAAATAGTGGGGCTACTTCACATGTTTTATCACAAACCATTTTTGTTAGCAATGTATCCATACATAATATAAAGTCCTATTTGGCACCGCGGCCTCGGCATAAAGCAGGAGAAGGAACGGGGGAGTTTTTAGTCAGTAAGCGTCTGACACACCCTCTCGCTTCACCGGGCGGGAGAAATCATTTGATGATTTACCTCTTACAAAAAAAGTCTATTTTGTGACAAATTCAGATAATTAAAAGTCCCTGCTGTGGCTAGGTTGGACGCGACAGCGGCTGTGGACGAAATCAACTTTGTTAAGTTTCTAGAACATACCTTCTCAACTCCTCAGCACCAGGGTCGTCCTCCATGAGCCGTTTATGCTGTTCCATTTCCCTGACGATGATGTCTGCTTGCTTGTCGACAGCATCAGGCGCGTCGGTGTCGGCAGAATCAATCTCTTCCAATAATGCATTGTGCTCGGAATTATTCCTTCGAAGTCTTAATGTGTCTGTGGAACAGTAATAAAAAAATGAAATACTGATATTTATATCTGATCATTTCAGTTCCTTTTGAAAGTGCATGGCCTTTTCGCGTAGCTAACCAACCAGCTGCGGCTCAAAGTTCCAAGGCCATATTAAAATAACGCTTTTTTTTTGTCCATAGATTGTTGTTCTGTGTCGGGTATGGACCCACGACACAGACCAAAAATTGCATACATTTTGTGTTTGTTAATTATGTATATAACATTTGATATACAAGTGAAAGATAGCAACAATAGCTTTATCAGAATAACAGAATAGATTACTCAAAATAGACCCTGTCTTGAAAACTACAAAGTTTATAATTGCAGTTCTTAGAAAAATTCATTACAACAGTACATTAGTAAGTACTTAACGATCGAAGGTAACAGAACATGTTTCGTTCGTCCTTCGAAACAAATGGTTAGGAGTTATCAGTAGCAATTAGATACACAACGTCAAACAGAACAATCGTAGTATAGTAGATATTTATGTATAAATATTGCACTTATTATACATAATATAAGATAGGTCTATGATGGTTTTTATTCTACGAATATTAGACAACGTTACATATATTGAAGTAAGTATATTTTTTGTCGCAATTTAATTTATGGTTTCTACGTAGTATAACGCAATTTTTTATTTATTATTGCGGTAGAGTTGATTACCATCCTATTACGATACTTAAAGACTCGAGAAACAAAAGGATGATTTTACGACTAAGTTTAAAGTCATGGGCCCCGTCATAGGTTGAAACTGGTCAAATCAAGTTGTCGAACAGTTACGTTAGCAAACCATACATTACCCAATGAATACACGTGTATAGGTGTACATTATACGATTTTGCATAACATCACGCGTTCAATTCTGTGTGAGTTGCTACTTATCAGACTCACATAACTATACGAGAAATTTAGATTTTTTTAGAATGCCAGTCTAGACCAAGCAATGAGGCAGATAATTGTTTATTTAAGACATCAATCAGTGGTTGTAAGTAACGCGAAGAAAGGTAAGTAAACAAACGGATCATACATTCAAAGATACATACATAATACATATATAGGTACCAATTCAAATAGATTTCCTAGCAGATTTATGATATCTTAAAATTTAAATATCATAAAATTGTGTATATCCGCGAGTTCTATAATATCTGTGAACAACATGATATTTCACAAATTCCAGTAACAATACATTCCAATCCGAACAAGTAAAAAACATACAAATCCTTCTATTTAGGTACTTAAACTTTTACATCTATACACTATAAGATTATCTAATAAAAAAAACTAAAACTCAATACCACAATTACTTCAAAAAAAATATAAAAACCTCTATTAAGGGTATCCATCTCAAAAACTCCATCACTATCCTCGGCCAAAAGCGACATGATCGAATTCACAACACAACTATTCACACTATTTTAAAAACACAGAGCACTTTGATAACTCAATGCGGTTATAAAAATATTGCTAAACTAAAATACTATTTTCCAAGCCAACTTTTGAATGTGTAATGCTAGTAGCTATAGCTAGCACCGAGTGCACTGCATTTAACAGAGCTAATGATCGAGTCTCAATCGTAAAGGTACTTGCAAATTAGGCTGTAACATATAATATTCGGTGTTTGTTCACCGAACAAGGAACATTAATAATGACGTAATAAAAATATGTATGTAGATACTGCCCCGACTTCCTCGAAATGATATGCATGTGTATTACGTGTAGGTATACACCCACTCATATTTAATTAGTTATCTAGGTAAAAATAACTGTTAAGGCATAGGAGTTTTTAATTTAAAAATCATATAGATAGAATAAATATTATGTAGATAGAATGAACAATAAATGTTTATGATTTTGAAAATTATATCTATCACTACATAGTACATAACGAAGTCGCTTTCTCTGTCCCTACGTATACTCAAATCTTTGAAACTACGCCACGGATATTGATGCGATTCTTGTAATAGAGAGAGCAGTTGAAGAGGATTTTTTATACACATGTGTAACACCCACCAAATAATGGTAAAATTTTGTATCACAATTGCACCCGCGCGAAGCCGGGGCGTCTCGCTAGTACCTAATTATAACATTTTTTTCAATTAAATTCTAATAATAATCGGTCCTGTATACTTTACAACTTCTCTCTCGACTCAACTTTGCGTTCCCCTACAACATGGGACAAATAAAACAGATTGTATATAACCGCTTAACTTAAGCAGACTTTCTACACTGTGTTACACTGCAGTGGAAGCCGACGTTTATGATAATTAGCGGTCGTTAGCAATTATCATCGTTTGTAACACATATCTGAGCAATAAACCCTTATTAAATGATAATTGAGTAACCGCCCATCGGTATGAACTGCACTTTTGAGTGTTTGTTGGTAACTTATTTCACCATATTCCAGAAGAGCTTTATTTATTTCATCAGGTAATTTCAATGTGAATTCAAATTAAATTTATGGAATTATTATTTATGGAATTATAATATGGAATTATTATATATTATATTTATGGAATTATTCCGTTTCTTGCTAAGCTCGTGGTTTTGATACAAACTGTCGAGTTTGTAAACAATACATTTTATAATACGAACGTGAATCAATAGCGCCATCTTTTGACAGAACGTAGTTAACGTTTACTTAGTAATTTGAACTTACTGTAGGGTAGTTGTCGCGAGGGCATGAAGTTAACGGCGACCTGCCTAGCAGCATTGTTTCTTAGCGTTAAATTACGTCGCGCACTCGAAGGGCGCGCCTCTACTTCTTCTATTTCATCCTCCATGTTTCAATATCTGCAAAAAGCACATAAAAATTGTTAAGATTTATTCATCATAATCATCACAACACCAAGCCCTTCAAGTGTCACAAAACATGTATGAACTAGTTGTTTTTTTATGGTATAAGTCGGCAAACGAGCAGACGGATTACCTGATGGTAAGCAATCAGCGCCGCCCATGGACACCCGCAACACGAAAGGAGTTACGAGTGTGTTGCCGACCTTTTGAGGATAGGGGTTGCGGATAGAAGGATCGCGAAGAGATAGGGGAAGGGGCGGGATTGGGCTTTGATTGAGTTGTGGTTGAATGTGAAAGATTAGCATTTATTTAAGATGAAAATAAATAACATACTACTACAGTGTAATCTACATAAGTAGATGGTTATAATAATGTGGGTGCATGTCCCAAGTAGGGATGCCAACTTTTTTTAGCAGAAATAAAGTATATCTGATTTTAAAGGAGGTAAATACAGAGATTGCACTTATAAGAAAAAGTATCATTTATTTTTATCTTTTAAAAAGGTATTTTTAGTACTTCTTGCATAAATAAATTCTTATTTCTTTTCATTGCTTTATAAGGTTCATTTTCATAACAATAATAGCTTGAGGAAAAACCCTATTAAATAATAATAATGTACAAATAGCAGCATTCTATGGTTTTTCCCATGTTCTGTTTTTAATAATACAACCACAAAAAATTTGATTACATGAAAAATTTGACTATTGAGTGAGATATATTTTTAATATATTTACACTCCACATCCTACATATGGGCTGTGGACACAGTAACCAGTACAACAATATATACTATGTTTTAGTAATAATTTCATGCAAGAATAAGGTTTTCAAGCAAAATATTCCATCAAACAGTAAGGTATTAATATTCAATGCAGAAGTTTAAAGTTTAAATTGTATTTACAAATGAAACAGAGCACACAAATACTATATTCAACAAAACATTAAAAAAACAAACAAAGTAAATATTTAGGTGGACAAGGAACAAATATATTGGAACTCCAATGCAGTAAACACTCAGTACTCAATTTCTTAGATACAATGAAAATTATACTAATCAATAGATTATTATTATTTGATAACAACAGATAGAGATATCACAGAGAGCACCAATGTTTAGTAAAAAAATGCACAAGAGAAAATAAACATAATGGGATGATATATACTTTGTTTTTTTTTCTTTAATAAAAGGTGACGAAACTAAACTTCTGATTTAATTTCTATCAATGCAACTGGTTGTCAATTAATTTATTGGTCAAATCGTGTATAAAGATGTGTTAGTGAAACTCACAAAAACTTGCTACAATTGTAGCAAAACTAGGATTTAGATTATTTCAGTTTCTTTGTTTTCAAATTCAATAGAATGTTATGATATGATTTTGGTTACCTATCCTGAATATTAAATTCTTTGTTATTAAATTATATATTCTTTGTTTCATATATCACTACAACATTAATGTAAAACAAGATTTGCTCACATTTTCATGACTCATGCAAAAACAAATGGACTCAGCTAGCTTCTCTGCTTTTTGTTACTCAGAAGTCAGCAAAGGAATATATTAATTTGGAATCACGTACCTTTAATAAATAGTAAAATTGCTGATAGTACACATCCACATTCGGCCTTTTCGAAACAATAACAAATTAATCAGAAAGATAAACAAAATCCACTATAAATATAGTACAGAGTAGTTGTTTCAGAAACAAGTAATCAATTTCATTAGATTGTTGTTATTGTAACTAATCAGAATCCTTTATGAATTACATTTGTATGGAAACTTGGAAAGTGGAAACTAATTTATTAGTTTGAAACTACAAAATTATAAAAAAAATAGTATGTAAACGTCAATGACCTTTAATGTCATTTTAACTGTCAATACAAATCGAAAGGTTTACTTACATATTCTATGCTATGTACAAATCTACAAAAATTGTAAGTGTCTTAAATCCATAGATAAATTTAATCATATTTTAGCGATTCCTGCTTCTCGATGCTTCAACAAAAAAATCCTCTGTGCAAAATACCATGATGATACAACATCATCCGTCATTTGTTGATTGACTTCAAACATAATCTGTCAAAATCAACAATCTCGAGCCATAGGCCGACAATTCAATATTTTTTTTACGTATTTCAAACTAACTATAAACTACATTGCAATCAAATTGCAATCTCAAATAAAGACTTGTTGAAGTGAAGTGCTAATTTAAATAATCGTTTTAGGGAGAAAGTGTTATATGATTTAGCTTGAGTACGGTTCGCATCGCTTTGATTAAGGTGAGACTTTTTTCATGTAATAATGCTACCCTTCTTGGTGTAATTGACTCATCCATTTTATTCAATACAACTTGAGGTGGGAACTGTAACAATCTCTCGCGTCGTTCTTTCTTTTGTATTTCATCATATTTGTTGAGTTTATTACTTATATCAAACAATATGCAACTAATAAATATATTTAAATCAAATACTTTCTTTTGAATTAAATGTTTTGATACACAGACATTGTTTATAATCAGGATTTAAAAAAAATACCTTGTATGACTTGTGTTGACTATACTAAGGGTAATTTTGTAATAGTCCAGTCTTTAGCCTTAAACTATAAAATTGATTATTGTTAAAAGTTGATTTTTAACCTGTTGACTTAAATTGTACCATTCTGCTGTCTGTTACAGTTTCTAAATGGTCTGTAGAACAAGATGGCATCGCCACAGAATGTTACTGTGGACCAGGTTAGGCTAATCCTGACTGAAGTTATTGATGCCTTAGAGTCCCCTGACTATGCCTCTAAATTGGATGAAGCTAAAGAAGCTGCTGGCAATGAGATGCTGAAAATGATGCAGATTGTGTTCCCAATGGTTGTTCAGATTGAAATGGAAACAATTAAGCGCCATGGCTTCCCTAATTCAAGAGAAGGTGATCATAAAATAAAATGTTTATTAAATATATTATAAGAGACAACTTACATAAAATCACTGAGAAAAGCTCTCCTAGTTTTAAGTCGCAACAGGACTCTTATTCATGACTTACTTAAACTAGTTCAGCTTCTCTCAGCGACTTACACAAGTAAATTGTTATTTTCAATAAATTTTAGTATGTCTCAGGATAGTTACTATTCAAAAATATATATATTGTAAACTTAACATTTTTTCTTACATATTTTAAACATGTTCAACAAAAATCAGCAAAAGACTTTATGAGACTACTTAGTAAAACTATTATACTATTATGAGTATTATTCGTTGTAATAGTCATACACATACAGTTACATTTTGGGATTCCAGCCATCAACATAAATAACTTGTTCTGACTTAACATTTGCCAGATTGATGTTTTCATTAATAAAAGGACCAAGCAACACAAAATTATTTTATAGTTGTAGTGTAGATTAATTGAAATGTGGGACTATGTATTCCAAGTGGCCCATTTTACACAACATAAATAGACTTTTTCTTTTTCTTATTTTCACCATAAATATATAACATGGTTCAAGTATCCGCGTATGTTATCTACAGGTATAGTTCAGTTCACACAACTGGTTCGTGAGATGGAAGCTCTGGATGGTGAGGTGGCACGCCTGCACACTCAAATCAGAAGCCATTACCTGCCCCCTGTGTCCATCAGCTCTACGGTCGACACTTCTCTGTGAACTGGTGAGAATGTATTCATGTTTACTTATACATGTCTGCATAAATTTTTGCAATAAGAAGAACTATCAGTGTAATACAGGGTAGTTAAGCCTATACATTAATTCTGCCAACTGATTAATTTATATTATTTATAGATACATGATTTTACTTGTGTATGTGTTGCATTATATTCTGTGTTGCCAATGACGGAAGATAAAGGAAAATTTCACTTATTCACAAATAAAAAAAAATCAACCATTACCTATTATGTTTTTGTTAGGCGGCTGCCAGATAGCGATCGACCTCATCCATGGCACATACAATATGAAGCAACATATTAAGGGTTACATATACCTACATATAATTAATTAGGCCATACTACAAAATATTGTATTGATAATTTATTACACTTATGTTAGAGTGAGCATTTATATTTTGAATAAATTACATCAATTTATCAGCTTATTTTATTTTATGCCAAATAAATAATAATTTACTGATATTATGATCAGAAAAGCGTTACAAAATATCATCAGTTAAATAGAACAACAAAAATATGCAAATAATTATATATGCATACATAAATAATGATTTAGGGATTAAATATAAAATTGTGACTAGTTCAAAAAAGACCAGAAATTAAAGAAAATAGTAGAATATTATCCACTGGCACAGAAAGAGAATATGCCCAAATATTATAGAATATGAATATTGACAGTCGGAGGGAAAAGGATGGGTGTGCGTTTTAAGACTGAACCGTAACAAGTATTAAATTAAAAATTTAAAAAAACCCCCGACTTTATAAAAACCAAATGTAATCCATAAAGCGCCATGTAGAGGCAGCCATCTTGGATTTTAAATTTTTCATACCTAATAGTATTTCACTAGTCAAGCCCTTTCATTTGACACCCATATTGATCAAGTTGTAATAAAAAAATGTAAAGCACCATTTTGTAGAAGCAGCCATCTTGTATTTTAAATTTGTCATTTCTAATAGTATTCTTCTAGCCAAGCCCTTTCATTTGATACCCATATTGATGGAGTTTAAAAAAAATATCTTATCTTTTAAACTTTCGCGTTTCATCTTAAGAACATTATATTTACGACGATCTACACACCTGAGGCTAAACTTCATGATAAGGTAGGCACGGCGAAGGATGTACTGCCGCTACAAAGCCCAGGTGTTTATAAGATCAACTGCAGCTGCGGTAGTTCCTACATTGGGCAAACGAAGCGGACCATTGCTGAGAGGCTCAAAGAACATATCGCCGCAGTCAAAAACCGACAGAGCAACAAATCAGCGATAGCAGAACACCTGCTCCAGGCTGGTTCTAATCACTGGGTAGAATTCCACCGACCGCAAATTCTCTCCACTGATCGCCACTACCATACAAGACTTGTGCGTGAAGCGGTTGAAATAAAGAAATGCCCAAATAATTTCAATCGGGAGGACGGCTTTAAATTGTCGTCGACGTGGAATCCAGTGCTTCGCAAAACACAACCTCGCTTTCCTTCAAAGTCGGTTAACACATCTGTGGATATAATCAGCGTAGTGTGTAGACGGCCTAATATGGTAGAAAATGAAAATAAGGGGGTAGATGAAGATTCATCACCCGAATGCAGGGAGCTGTGACATCGCGTCTTCAGTCTGCTTGTGACCACGACCTGTGCAACCGGGTCGAAACGTCAAGCCTACCAAGGTATTCAAATTATAATTTTCCGCGTTAATACCCGCGTAAATATAATGTTCTTAAAATATCTAATCTGTCATTTTGTGGCGGCGGCCATCTTGGAACAATTTTCATCAAACTTACGTAAAAACACTCTCGACATTTTCTACTGTCAAACAAAAAAAAACTAAATCAAAATCGGTCCATCCGTTCGGCGGCTAGAGTGGTACAGACAGACACACACACACACAGACACGTCAAACTTATAACACCCCGTCGTTTTTGCGTCGGGGGTTAAAAACTAGTTTCTGTATTTTTAAAATGGTATGAGACGTATTATTTTTGTGTTTCTACTTTTCATTGTGTTAAGTACACTCTACTACTATAATATTACTATTTAATATAACTAAATTATTACTTATTTAATATAACTAAATAAAAAATAAATATAATATATTTTTTATTTAGTTATATTTTCTGCAATGACCTGCTAAATTGTTTTAAAAAGGTGTGTTGATGAAGATGAAAAAAACAACGTCTGTAGCTGCAACAATACGATTTATAAAATGTAAAAAATAGAATAATTTTCTAAAGATGTAAGTCTCAAAAACAATACATCCAATCAAATGTATACCTAATTTTGAAAGTGAAAATGCATAAGAATACACTGACACAGACTAAATCGACTATTGCAGACCACTTCTACTTATATTACTGAGCAAAACGGTTCTTTTCTGGTTACCTACACCGTTCTACCGTAGTTTCTGTTATCAGTTACTTCCGAGATAATAAGAAACAGACGTGTACTAAAAACACAGCCGTCACTGATAACGAAGATCTCAGTTAATTAAGTTTAGTATACAAGAGATTTCCTTCGTAATACTCCTATTTTGGGCATAAAGACGTAGTGTACCTATAATAAAATCTTTTATTTCAGGTGGCTCCCGACTTGAATCTCAGATAAACTCAGTATATACGGAATCTCTCAACAATGAATCTCAGACACTTAACAAAATGTTTGAAAAAGAAAAGAAAGAACTTTAAATTTATAGTGTGTGCGTTAGTGTTGTGGTGTGTGTACGACTATTTAGGTGTTGGTGACTACTTGCAGGCATCCAGCTTCGACAACGACTTCCACTACCCTCTTGATGTCAATGTTAGAGAACTAGTGAATGATGTGTTAACAAACCAGAAACTTTCGGTATCTAGTATCAACTACTACCCTTACAGTTTCCTTAGCAACTCCGGGAAATGTTCCAATATCGAGAAAATAGACTTAATGATCGTGGTCAAATCGGCGATGGATCACTTCGGCCATAGAGACACTATCAGAAATACATACGGCCAAGAAGATATACCAGGACGAACCGTTAAGATCCTATTCTTCTTAGGAGTTGACGGAAAGTCAAAGTCCGAGGTGCAGCGACAAATAGACAAGGAGATGTCGGAGCACCGTGACATCATCCAGATGGACTTCATCGACTACTACTACAACAACACCATCAAGACAATGATGTCGTTCCGCTGGGTGTACGAGCACTGCTCGCACGCCGACTACTACCTGTTCACCGACGACGACATGTACATCTCCGTGAACAACCTGCTGGGCTACCTCCACGACCGGGAAGCGACGCGGTTGGCCGCCACCAGCTCGCCAGATGCGGATGGCCAGCTGCAGAGCGACCTGTTATTCACCGGTTACGTGTTCCGCTCGGCTCCGCAGCGGTTTCGATTCAGCAAGTGGCGCGTGTCACTCGAGGAGTACCGCTGGGACCGATGGCCGGACTACGTGACGGCTGGAGCCTACGTGGTATCCAACAAGGCCATGCGTGTCATGTACATTGGCAGTCTGTTTGTAAAGCACTTCCGTTTCGACGACATCTACTTGGGCATAGTGGCGAAGAAGGTGGGCATCACGCCAGAGCATTGCCCGCACTTCTACTTCTACAAGAAGGAGTTCTCTCGCGACGCCTACGAAAACGTGATAGCGTCACATGGTTACCATGATCATGATGAACTCATCAGGGTCTGGTACGAGATGAATAGCAAGTGAATAAGAATCTGCAATAGACTCGAATTATAGCGGTAATCCAGATTGTCAAGCTGATTATTTATTTTGGAGGAAGTGATTTCCTTAAAGACTAATATTTTTTATTTTATTCTTAAGCTTTATATCCTTCATGCTCAATGAAATTGTAGCTATGTGATGCTTTCTACATTAGGGGCTACCGTATTTTGGTTGACGTTAACATTCTACCCACTTTAGATGTAAAAATATTTGCTCATTTCCTATTAAACGAAATGACGAGAGGCGCCACATTGGCGTCTTTCAATGCGCAAAAGAATAGACTACTATTCTTTACTATTGTTAAATATTTCTGGAGGGTCGGATCTCAAAGTTGATTATGTATAAGAAATTGAGCTCGAGTATGGTTAAGATTCAGTACATATATGCCCATATACATATGAGATCAGCAGTCAGTCGTAGTTGAAAAAAGACCAGGAGAAGAACTAGAATCTCAAAATAATGTCACAATGCTACTTGATCTTTTTTTATTTTCTTTTCTTCATACTTTATACAAATTTAGCTGGCTTCCACAGATAGTAATAGTTTTTCTTAACAAGAAATTTGTTTTTCAATTGGGACCACACCAAAACCATGACAGCTTTGACATGAGTTTTTTTCAGTGTTCGTACCTAGTTCTCTAACTAGTTTATAGTAATCTTTGATAGATGTTTTGGCAATTGTTACAATGAATTCAATTTCGTTCGAGTGATTCTGTTCCAGTTATATTTCGTATAATTCGTGATATTTTCGGACAACATAATCGTCCGGTGATCGGTTTTGAGTTGACAGGTTCTATATAAAATATGCCAATACGAACACATTTCGACCAGATCTTTCAGCTAAAAACATTGCAACCGTGAGCCATAGTGTTGAAGATCCAAATTTGTCACTTCCTCGACATTCTTAGCAGTAGGTTTTGGATAACCGCTTTCCGCTATCCAAATCAATCAATTAAACTATGTATTTGGCTAAGGCTTTAACCTTACAAGGTTCAACTGGTACAAGAATTGAAGCCGATCGACCATTCGCAACGCCGTACAGTTGCTTAATTCATTCAGGCACAAACCCCTAGGTTTTCTGAAAAAAAAAAGAATCATTTTTTCAAGCTTATTTTCGTCACGGGTTGCTTAATAAGCAAAATTGCCGTATTACGGCTTCTGAAAATCTTGAGTGATTATTGAGAAGCCTTTGTCTAGGTAGGTACTCAACTTGTCACTGTATTGTGTGCTATATGGTACGGACCAGCCATTTTGCCAAAAGTGATTGAAAACTTTGATGAAAGAATAAACATCTGGCAGCGTGGTCGTGGTGAACATTTTATCACTTTCATTCATAATTTATGAATGAAAGTGATAAAATGTTCAAATCAACCTTTTCTTTTCGTAAAACAATGAGAATTTGAATCATCTTTATCTGAATTTCGTTTTATTTTGTTTAGGAAAACAAAGTTCTTGTTGGAAAACTCTTTACTTACAATACCAGAGTTTAGATATTGTCATTTATTAGTGAAAAGTTATAGCTCACCAGTGTAGACGAGTCGGTATGTACATGTACAATATAGTCATTACGCTTCTTTATTATATTTTAGGAAATATTTTTATATGATAGTGTGCAATTATGCGTTCTTATTATACTATCCGTGTTGTAATAATTGTCATTAAGTGACAGATTATGGAGCATTCGACATGTCTCCACAAGTTAAAGAAAACTACGATGTCTCTAAACTATTTATGGCTATTTTTTCAATGGTTAGATAAAAGTTACCTGGGGAAAAATTACGGTGCTGTCGCGTCAAAATATTTGTATAAGACAGTGATAGCAACAATTTTATACATTTATCTGACTATTGAAATATCAGCCCTTAGGAAAAATATTTTTAATAACTAAGTACAGGGAAAAAGTATAAAAGTACATGTTCCACCTCGAAGGTTTTCTCAGTCAATTCGAAGGTGAAAGCAGCCAATGTTTACTCCCCGTCTATTTCCATAAAAGGTACATAGGTATAACTATTTAATAAATAAAAGTTTCGATTAAAATGCTATTTGTTTTATTGACCATAATGTAAAAAATATTAAGCACTACTTAGAATCCAGTCATTTGGTCTCAAAAATTGAGTTTACCTACCTGTAATGATTTCCAAAAGTCATAAAAATATTCAATCTTGATAATATGTTATTTTCAAATTTCTATTTTGCCACCTCGTATCTCGTATGAACACCGCTCGCGCATAAGATGAGATGGTGGCACTTTGCAAAAATGGCGTTTAATAAGCTTTACGGCGCATTTATCTTTGTCCTAAAACATAAATATTTACTAAAAATTTTACTTGACGTAACTAATTTACGTACAGATAACTCCTTTATGTATAAGCATTATGAAGTGCGCAATCCAGAAAATAACATCCACAACACCTGCTGCTTTACAAGTAAGGAGTATTTTATCACGGTATATCTCATCATCATTTTGCGTCAAATCGAGCACTTTTCTGTGTTTCTGGTGATCCATAAGTTGCACTTGCATCTTAAGAGCCCACCGAAAAGTCATAACCAATATTATAAAACGAAAAAAAGCTTCTAATGAGTCTGTAGCGACATCTACAGCACCAATCACGTACAAGTTTCTACATCGCGCTATAAAAATTCTCATCGCAATTAGAACATATACAAAAATCCCGACAACAACAGTCGGGCAGTAGCCCACCAAGCACGAACACCTCGCCTGGTCGGAGGATCCTCCCTATTCAATGGAGGATGAGGAACTTTCCACCCTGTTCCTCATACCTCTAAAAGTCTGACAGATGCCATCGCAGATGATGCGGACGAAGGTTTTTACTTCCTATTCAACAAACGTGATTCTGGTATGGAACCCGTCGTACGTGAGTGTCACGTGTCCTTGGCCAGTTTTTTTTCCTTGCTGACTGGGCTATAGAAAGATAATACCTATCAGCAGCTGATAATCTTTATCGGTTATTCACGAAAAATACAATTTTCGTCTATCTATAGGCGTCTATATAGGCGTAGATAGACGTTGTCGAGTAACAGGTTTTATGGAAGTTTCAAACAACAAGTCATTAAATAATTTAAAAGTATCTAAATGTGTGAAAATGAAAAGAAAACATTTAAAATTGATATTGTGTGTATTTGTGCTGTGGTATTTGTACAAGTATTTTGGTGTTGGTGAATATCTACACGCATCAAGCTTTGACAACGATTTCCACTATCCTCTCGATGTGAATGTAAGAGCCATAGTAGATGATGTTTTAAGATATCATAATTTCACAGTGAAGCCCATCAACTATTACCCGTACAACTTCCTAAGCAAGTCTAACAAATGCTTAATTACTAAGAAAATTGATTTAATGATTGTGGTCAAATCAGCAATGGATCACTTTGGCCACAGAGACGCAATCCGAAGAACATACGGCCAAGGCATTTCAGGCCTGATCGTGAACATCCTATTTTTCTTAGGAGTTGACGGAAACCCCAAGTCCGATGTGCAGCGACAAATAGACAAGGAGATGTCGGAGCACCGTGACATCATGCAGATGGACTTCATCGACTACTACTACAACAACACCATCAAGACGATGATGTCGTTCCGCTGGGTGTACGAGCACTGCTCGCACGCCGACTACTACCTGTTCACCGACGACGACATGTACATCTCCGTGAACAACCTGCTGGGCTACCTCCACGACCGGGAAGCGACGCGGCTGGCCGCCACCAGCTCGCCAGATGCGGCCGGCCAGCTGCAGAGCGACTTGTTGTTCACCGGGTACGTGTTCCGCTCGGCTCCGCAGCGGTTTCGGTTCAGCAAGTGGCGCGTGTCACTCGAGGAGTACCGCTGGGACCGATGGCCGGACTACGTGACGGCTGGAGCCTACGTCGTATCCAACAAGGCCATGCGTGTCATGTACATTGGCAGTCTGTTTGTGAAGCACTTCCGTTTCGACGACATCTACTTGGGCATAGTGGCGAAGAAGGTGGGCATCACGCCAGAGCATTGCCCGCACTTCTACTTCTACAAGAAGGAGTTCTCTCGCGACGCCTACGAAAACGTGATAGCGTCACATGGTTACCATGACCATGATGAACTCATCAGGGTCTGGTACGAGATGAATAGTAAAGATTTTATGAGATGAATTCGTTGTACACGAAACATTTAAGCAACCTGTAGGAAGCAACAAGAGCTGTACCTACATAGACAAATATCTAGAGCTAATATAGGTACCAATCCGGTTATGTAAATTGTTACTAGTCACCTAGGGTGTTCGCTTTTCAATTTCATCAATCCCCAATTGGTTGGTATTTTCTCGATGTTTGAATCTGTAAATGTAATAAATTGTAAATATTTTTTAGTTAGTCTTGAACATGTAATACGTATTTTATATCATAGGCAAAACAATTTTTGTCTTCGGAATCTCGTATAAACTTTATGGAAAATTGTTCAACTGGTGAAAACTTGTTATAAATAAAATGCAGGTATAGATTTAATTGTATTTTTATTAAACTCTTTATGTCAAAAGTAACAATAATGTATTTATAATTATAATAACAATTGTAAATAAAGAACATATCTAGTTACTTTAGAACCGAACTACTTAATAGTAAAGACGTATACCAATCAAATTTTGTGATTCAATACATGGAATCTGTTTTCCATCTACATTGCATCGTAGCCCTTGACAAAGTAGGCGGTATAACACACAGATTATACAAAACATAAAATTAGGTAAACATTAAAAAGTACGTAAAACAATACGTAAGACAAATAATATGATGTTCTTAACAAAACAAAAACCTAATACACAATCTGTGTATTTATAAACTAGTTTACTGTTACGTCTTGAGTTTGTTCAAGGGGTCTAAATTGGCACAGTGACATGAAATAAAAAAGGTAAGTACTACGAACTCTAATTTATAAACTGTCCGTGTTTGATTTGCTTGACGACATACCCCACTCAAAATAAAATGTGGATGCTATAGATTATGCAGCTTTTAAGGTTAACAGATCGGTATGATGATTTTGATCAAACATATTAGCGGTCAAGACGTGTATAAAGTGCATAAATAGGCCTTTTCTTAAGATTCAGAGTTATGCTGACGTTGTATGAAATAAAGAAAAAAATCATAATGGCATTACGCTGCAAATCGCAGAACATTTAGGGAGCGCGCGCTGCCTTCGAGCACCCCCTTAACTACAAACATCTGCAGATTCGATTAGAAATTTCGAAAGCTTTTACTATGATGATTTATGGAACCGGACCTTATAAACCGCTGAAGCGCCATTGATCACCATCGTACTGATAGGGACCTTCTTTAGAAAAAATCTCTTTTTGAAACCCGGGCGATTGTTGCAGGTGGAATAGCTTATGGAAGTAATCATCAAATTAGGCAAACTTCCATTGTAAAATTATAACCTATTCTTATTTAATATAAAAAGCCGTATAAAATTTAAAACACCCGCTTTTATCGTTTACAATTTAGTAAAAATACAATAATTTAGCACCTATTCTATAAACATATACGTTTTAAACATATATGTTGTTACATAATATAGGTTTTGAAATAACAGTGTAAATATATTGAGCTCATTTCTACACAATTTTTCTTGGATTGTTGGATTGACTGATTCAAAATGAACACATTTCTATGTCAGTAGTTGTCATTATTGCTAAACAAAAATCGCCTTTATTGCTAGTACGCAATAAGTAATAAGTATCGATGATACTTTGACTCAAAATTTTATATTGGCAGTTATTATAGCTGAGCTCGCAAATTCATATTACGGATGAAAATATTGAAACCGAGACCTACCGTTATAGAGTATATTAATAATCAGTTGAAATGAAATAATTTGTATCGTCAGAGCCGCTGATTTGTGTGTGTTAAAAGGGTTTTAGCGAGAGAGGACTTTAAACATAACTAGCGCCATCTACGAAGCGCAAAAAATGTTTAGAACTACTGATACTTAACGTCCCACGTGATTAGCTAGCGTTCCTAAGCTGTTGCATCTAACTCCTTGAACACATATGTGATCTTCATGATGGCCAGCCAGAGGTCTTCGTCGGAGATCTCGCGGTGCAAGGTGAACCTCACCGTCTTGCTGTTGAAGTATATCGCTTTCACAATCACACCCTCGTCGTTCGGAGTTTTGCAGTCACCCTGTAAATATTGTCATGCCTTTTATAAAATCTATATATATATATAAAAAAGTCGTGTTAGTTACTTCACTTATAACTCAAGAACGGCTGAACCGATTTAGCTGAAAATTCGTAGTGAGGTAGCTAAGAACTGGGTGAAGGACATAGGAAAGGATAGAGTAGGTAGAGTAGGGTAGTTAGAGTAGAGTAGGTAGAGTCGGGCAGGTAGAGTAGGGTAGGTAGTCAAATGACGGGAGCGACGCCGCGGGTAAGAGCTAGTATGTTTATTTAAAACTGCAATTTTATTTCTAAGACTGACGGATTTTAATAAATTTGTTGTATCATGTATCATTCTAGAAATTTGAGAATAACCTTGCCCTATTACTTTTTGTGGTGTCTTACCTGTGTCTCAGCGAGGCAGACCTGTGCGAGCCTAGCAACCACTTTCTGCGCGGTCAGTGGACTACTCTCCGGAATCCTCACGAGAATTATATTGCTGTGCTGGCCCTCCACGTCCACTTTAAACGACTTCAGGAACAGACCTTCGATCACTGGAATATAAAAAAATTAATTAGAAGCGAATTGACTTAAAAAGGCGAAGTAGGTACCTAACATCAGGCATGACGAAGGTAGAAGGATTTTTTTCTTATCACACGCACACACAGACCTGATTTGACGAGTAATTCCCTTATAATTCGCTGAAGCATTCATACCCTTTCAATACTCTAACGATAATAGTGGGAATATACATATATGTACATGGTCTGTGTATATGACTGGATGTTTCAATATGGAATCAGTAAAATAAGTCACGAGGAAATCCTTACATAGGTAGGCCTATGTAAGGATTTCCTCGTGACTTGCATATGAGAATAGCTTTTACATACGTACCTAAGTTAGTCATCATCATCATCATCAGCCTATAAGTGCCTAGGCTCCTGCTGAGCAAAGGTTTCAGCATTGATCACCACGCTTGCTCAAAGCGTATTGGCGAGTTATTATTAGAAATTATAAGTCCAGGTTTCCTCACGATGTTTTCCTTCACCGTCTATCAGTGGTGTCTAAATTATCATAGAAAGTACATATAACTCGGAAAAAGTCACATTAGTACTTGCCAGATTTTGATCCCTCATGAATGAGAAGCGGGTCCTTCATACCCGGGCGACCACGACCGACAAGTACCTAAGTAAGTATTAACAAGTATTAAATATAAAAGTCCTACCTTTGGACATGATGTTGGCTCGCTTATGGTCGAGCCTGAGCAACGGCACGACCTCGTCCAGAGCCACAATGGCCGCGGCCGCCAACACGCCAGCCTGACGCATCCCACCGCCAAGCAATTTACGCATGCGACGCGCTCTGAAAACGTTTTTTGTTATCAGTGTATGTAATCCTTCATTTTGTTGACTAATGTGCTGATTAAACTATGTTAATATATTAATAAAATAACCTCGGAAGTAGGTAATCTATATCTATATAGTTACCTATATATAACAATGGATCGCAAAATGTGTTGGTAAGCGCGTAACTCGACAACGCCAACGCCTGAACCAATTTTGCTAATGCTGTTTGATTTGTGTTTGTCATTGTCAGGATAAGATTATAGTGTAAGTTTTTTTTTTGAATATTGGAGTACAAAATTGGGAAATTGCGACCTTATTAGTTAGCGAGGTAGCTGAACATCCGCGCGAAGGGAAGGCCGACCGCTTGTATTAAATATTATAATGTAAAACGTTATAGCCATTGACGATACTTCTGTTTCGAATACTTCTAAATAAACCACTTCCAAATGGAGGTTCTCTCAAACTTGAATTCTAAGGCACATTTACTAAACTCCATTTGGCTGACGTCGACACCATCACTTCGAAGTTTGCATGCTATTAAAACGTACGAATAAGTTACATCAACAGCATTGTATTGCACCTAAAAGAAAATGGGTTAGCATCAGTACCTATCCATCGCTTTAAACAAAGCCAACAAAACATGCTTTCTCTTTATTCTTTAAGTTATATTATTCTGGTGATGTAAGCATAATGCAAATAAAATACATAGTTGCGCCCTTATTTAGCTCCCGTATACACATCATAAACCGAGATAATAATCGCAAAAACGGATGCGGTTGTGCCCAATCATCAGTTATAGTTATGGATGATGTCCATTTAGAGTGGATATATAGATCTAAATCCGTTTAGGAACCCAAAGCTGGAAGACGTCATATTCATTGGCATACGTTTCTCGCAGTTCTGCAACGATTTTGAAAGGAGTTCACTCCATTTGGATTGATGGGACATCGTCAATGACCACTTGCATAAGTTGTCAGTTTCGTTTACCTGGTTCATCTGTTATCCGTTCCAAAAACACGAATTTTATGAATCACCGATGACAAGTGTACTATTTAGATACCAGTGTAACAAGATAAGATAATCGATTTTTTAAAACTCATCTTGGTTGTATTATTTTTAATATAATGTATGTAGATGATTTGTAAGTTAAGTATCTACTTTAATCCGATAATCATCAATGATTCAGCCATTTAACAACGATGTTATCAGTATTAACACAATATTGTTTTCTTTCCTTAAACAAAAACTTAGGTAGATATTATTTTTTGTACACAATGCGCAGATAAAATCAGTGCGATAATTAATTACGTTAACTTACTGTTCAATAAAATGATAGGAGCCAACGAGTCCAGAGCCGACTGGGGCTGACAGACCCTTGCTGAAGCAGACGGAGATGCTGTCACAGTCCCTGACCACCCTACTGGGGTCCTCCTTCAGGTACTCGCATGCGTTGAATAGCCGAGCGCCGTCCATGTGCAGTGGCACATTGTGGCGTTTGCAGATTGCGGACAGGTCATCTAGAAACTTCAGTGGTAATGCCTGGGAAGGAATGATGGTAAGATCGATTAAAGCTTTTAGTTAGTTGTATTAAATGCCTTGGATTTTGTAAATAAATCTGTGGGTAAATATTGCTTCGTCGACTAGGTTCAAATTAATGAAAAGGAGATACATGGTAATGGCAAAAGACCAAAAAGATTGAAGCGGGAACATACAACACATTAATTAGATAGGAACAATATTTAAATTATATTTATGCAAGTCTATAAAACACGTATATTTGGCGTGTATGTGGGTTTGGTTGCTTCTTGCACCTACGATTGGTTTATCTGCATCACACAAAGGTTCGACTGGCAGAGGCTGCCTATGGAATGAAGTCCAACTTATACTATATTTTGTGCAAAATCTAATTAAATAAATACACCGCTACATGCATGCGACACATGGAAACAAATACTTAATAGTTGATAGGTATTCGTTTGTTTTCCTTTTCGGTTTTAATTGAATAATCATCTATCAACGATAAAAATAAATATTGCTAGGTATTCGATTGTTCAGCTGATAACGGTGCCAAGTTGGGGATTACATGGCATTTTTTTCAGGTGGGAAAACCATCATCACCTGTCACTAATACCGACTGAAAAACCCTTTTTTTTTTAATCTAACGCTGGGCCGCTGTATATTATTTTACTTGCACCTCCGGCTTCAGCTGAACGCCTTACAGAGCCAACAAACCGCCACAGATGGGCCCAACAAATCTTTAAGGATGTTAAGCCAGGGTTTGGGGTAAGCGCAATAAGTCCGGTCTGGTTTTTAGTCCGTAAGAGTCTGACGCTCCCTCTCGACCTTGGGCGGGAAAGTCATTTGAGATGTCCCCACCTAAAAACTAAACCCAGGCTGGACAAAGATAAAGTGAATCCAGATCTCAGTTAATTGGTACAAAATATATTCGGTCTAAATATAGAATTACCTCTATTGAGCGTTATCAGAACTCGACTTTGGCCCTCCTGCCTAGTTTATTGCTAATGTCTGTCACTCATTAAGACCTAATTACCAGGATGATTAAATCAGCTATGTTGTAGCCTTTTTGTTTTAGACAAAATAGTGACTTTGAAAGTCTTCTAAAAACAAGACGTCGTCATCAGAAAATTATCATCAATCCTACTGTTTTTTTTTATTGTATAAGGTAACACACATAACAGTGTTTCTTTTGAAACATGTTTTCATATTTTAAAAACTATATTAACATTAGCATAAATCTCAACATCAATTTGTGATTATATACAAGTTTAGATTATTTACTTTTCATTTAAATTTTCGGAATAAAAAGTATTCGTTAACCAGCCCAGGAGTTCAAATTATCGCTGAATGTCTTTTGTGGTTACTTAGTAGGTATATACCTAGTGATTAAAGAAATGGACAGACAGACAGAGACAAACACATTGCGATTGTTATAAACTAATAATTTGACGTAAACACAGAAATAGAAAGAGTACAGGACGTAAGAAAAAGATTTAGTAGATACAGGACGTACGAAAAATTTCATAGTTGTGTCTCAAGCAACTTTTGAAATATTTCTGAGGAGTTAGGTAAATGGCTAATTTTGTTTAGCTGTGGTAAGTGTATGAAGAACACTGACCTTACCACCACAGCAGTTGTGGGTATTCTCGACGGCAACCAACGAGGTGATAGGGTCGTGGTCCTTCAGCTTCTTAGGCGGAGGTTTCTGCATGCAAATATATCACTGGCATTTCTGCTAGCCACTAAGTACTTACAGAGTATTAGATTGAATATCTAACTGATATTATCTGGTCACAGCCAGGGCTTTTTAATAACAATACAGTAAGACAGCACAGTAATAGCAAATCCGCGACGCGCACGCTGCTCAGGAATAAGAGTCCCGCTGTTACTTGTAACTAGTAGAGTTTCTCTCAGTCACTTTGACTTATATCGACATAAGTAGAAATACATATATATGTTCTTTAATTTTATAGTCTGGAAAAAGTTCCTACATGAAAACGCAAGCATCCACGCTTACTTACGTCATAGGAACTCATAATAATGAATGTGGAAGAGACGAATCCGTCTCCCAGAATCGAAACTATTGTTAACTGTTATGCAATTTTCATGGTAGGTACCTACCTATATGATTTTAATAATAGGTATAATATGCAAATGCTATTTACTGCCTTACTCACCTTACCGCCACAACAATTGTGGGTGTTCTCCACAGCTACGAGTGAGGAGATGGGTTCGTGCACGTCAGTTCCTCGAAATCGACTCTCTAGCTCCTGCAGGTCGAAGGTGCCATCAGGGTTGTTGGTCAATGTCGACAGGAGTACGCCTGCTACATGGGCTGCACCTCCTAAGAATCACATTATGTTTGATTAATCAAATGATCATGATAGTCAAAAACCTCAAGAAATTCATGCAAGGACAGACTCCTCATCATCATCATTTTCAACCTATAAGTACCCTCAGCTAAGCAAAGGCCTCTTCTCATACGGACAAGGCAGCATTAATCACCACGCTTGTTCAAGACGGATTGGAAATTTCAATCTTATAATTAGAAATAATAAATGCAGGTTCTCTCTCAATGTTTTCCTTTACCTAAGGTGGCGGTGTTTAAATTAACTTAGAAAGTACACTCAGAATACAGAACAAAAAGTACATAAGACACGGAAAAAGTATCATTATTAGTAGTCAGTATTTGAATGTGTCTGTCTCTTCATGAACGAGAATCGGGCGTCGTAACGTACAGGCAACCACGGCTTTTTCTGACTAAAAACCACCTTATCATTTTCCTGCTATGAGCCTCTCGGATGATGAAGAGTCGTGTCATCGGGCCCAAAAACACCGTGTTTGGTCAATCATTTCATCCTAAATGTCAATTAATATTTTGGCCTTAATTTTCCTGCTTGTCATTCCAATCCTTTTAAGGTATAAAATGGAACGCGTTGTTGGAAGATGTGTAAGTGAATCGTGTTCATCACGCATTTAAATTGCAAGGCGAGAAACATATTTCCATCATCTGAATTTCTCTGCATCTGGGTCTGTTATACATGTCAAATAAAATATCTGAAACCGATTTTTTACCTTGTTCGTATTTGTAGATGTGCGACAGGTTTCCAACGAATGCCTCTGAGCCTCGTTTGTTGCAGTGCACCATTACTGTGAACAAACCAATATTACTTTACGGGAATATGCAGACTAGCTAACATCAAACCATGTTTCAGCACGAATGGGTGGACTGGCCAGAGTGGTACCACGGTCTGCCAGCAAACCAGCGTGAAATAACATTTGCGTTGTGTTTCGCTGTGTAAGCGAGGTTACCAGAAGCCCAATACCCCTCTCCTCCTTTCTCCAATCCCGAAATACATACTTCAACTCTCAAAACCTTTACCCCAAAAGGCTGGCAACACACCTGTAAATGTGTGCAGTGTCGATTGCTTACCGTCAGGACAAACATAGATAATTATGCTCTTTTACCGACCTAACACAAAAAAATACACGAATTTGTTGAAACTCTTTTTGACGTTCTATTCAATAGTACCATGTAGTATGTATGTATGGAGATTGCCTCGTGTTACGAGAATATGTACGTGACACTCACTTTTAACCAAGAAACTGGATTTCGGATTTCCAAAAGAATTAGATTCCATTTTCAAAGTATGTGTAGCAGCTGACAGCAGTCCAGTAATGGAAAGCCGTGGACTCGATTAATAGTAATGGTGAATAGCAAGAAGCAAGAAGATTATTCTGGCCGACTGGGTTAGGTTTTAGAATATTCTACCAGGTTACTGGTAGGTTGCTACATAAATCAAGGCGTAGTATCCTTTTAAAGTCAAGGCTTTTCGCTAGTAGAATATTAAATAAGACATAAGGAAAGGACTGAATCAACTGTGAACCTGCCTCTTATTTGGGTACCACATACATTAAAATATAGTTAGTTTATTCGACCTTTAATCCTTCTCAAAAACGACGAAGTTGCAAAAATGTTTTTATAAAAAATGCAAATTAAAACATAACAATTTTATTTAAGGAAATTATATAAGAATAACAATGAGGTTCTCAAAGTACCTACTTATGCTATTTATATTTATATTCTATGTTAAGATTACTGACGTGTCGTGTAAACTAGCGGATGAACACAATCATACGCAATCGGCTTATGAATTGGGCAACCACTTCGCAGCGCCATTCTATTGGCCAGTCCACCTATCTTCAATCTTCTTGCTTATTCTGCTAAATGATTGATATACTTGTTGGTCCACCCGGTGCCTTGATAGTGACTAGGTAGTTGATAGTTTTTATCACTGCACGAAAGTAGACACGTTGTAATTTGAAAATCGAAAAGGGCGCGAGGCGATTCTGATTCAATAGTAGGTACGACTACAAACAGCTATTGTGCCTACTTAACAAATGTGGTTTTATTAAAAGCATTACCGATTACTGATCAAGTATTTTCCACCTAGTTAATTGTTTCTCGCGTGACGGTAAATACTTGCGAGGACATTGAGAATAAATTACACCTTAATTGCAAAATAGTGGTGATTTATCGAAGGAAACTAGATTAATTAATTTGAATATTGAAAATTAAAATACTTCGACGTATATTTCTATCTCTCGTTCGTTTCATAGCAAAAAGACCCAAAGTCTTCTATGACGTGTTCCTTTAAGGAACAATATTAATAAATTTGATAGCACTCAAGCGGTAAAAACAAGAGTAGGTAAAGTGTGAAACGATTTAAGATCCATTCAGGTCAAAATTATACACGTGTATGTTATCAAAGCGGAAGAAATTAAGTGTTAATAGGTATTTATATTTTGTATTATCTATTATTAGAATCCGCTTTTCGTGTGTTTTAGCACTGAGCATCAGTTCCCACGTCAGTCCAAGAAGTAGGTATGTAGGTATTAAATTAAATTGTGACGAGTCATGGACCACGTACCTAGTTTTTAAATCTCTACATTTTGATATCAGTTTGGATACCTATACGGAATTATCCTAGATATCAAATTCGATAATAACTAGGTACCTATAATTACCTTAGTTTTGAAAAACCCATGTGGTGATGGGTGAGTTATAAATAGAATATTTTTAATAAGTACTTAAGTAATTTTTTTTCTAACAAAACCTAATAGAGTTTTATTAGGTTCGTCTATCGTGAGACATACTAAATTTATTGAAAATAACGAACTACTCACGTGAATTAACTGAGAAAAGAGAAAAGGTCTACCGGCGGCGACTTCACGCAGCCAAATCAAGTGCGACGACCGTTGCTGCGGCGCGCATGCTGCTCATAAATAAGAGTCCCTTAGAGCTTTACCCACTTAATTCACGTGAATCCGTAGTTATTTTCAATATTTTTAAGTATTTATTACTTCATGCACAAAACATTGTACATAGGGCTGACTGCTACATTGAGCATTCTCTACCAGTCTAACTTTGGATATTGCAGAAACAATCCACTGAACAGATAAATTTGGTTATAGAATATGTATGTATGTACATTGTGTTTTCCTCATTTTTACACTTTTTGAGAGTGTCGTAGGAGCAGCGTTTGGGATTGGGACTGTGCATTTCAGATGAGGCCTAAATAAGGCTGATGTTCGGCCGGGGTTGTGGAACCAAGCGCAATAATCTACCGCGGCCCCGACTCGGTGCTGAGAGAGAGGAAATGAGATGGTTTTGAGCCAGTCAGAATCTGACATTCCCTCTCGCTCCACCCAAGCCAAAAAGAACTGTAGCGACATCTAGCGCACTACATAAACAACAGCACCAATCACGAGCAAGAGTCTACATCGCGCTATAAGAGTTTTCATCACAATTAGCACCCATACAGATATCCCGACAACAATCGTCGGGCAGTAGCCCACCAGGCACGAACACCTCGCCTGGTCGGAGGATCCTCCCTTTTCAATGGAGGATGAGGAACTTACCACCCTGTTCCTCATACCTCTAAATTGGTGACCCCGAGCATGAACATCAACGCAGCCTTCGTGCAACTACGTCGAGCTTTCAAGCAGCGAGTCTACAGTCAGCCAGCTTCCATGGCTACAACGGGTTCCCTGACCACCAGCATGCAGCCAACGCGCATTCCTGGTCAGCACCTACAGCCTCATCAGCATCTTCGTCACAGCATACTGCACCGGCCGGTCAGCAAGCAGAGACGTACTCCCTCTCCTGGTCGACGCAGCAGCTAGCCACTCTTCAGCACCTACAGCCTCATCAGCAACTTCGGCACAGCATACTGCACCGGCCGGTCAGCAAGCAGAGACGTACTCCCTCTCCTGGTCGACGCAGCAGCTAGCCACTCTTCAGCACTGCACCACCCGACTCACTGGGGCATCTTCGCAGACAGATTCGACGCACTGAAACCATCAACTGGCTCGACAAGCATCTCACAGACGTCTCAACCAGCTAACGACCTCCGGTCTCGGAGGGGAGTGATGTAGCGACATCTAGCGCACTACATAAACAACAGCACCAATCACGAGCAAGAGTCTACATCGCGCTATAAGAGTTTTCATCACAATTAGCACCCATACAGATATCCCGACAACAATCGTCGGGCAGTAGCCCACCAGGCACGAACACCTCGCCTGGTCGGAGGATCCTCCCTTTTCAATGGAGGATGAGGAACTTTCCACCCTGTTCCTCATACCTCTAAAGAACTATAGTTCGACATACTAACTTTATATAAGATATCATGCAATTTGCTCATGAATAGGGATCCCGTCTCTATTTCCTTCAGTAAGTCGATATATTATCGATCTTCATGATTATTTACGACAAAAGGAAAGGTCCTATTTAAGTCAATAAGCTAATTTATGCATAGATTTTAATTGAGAATTCGAAATCGTCGCTACCGTTAGGCATTTATATGTATAGGTAACTGTTTACGTCGCACCATAAGGTCGATGTCTCATTTCTCTAAATACTGGTTATATCACAGAGATTCCTGAATATTTCCCTCTAAAAAGTTTGAAGGTCATGACTGACTAGACTACGAGTTATTGATCTCACAAAATGTCTAAAATAAGGCGACAAAATTAGCTGCAAAATCGCTTTTTTTGTTAACTATGTTCATTGATGAATGTAATACACCAGTCCCTACGCGTTTTTGCGCAATGTACAAAAACTTTAGTCAAGTGTTTTAGGACTGAAGCAAATTTGAAGGCATAATACCTATCTATCTGTACGAGTATCTACTTGACTTTTGAAAAGTATGAATAAAGACACATAAAAGGATTTTAGGAAGAAAATCTTTAGAGGCCGTATTTTTCATTTACTTAACTACTATTCTTTAAAACTACTGATAATAATGTACCATAATGTAGAACAATTCCTACCTACAAATAAAATATGTTGCCTATTTGATACAAGACAAAGCACGTAAAATAATTTGTATTATTCCAAAGTTCTAACGGAAGCAGGAAATGTGCGTAAAAGTCGCGCGACTATGGCCTGTCTTTTGAGTTAAATTCGGTAGAGGAATAGTTTGAGACCTGAGAAAAGAACATAGGATAGTAAAGTACTATTCAATATCGTAACTGCATGGATAAAACCTTCACTGGATTGCCCATTTTTTAAACTTCGAAAATGAATTAATAATTACGAGATAATGAAATTTTATGACGTATTGGATGCATATTTGCGACAGCAACGGACTAATAACTCTGTCAAGGCGTTTTTTTATGATATAGGTACCTAGGACGACAAGCGTGCTGACGGATCAACAATCGGCGCCGGCGCCGCCAATGAACACCCGAAATACCAGAGTTACAAGTTCCTTGTCGACTTATTGCTAAAACTTGGGATTTGAGGATTGAAGTTAGAAGAGGATTGGAGATTGGGTTTCCGGCAACCCCGCACGGTGAAATACAAACTAAACTTTTTCACGCTGGTTTTCTTTGAGATCGTTGTATCCCTGACGAACCGGCCTATTTGTATGATAGGTAGAAGAATCGTATTAAAATTTGTATTATTATATCGTAAGAAAACCAAATACTAAACTTTACTATTACGCTATAAATTTAAGTCATTATAATTAAGTATTTTATATAGTATAGTATATATTATTTAGTCATTATTTTATAATAATTTAAAAAACTGTTATAAGTTAAATAACAAGTCGTTAATTTTATTATAATTAACCGCTGCGGGAGTCAATGCTTGACCGAAATAACTTTGGACAGAATATTATTTACTTTTAGAATAGGTAATAAGCTAGTGAAGTGACAAATAGCCAGCATGAAGGCCAAATAAAACATTATTCCGACTTAACATTGTGTATGAAAAAATAAGTACTCACTTGCTATTAGATTGGCCATAGTGCCAGAGGGTACGAACAAGGCCGCCTGCTTCCCCAGCATAGATGCTAATTTGCTTTCCAGGGCATTTATCGTGGGATCTTCTCCATAAACATCGTCGCCCAATGCTGAATTCACCATGGCATGTTTCATAGCCTCAGTTGGCTTTGTCACTGTGTCTGATCGCAAGTCTACTATGTATGCCATGGTAAATATTTTACGTATAAATCAAATACGTTATAAAAGTAACCTAACCACTAGTCTTATTGAAAGCCGGCAGGCAAGTGTCGAATAACAACTGTGAACGTCGCTACTTAAGCAACATTTAAGATAAAAATCGAATGATTCTTCTTTTTTTTATCTTACTGTAGGTATCAATATTCTCTCCTTGAACTATGATAACTCATGGAACCACAAGGAGTCAGAATACTTAATAAATACTCTTTTCTAGTTTGTTTTTAAATTATGTGACGCGTTCATTATTTATTGGATGATAGGACTATAGATAGCACAGTTTTGATACCTCTCCCTTATCTAAATCTGGATCAGACTTTATTCAAAATGTTACCTTATCTTCGGCTTAGATAAGGGCTCGTTTTGGTTAAAAACATAACAATGTGACATGACAAGTGACAATGTCACAAATTTCTAATGTTGGTATCATTGCTTCCATTCGGATATTTGCCTAGAAACATATCAAAAGCATAACCTTTAAACCTATTATAATTCAAATAAATCGTGACATTGTAAAACAGTTTATAAATTCTTTCAATCAACCTCTAAGCATCAAAATCTTTAATAAATGATTGCTGTATTATAGATAAATTCTATAAGTATTACGAATCGAATTGAAAAATATAAAAATAAACCTGTTTGCAGCGTCACATGGACGCCTATGAAAAATTGTTTGAAAAATCTATACTTTTACTGTCCGCTTGAACCTCATCAACTGTAATTAAAAAATGCAATGTTACAAACCGACGTAACGTAGAATCAAGAATCCGATGAATTTATACCGCTTCATATATAATACCCACAGGTAAGTGATTAAGGGGTTTATCTATCACATAAGAAAATATTTGCTTTTGCACAAAGAAAATAAACCAGGCATTTGGAAAAACCAGGAAATTTGACTTCACGGTTGTTGGCGAAGTGATTGGGCCACTGCTACGCAACTTGTCGCGGGCATGTTTAAATAGAAACAATGAAAAAAATAATTTTACTTTTGTAAAAAGGCCATTTACACGTCAAAATAATTTGTAAAAAAAACTAGATGAAGACGACTAGAGCTCACAAGGTAGGCGAAAATCGTAATGTAAGGTAGCGTTTGCAAGAAGTGCGATTAATCATATTACTACACACCGGGTACCATCTTCAAGTATTCTAAATGTTCAATGCATTGTTCTTATATTAACACAAAAGATTTATTAATACAAACTGCAACTCTTACTAACAATTTTAGAACACTAAAATTAAAAAATAAACATCGCTCGAGAATCAAACATATTAGACCAATGTGACAGTCGATGATATATTACATGCTAATTATTACACAAATTTTCAATCTGATTAATCACGGATCCAAAAAAGCATGCTCAGAGGAGAGTAGAAATATTAAACTTGTGTCATAATTAAGTCAATATAAAACTATGGTGTATCCGAATTTAAAAATTATAGCAGAATTTCATTGAACGCAACTGAACGCATCCAAATTTTGTTCTCTACACATTTTGTAGTGACAGCTGACAAATCCGTGGTCGTCATTGGTCAGAAATTCATAATTGTGGAAGACTCCGATTTTAAGCCAATCGTCATACGAATCGGTCAACGGTCGTAATACATTTTTGTAATTGAAATCCAACCTTGACGACAAGAAAGAAGTGTCGGCGATAAGTCGTTGGCTTATTTTAGTTGTTTTTCAATTACAAAAGTGCATTTTAGTTGGTTATTTGCGGCGGGAATATGTTAAATACATGTTCATCAATTGGATAATATAAAGTTTAACTTTCTAGTTACGAAATACAACGAAAATTGTTTTCTTATTTCGGCTAAAATCAACGTGAATCGGGCGTCGACCGGTCCATCCCTTCTACCCGTAACCGTCGCCTGCTGTCAGTTGTTCGCTATCGTCATTTTGTACGAATCAGCGCCGTCCGCGACACGGCAAACGCGAGGCAAGAGAACAACGCCGTGTGATAGCAATAAGTAGGAACGTGTGTTGTGGTGTGCCGGTCTTAGTGACCGTTTAATGTGGTATCTAGTGTCGGTGATCAACTGTCGTACGGGCCGCGCGGCGTGATCAGGCGGCGCGATGGTGGACATGGATAGGAACGACCCGGAGCTCCGGTACTTGTCGGTGGATAGGAACAGCTTCAACGACCCAGCAACACAGGCAGAATGGACGCAGAAGAGATTAGTTTGGGTGCCCCACGAGACCCAGGGTTTCGTGGCGGCTGGGATCAAGGGGGAGCGTGGGGATGAAGTGGAAGTGGAGATAGCGGAATCAGGGAAGCGTATCCTTGTTCCTATAGATGATATTCAGAAGATGAATCCCCCAAAGTTTGACAAAGTAGAGGACATGGCCGAGCTGACCTGTTTGAATGAAGCATCTGTGTTGCACAACATCAAGGACAGATACTACTCTGGACTGATCTATGTAAGTATTCCATTCCTATATTTTGATAACATGACAAACTTGCTTGTATTTTTTTCTACAGACATAAAACACTGGCAACAGACTTCTGAAATTAATCATATTATTATCTGTTCACTGAATTCAGGATTGTTATCTTATCTTTGAACTCTTAATCATCAGTTTACACCAAAATAAAGTAAAAGTACTGACTTGAGGATATTTTTTTAGTACAGTATTTGCAAAAATTATGATGCTAAGAATCTTTTTAGACACTAATTTTATCAAAACTTACAATTTCCATTATTTTTAAGTTCAATATCTAGGCTATGTGCTTATAGTAATTGATGATGCTGGTAGTGGAAAGAAAAATAAAAAAGTTTATTTTTCTTTCCACTACCAGCTTTTATTATTGGAGTTTGTAAATAACCATTATTTACAAACTCCAATTATTTAAAAAAGCTTACTTTCATATTAAGTAGAATTGCTAAATTATAAACTTGCCTTAGGGCTGTCATCACATCACACACTATATGATTATGTTAATTCAGTCTACCCCATGGACCAACTACAATTATGGGTATATTACGATTGGTTAAAATGTAGAACCAGTTACTTTTTCAATTATAAAAAATTAAAATATGTCCAAACTCTTTCAATTATACAACAAAAGCTATAGGTAAGGTATTGAACAACATTCTTCAAACTTTATAATTACACCTTTCCATTCTAACTATGACCACACCTAATAGTTACATTTCTTTAAACTGAACATACATCATTAAGTACATAATTGCATACATAATATTCTCTAATGAGGCTTTTTTAACTAGTAACTATATTTCAAGAATGTATGAAGGCTACAATGAATCATAACTGACATAAATATGAAGTCATACCTTGAACAAAACCTTTTTGGTAACAAATGTTCTGTCTGTGCTGTTTTAATAATATTATCACTCATTATTATATGCATTATGGATATGTTTAACATCCAGTTTAGTTTATTTCCACAAAACTTATTGTAAATTAACAATATTGTTGGTAGTACCATCAATATGTATGTCAATAATACAATACATTTATCATGGATATTCTAAAGGCATGACACAAAGTTCTATTTTTGTTGTATATGTATATTCATAATCGCCACAACCTTAATTAGCAACAAGCTTCATATAAGATACCACAAATTCCATTTTTATTTCAAATGTACATTATTTACAATTTTCCTGCATCCAGAACCATATTCAGTCAAATTCAATAGACACAGGACAATGTCTATATAATTTAAAATAGATTCCTATTTTGATCAATTTACCTTGTTACTTAACAAATGGAATAAATGCCTCTGCTAGGAAATTCAACTGTTTATTTATTTATTTGCCTAGCTGACCTGGCAAACTTTTATTGCCTCAAATATAACTAATGTTCTGACCGTCCAAATCTTAACTGTACTTCAACAAACATTTTAGGACCAAATTATCCAAAACAGACCAGCCGTTCAAAAGTTTTAGAGAGACTAACCAACAGCAATTCATTTTTAATTAAATCTTCTTTAAGCAAAAAAAAAAATTGTATGCTAAGGTAGACTTAGTGCCACGGGCACTGTCTATTGTTGCTGTATTGCTTATTTGACCACTTGTATATCTCAACACTCCCAAAAGTTATAGTACTCAAATTATTCAGTGATTTTATTCTAATAAGATCTTCTATGTAATCTTTATGAAGATTTAAGATCTTATAGTAATCCAATAGTTCAACATTTTATTATTTTGCTGAAATTCCCCTGTTTGTTCCTCTAAGCACTAAAACTTTTGTTTTTATTGAATACTCAAGAAATGGTTAATAATGTGTTATCGGCTAACACCCTTGTCTATTACAATTAATTTGTTCCACTGAATCATATCATAAGTCATAATATTTAAAAAGAATTGATATCAAATTATTTCGAATTTTGTCAGTACTCTTAGTATCGATAACTTATAAAGATAGCTAATCTGTTTTCCTGTCATTTAACAAGCAGTCAAAAATAAATGTGTTATTATAGAAATGAGTGTGTCATGTATCTCTGATTCCGTACAAAGTATCTATTTGTGATGTAAAAAAAATGTAGTTAAGTTGATTGACAAGCAGTAAAGATCAGTCAAGCAAACATATGGTCACCATTCTCCACTACAACACTATGTGGCTGACCATATGGTCCATTATAAAATTATCCATCGCTATTCATGAAAGCATGAAGCTTATGACACATTATAGCTCTCCTAATATGTCCAGGTCACACATACACACACACCATACATAGTACATGTTACCAATTTACAAATTCTTATATGGCTGGCAACACTGATTATTTACCCAGTGTGTTGCCAGCTTGATGCTTTTGTAGACAGTTAAATGTATTAAGTTTGTCATAATTGTTGTAAGTAAAGGATGAATAATGCCTGCCTTGGCCTACTTATTTTTTAATAATTAAATTCTTTCAATTCGCGTGTGAGGTTGTATTTAATTACAACAACAATGTTATTGATATGAACATATTTTAGTTTGTAATTCTATAACTATTACTAAATGTGTAATAATAATAATATTCATGGTGCACATTTAAGTTCATTTGACTGAAAAATCATACTTTATACTGATTCTTAAAATAATACTCTTCATGTAGAAATATAATTTGATTATAATTTGAAACAAACTAAAGTCCTAATATAAGGTATTATATTGAGTTTAGCTGTCCTAAACAAACTTCAGATAACAGCTTATTTTGTTGTGATACTTTAATGTGTTTATGCGGTTATTTGCTCATAAATATTTTGCTATTTTGGATACTTAGGTACGTCTTTTAAGAGATTCGTGGATTTTATTTCTTCAAGTTACCAGTATTGAAAGTTCCCTTACAATCATCTTGGTGCTTGAATAATCATAACATACTCGAATCCTAACAGAAACGTAAAATATCAATCCAAAACATTAAATTTGTTAAAATTTTCAAGGTTAAAAAAACATTGCAATATACCTAACCATAATGTCCAGAATTGGCGCTCAAAATAAATTCAAGATGGCGGAATATTTCACCTAACAATACTCTAGTTAATTATTCCAAGTCTTAAGTACCAGTCCGCATGCAATCGTAAGTGTCATCAATTAAAACCATGTTCGCGATATTAATGGAGCGAGAAATCCTTTCATTTACATAACAAAGGTTTGCCACCACTCATTGTCGGGTGGTGACCGCCAGTGATTGTCCGGACAGTTGCTAGTCAAGTAGTGACAGACGACGTATTCAGCAAGATACAAAATAAACTAGTATTTGTATCAGTCGTTATTACCTTATCAGGCTTTTCATACTATCTTCTATTTTTTATTAATCGATTTGAAACCTTATTTTTATGTCCCACAATGTTTAATCTATAGACAGAGAATTTAATAACGTCAAACTTGTTTGAATATTTCAAAGTACAACGAACTTGTTTTCTTTGAATGGACTAAGGACATTTGGTGACGACTTATTTTGATTCTTAAAGTGACATTAGACAAATATCGTTTATCTAAATATAACTTAAATGGCCGTTTATCTAAATATAAATAATAGTTTATGCGAAATTAGTTCTGTGAAGGTTCATAAAGTATCCATTTTTGTGAAACACCTGCCACAAGAACCTTAAATTGAACAATGTAGAATAGCCCATGGAAAAAAATTAATCAGGATTGCTCATATTTCCTACTATAAAGACTCCAAGCCAAAACAGCCTACAGAACCCAATGATAACGTGCTTATTTACTTGATCGCCTACGAACTTATTCCTTTTATAATTCGTCACGAATCGCGTGGGATTCTTAACGGTAAATTATGATTAGTTCCGAAATACTTGCATAAATTGTATCACAATTTTGATCGAGATTGTACCTGAGCCTAGTTATTTCTTGATGTTTTATAGTGACAATTTTAAATGCAACTTCTCCATTTGTGAATATATTAAAACTGTAAGCTTCAAAGAATATTGTGCTTAGTCAAGATCGCTCACGTCATTCCAGAGGTCAGTCCTCCATGCAAATCCGCTTAAAGCCATGGTGGTCCCATTTTGACCATAACTTCCTTTTGTGACTCACAATTTTAACAATGGTGTTCTCCGTTTGGCCATGTTTTTGCTTTTAATGTGCATTTTCTTTGCTCCTTACGACGTTTGTTAGTTTATGCCGTATTTATTGAGCAACATTAACAAGCCTATAAGTAGTCAATGTGAAAGACATTTAGTCAGCTCTATTTGTACATGATACAGTTAATGTTAAAAATATTTGTAATTGAACAAACTAAATTTATAATTGATGAACATATTTATGAACGCAAGGTGTCTAAGGTGCCTTCCAAGTCACCTAGTCCCAAGTACAAACCTTACATCAGTTTTCTTATTTACTGAAACATATTTTAGTTTAAGAATTCGACTCTTTGTCAATCAAACTTACATAAAGTTATGTTATGAATACTACTTCATTATAATTATCATGGATAACGAGGCATACGTATTATATCTACGTACGCAAGAGTATACATACTCACAAGCGAAAATATTTTCTTGTTTAAAGAGTGTTGACCTCTATGAATAGGATTAGAGGATTTGTAAGTTCGAGTGTGTATGTATGTGACGTCATTATTTATAACCAGTAGGCCTATGCATTCCCTGAAGGTTTTTCCAAGGCACACATTATTTCTATTATATGCAGATTGTTTTACATAGGTCTTTGTTCGTTACTTATCAATTTAACAGATGAGTCACGTCCCCACAATAGCGATACGAAACATCGCGCTACTATGACAAAACATTCTTTATCTGCAAACTAAAAAGATTTAATTTCAATTTCTTCATTAGAACGTGCAACGCGTACCAGGGTAACATAAGACCGTGAAGATTGTCGCGACTTTGCGACCAACCGAAATATAACGCAGCCAATTTGAGTGGGCGGCTTATACCTTAGATGGGGTTAATTTTAAAGCGGCGTTTGAAAGTTGTTCGAGTAAA